AAATGCTTAATAATAGGAATCTTCATTATATTTCCAAAATCTACACTTCTTTATTTATGCTATGAAATTTTGGTAGACTGTGCCTAAGTTCAGACAGCTTAGTACCAAAACAATTTTGAAATTTAAATATAGAATACTTTTTAAATTCATTATTACAAAGACAATCTAGAGTAAGGTTTTGAATTTAGATTAATTTACAAATACTTTTGATTAGAATTAGAATTTAAGCACAATTTTGACAGAAGTGATAGGCATTTTGAAAATATTGCCAAGCTTTTCAAATAAAGTAAAGAAAGTATCTGTCGTGTGTATGAGAATAGTCGTTTAATTCACTCCCACATAAACGTCATATGTCTATAGTAAACTAAAAGGTAAAGTAGTATGTATGGGTAAGTATGGGTTTATTTGTATTATATAATATAACAAATAATTAAGATAATAAATGCGTTTTAATAATGAAAATTATTTAAATTGTATTGTAACTACCTACATATCTAATATAGGTACTTCACAAATACAGTAGGTTCCTTGAATCTCAATCACTCCGGCATATGTAAAGGTCATAGGGAACGGACCTAATTAAATATAAATAACCCACAGTAACACGTATAGGCATTGTGTAAAAACCATTTTAAAATGTACACATAATAAAAATAAATTAAAATAAACAGCAGCTTTAGGAAAGGTACTTTATCCAATACAAAAACAAAATTAGATTTTGTGCTGACATCTAGTAATTCTTCTACATACATGTTAAATTATTGTATACCGACATCTTTTAGAAGACGAAACAATTACTTGCAGTAACAACACAAAGTTTTATATTATTTGTAAATTATATAAAGTAGGAAAGTAACTTGACCTAGTGCTGACATCTATGTAGCGATCCTTCTACGTGAAATTCTTGATTTGTTATCAAGCGACATCTATTAGTAAATGGGACAATTTACTATCTGTTAGAGCAAGCGAATTGATGGTTTAAAAAAAATGCTATGTTCACTATTTCATTGAATGAATACCGAATTATAATTAGGTACGCTAATTTTACATAGAATAGCTCGTTATAAATAAAAAGTGAAATATATTTTACTTGTATAGTTTTTTTTTTTTTTTTTCTAAATAATACCACTGTATTTTAATTACATTAAGCTCATTCGGTACAACTATCAGCTATTGAAGGCATGTAATTGTATTATTTATATATAAAGTAATAAAGTCATTTATTGATTTGATGGAAGATCATTATTATCACACATATACAAATGTAATGGCTATAGGTAATTTAAATTAAGACTTACAAATAAATTAAAATTTGACTGTTGTTTTTACATAACTAATGATTCTTCCATGGATCTGTCAAAACTTTTCTTGGGTGAATTTAAACATTAACCAAAAAAATCTCCCAAATTCAAATCGGTAAAGCTAATGATGACTAGATATTATGGGCATTTTAGAATGTTTTAAAGCTAAAACTGTTCGTTATTAGTATAATTTCGCGAATGGAAATATTAGAAATTTAGCAACATCGCAAAGTTATATCCATTGGGATTTAAAACTATATAAATAGGGGAGAAAAGGGATTGTTAGTAATAGAGACAGAATCCCATTGCTAGCAATATATCCAACCAGGTCGACCTCCTCGCAGTTCCCCCTGGAAACTATCATGATTAATTCCTGATGAATTCATCATGATGGGCTAACTGGCCTGTTTTCATCCTCATCGATCACCCTTCACTGGTGCCCCGCCAGCGTATTCCATTAGTGCAGGCGGGGTTACCACTCCGTTTTCATCCAATAAAATAAAAAAAAAACTATATACATAAGATCAATGGTTTTAAACTCGAATATAATATTCTTATCGTATTATTTTTTCTTGTAAAAAAAACATGAAACAAAAATATAACATATACATTTTTTACAAACAATATAATTATATTAATTTTAATTTGATAGAAAAAATTCCATATTCAAATCAATTATAACAATTTTTTTTTATATTTTAAAACTATAAGGCTAGATATTTAAGTTAGATCCATAATTCATCATTTCAACGGTTTTTTTTTGTGGGATTATAATGGAATGATAATCCCGCCTGTGCTACCGGTATACGCTGGCGAGACACTAGTAAGAAATAATAGGTGAAGATGAAAAGGTAGGTCAGTTAGCTCATCGTAATAAATTCCACAAGAATTTATCACGATGGTTTCCAGGAGGAACTGCGTGAAGGTCGACCTGATAGGGTTTTATTGTTAGTAATGGAACTGGTAAATCCCTATTACTAACAATCCCTTTCCCTCCTCATTTCAACAGTTAACTGTCTTTAAAGTCTAGTGCTGTGTGCTAACTGAACCTCTCCTATAAACTGCCATAAGAAACGGGAGCATTCCCTATGGCAGTTTACTATTGGGAGGATTTTGCCAGTAGTTGCCACGCTTGGCAGGCGGATTGGCAACCGTAGTTTGGCTTATAGTGATGTTAAGAGGGACGCTGCTGTCCATCCTCGACCATTAAATTCTCTTAGTCACCTCTTACGACACCCACGGGAAAGAAAGAGGTGACCCATTCTATGCCGGGACCACATAGTATTTATATTAGATTAATATTTATTTAACATTAGCAAATACACACAACATTTACCCCGTTATATATAAACTACTGTGCTACCACATATTAAATAACTAATGTATTTTTTTTTTGTTACACCCTTTTTCCTATTTGAACATTTAAATCAGTTTTTATTTACTTATTTATTTAATACTTTATTGTACACACCAATTATAAGAATATGATAGAGATAATCAAATGTACAAAGGCGAGCTTTAATCTAATAGAATTATCTTCCAGCAAATCCAAAGTGGAAAGGATTACCAATGCCAGCGGGTAGAGCAGTGTACAATATTGTGACAATTTTTAAACAAACTAGGCAAAATTAAATTAGGTACATTATACATTATATTACATAATTACATTATATTTAATCGTATAAAATTGAATTATTAATAATTATTATCAATAATATATTTTTTTATATTTATATATTCGTGGCACCTTGAATATTTATAAAATTGATTGCAATTAAACCTTCTTGTAACTTCCTAATGTAAAACTTGATTTCTGGAAGAAATAATAAACAGCAAAATATATTTTAGTAGTTAGCTCTTCCTTTACTGTCACAAAATTGATAAAAACTCTGCAATAAATCTTAAAAAAAAACTATAACTCTTTAGATAGCCGGTATATTTTCACCGATATGATTATATAATTGGGATAGTTCATGTAAAAGCGTGCTAATTTAATCTATAAACTTCAGTCACTTAAAAGCACAACTGACATTAAACTTTGTTAAGAATAAGTACCTATTATTATTATTATATATAGGTATTATTATTGAGAAGTGGCTTACTTAAGCAGAAAAATCTATGACACTGCAACCTCTAATATCTGTTGTGCTCGCCTTTTCTTAAAGTTAGCTGCTAATTCCTGTTAGTGGTAGAGATTTTGTGATGTTCGTAATAAAAATATTGATTATGAGGTCCTGAGGGGTCAGGACATAAAGTGTATTTTCCAAAGGAGATTTTTAGGTACATATTTACTATGCGATTAAGGAACAAATCACAATATATCACAAATATATAATAAATCTCAATATAAAAAACTACTACATGTACAGTAGAGATACATTAATGAGCTATATTCTCTGTTAGGTACACCTAATATCTACATGGATCTATTGTTTTAATTAGACGTGCATTTGTTTAGACATTTAGTCCTCGCAATTTGTTACGGGTGGTGGAATGTATATAATATTGGGTGTATTGTGTATTGATTGAGGGTAGAGCGCAAGTTAGTGGTATAGAGCAAATAAGATAGACGACCTAAATTATTAATGAAAGGAAAGGATTGTTAGTCTAATAGCCCTATTGCTAGCAATATACTACAACAGGTTGATTTCTGGGCTGTTCGGCCGTTGATTGGACAACCCCAATCATCCTCCGGTCGCCTATTCGACTGTCGACCGGTCATTTGCCTTGATACCCAACACCGAGATGACATGGATGCAAAGGTTTACGAAGAAACCTCTATTTATAGGTACCTACCAATCTGTTTAGAGGAATATAGGGTGAACTCATTGAGGAGCACTTCAGGGTTTCATCTATTCGGTTTTGTAATCAGAATTCAGATGGGAAATGTATTTATCAGGTAACATTTCTCTCTCTCTCATTTATCACTCTTATCGCATTTATATTTTTCAATTATTAACAGTAGGGACTCCTTTGCAGAATCACCCTTCATCTAATAATGTTCTTCCATCTGTCTATCTTTGGCGTTATGGAGGACATTGTGGAAACTACGTTTAAATGTGAAAAAATGTTTTGTCAGAGCAATCGTGACTTTTTTTTATTCTTATGACAGATATGTAATATAGGATCCCAATTTTCTAAGCTAATGTAACGCACGTTTGTTTTTAATGAATAAACTCAAAAACAAAATAAAAAATTTTAAAAGTTCACTCAACTGTAGAAAGCTACATTAGCGAGTAATATGGTATTTTATTTTCAATAAAAATATGCGAAGCTGAGTCGGTAATATTATATAAATTAAAAGAGTTTATAATGTTTTTACACAAACAAATTTTAAACTAAACTTTTCAAACCTTAGACAACGAAATTTTCAACCCTTAGAACATTTCAGAAATTTCTATTAAAAACGAATATCATCTGCTGTTGACTATGTGGTTTGCAATAATGTCACCCTGTCTAAATCTAATTTAAATATTTGTACCTACTTAATACTAAAACCCCTTATTTATACATTAGATGATATAGCCAACAATAAATCACTTAAATCGGAGACATGATCAACAATGAACTGGGAGCAATTCGATCCGATCTCATCATAAGCTTTTAGAGATCCTTTGTGCGGTAAAGAGCCCTGACATAACGTGTTATCAAATAAAAGAAAGGTGTGAATTCTCACAGGCGGTTGTCGAAGCCCCACCTACTTAAGATGGCGTTATCCCCTCCGATATTTTATCAGCCAGTAGCGTTGAAGTAGCTCACCTCGTTCATACCTACAATCAGAGCGGCACCACCTATTTTCAAAAGCAATCATCAGTTTGCAGCGATCTCTGAACTTAAACTGCCTATTTAGTCGCATTCCCATATCATTTTCGGATGTTTTTTAATATACTTCAAAAAAATTAAATATTTATAATGTCAATTTGTGCATTTAAGGCTTTATAAAGTTTTCGTGAAAATGAATTCATTAGAGGATATATCAAGTACGTGCGAAAATGAATCTAGAATTGAGCCAAAAGAAAGATCTAGTGACACATTCAATATCGAAAAGACTAATTACGACTGTGAATCTGAAACTGAATACGACAGTGAAAATGAAACTATTGATGTTATCTGTGAAAATAGTGTTAATTCAACTAGGTTTAGTGAGAAACATCAAATTATACCTACTTCTTATACAAGTGCAGACAGAAATTGTCTTTTCGAAAGTAGAGTAATATTTCCAACAAAATTATTCATCAATCAAAGGAACACCTGTGGAAACATAGAATCAACAAATAGTAGTGCCCGAGACTCTATAAATAGTGTAATAAATGGTAAAAGTAAAACTTTTCTTATAGATAATTTATTAGGAAACAACAAAAATAATTCGTCTCCAATACATGATTGTTCGGATCAAGATGATAGTACAACTTTTGGTGAAAATGCTGATGAACATAATGGTAAGTCTTTATCTAAAATAATTTCTCGCCCAAGTTTGTACATATAAGGTCTAAATAATATGAGTTGTAAGGTATAATCTTAACGTATCAAATTAAAAAAAAAGGAAAAATATGTAATTATTAATAACTTAATTCAGATATTAACCTACATAATTAATAAAAAAAAAAAAATAAGCTGCATATTTAAAATGGGATACTTTATTAAAAAAGTAATCTTTATCAATCGAAGAAGAATATTAAAAAAGGTTAATATATTTAGTGTAATGGATGGATGCGAAGTATAGAGGACTGCATATGAGTGAGGAAGTGGTTAGCAGTAAATAAAATCGGACTGAAATGTTTATGATGATTTTTGACTTTCAACCGCGTTAATTTCACATCTTAGTCATCAAGAGTAAGAATCAATAAAGATTTTAGAATATAATACCTTCACAAAATGTTTCCTTTATATCCCATAAAGAGAGATTTACTTTAAAAATAGGACGTCATTACGATGGTGAAAATAAAATCTTGATTAACTTGACTACCTACAAGGATAACCATCACCACCACCAGAGGGAGATTTTGTACAAAAGTCGTTTGCTTGAGCATTTCTGTCCCATTCGTGTTTCTACCGTGAAGCAGTTGTGTTTGCATGGGTGTTTGGTTTGAAGGATGGGATATAGCAGTGAATTTATAGGATACAGAAAAATAACACCTGAGTCCTCAGGAATGGCAACACATGAGGGTATCATAGGCGAAACAGTATACTCTGTTATATGGTACTGCTCATGTTTATAGGCGATAGTTACCACTTTCCAACAGCTTTTTTGCCTTTCTAAGTTGTATAAAAAATGAAACTAAATAAAACTATAACTTGATAGATGGTGCCTATAGCAAAATTTTAGTTTAGTTTAATGAAAGTTAATATTAAAGTTATTTTATACCTTCAGAATAATCCCTTACAAATTTTATCAAATTCGCCGATTCAGTGCTTCAGTACTATTCTAAAAACAAAATAACTGTTTAAAATTAAAATTGGCAAAACCAAATTATTGTCGGTTTTTTTAGAACGCCTTCTTAAATTATACAGATACTTCACGAATTTAAGATATTTTACATAAATAAAATATCTTGAAACATTCAATAAATGTTATTTTTGTGTGATTAAACCAGATAAACTGCCAATCGTGGCAACCACTGGCAAAACCCCCCAAAGGGAAGGCTTTTGTTCAGTAATGGACTGTTAAAGGCTGATATGCTGATGATGATGAAACCAAAAGATATTAATTAACTAATTCATATAAACATCAAAACCTATTATATAAGAATTTTGCTTACATACCCATGTAAGCAAAATTTTTATAGTCAAATTTCTTACCCTTTCTGTTGTGTTAACTTCTTAGAGTACGTCTATGGCTGAGTTTATATTGCTTTTAATTCTATACTGTAGGGAAAAATGTTTAACTCTGATGTAAGCGCATTTTAAAATAACAGATAAAACATGTATATCTGATTAAGTAGCGACGATTTTTCAATTCAAAATTCTTGTATCCTTACGATAAAGTATAACGAGTGCCTTATCAAATGTCTATCATATGAAATAAACAATATGATAAAAACAAGATTAAAAACCATGCGGTTTGTAAGTTTGAGATTTCAATCTTACTCCTAGGTGCAAGATGTTTGGGTATATACATATATACTAATATGAAAAAAGGAAATATTTTATTGTTTGTTTGTAATGAATAAACACAAAAAGTACTTAACAGAATTTAAACATTCTTTCGTCGATTTAATGTCAAATTATCAACGAGTAAAATAAGATATATATTATTTGCAACATATTAGAGATCCCTATAATAATTAAAACAATGTAGCCCAAGGTATCAAAAAAATATCTATTAAAGCTAATATAAAATACTAATTTATTTATTCATGCGAAACCGGGACGGATCACTAGCTAAAAATAAGAAGTATGATGGTATATTCATATAAGTATGAAGGTCTGAACTCACTATGAACTCCTTTTTGCCCAACAAAACATAACACTATGAATTTCACTGCATAAAGCTCATATTAGTCCATGGCAAGTCCCTAGCAGACATAACGGTGATTTTTTCCTCCAGCGCGAGAATATTCACCAACGTGTTGTAAAGTTTCTCGTTTTTACAAGCTATAAATTAAATTAATTATAGGTATACATTATTTTTTTGTATAATTTGTAATGGTTAGTTAATAGAGATTACTTATAAGATTAAGTCCGCCTTTTATACCACATTATTGGTCAATAATGAGTCACTTTTAAAATTAGTATACACGTACCACACTAGAAGGAGAAGGATATAAGTAAATTTTATCCCCGTCAGTAAACATAGCCCGATCACGTAGACGAAATCGTGGTTAAAAGGTAGTAAATAAATAAATGGCAAACAAGATGACGGCCGACAAGCGACGACCTGATGAAAACTATCAACGAGGTATCATTTATACCCAAGTACTTACAGCACCATGGAGATCACAGAATAGGCAGACTGCTACCGCGACATGATACTATTTTTGAGGATTAGGCAAAGTGTATATCAATAACTCTGTATACTCTTATTTCATTGCCATATCCTACCATTCATATTACTATTACTACTACTCGTATGAAGATGTCGCCCTCTAGTATCAAGAGTTTCTAAGCGGCCTTAGCTTTTACCGCAGACTTCTGACGTGGGATACCCAACGAGGGCTTACGTGCCCTTCTAAACACGATTCAAGTCACAATCACAAGTAACAATGAATCATTTATTCAAACTGAAACACATCATGGCACCACAGCTATTTAGCGAAAAAAAAATCATTCATTGTATAAAATGTTCCTGTGGTAATATTAGTGTTATTTTTCAGTTTCATCGACGTCCACTTGCGCCGAGTTGGGTTCGCTGAACGAAGCGGGCCTTCTTGCCGGCCATGCGTACGCGCATTGGTTGGTTTCACACCAACCCTCTACGTTCTATGGTATTTATTTCTTTTTATTTTTTACCTAGTATGTTTTTTTGTATATAGACAAATAATAATTATTAATAATAATTTAATGTGTTTAGTTATTAATAATTGATAGCATGAATCCGTATATTATTATTATTATTTCAGTCGTTAACTGTCCACTGCAGGACATAAACCTTCCCCATAAGGGGAGTTTTGCCAGTAGTTGCCACGTTTGGCAGGCGGGTTGGCAATTGCGCTTTTAGGGTTTTAGAGATGTTTTAAGAGGGATGCTGCTGCCCATCTCTCGCTTTCCCTTAGTCGCCTTTATGACCCCTACGAGAAAGTAAGGAGTCTTTCTGTGGCGGGACACACGGCGAATCCGTTTATATAATATCTTATATATTACATTAGGATATAACCTACCCGAATATCAAATTTGATTCAAACCAAATATATCCGTTAAAGCGTGATTGAATAACGAACATCTGAACATCCAAATATTTTTATAAATGTTCGTTTACGATATTAATAAGTTAATAATTATCAGTATTATGTGATTGTAATAAACGCCGTAAAATGTTATCCATATATATATAATCATACTATTTTTGAACGATTTCCAAATGATGGGGGTTGACGGTTTGTTAATATCTTCTCCAGTTCTGAACCAATTTTGATAATTCTTGTTATAGTTGTATAAAGTTATTGTTGTTAAGACTTTCACAACTTTGTGTGGATAAAATTTTATGAAGATTAAATGCAATATATACGTGTACTATGCTAAGATACAGATTTTTTTTTTATTATTTTGATGAATTAATTTTGGTATTTTGAAAATTTTATTATTAATAATGGATAAGTTTATTTTAGACTAGCCGTATTCCACGCGAATCAGTACATAAAGTATCCTATGTGCTAAGTTAGGATATAACCTGCACGTGCATCAAATTTTATTTAAATATAATAATAGGATTTTAAAATATGCATATAACGATTTATCTATATGCATATCCAGATACATTACAAGATCTTCATTTTAACCATTGGCTAATTCAACTTGGTAGAAACTGAAACACCAAATAGAATAAAATAAATAAAATTTAGTACTTAATAAATTCTACCGTAGACTTAGTATAACGTACTTGCGCAATAACCTACATACACCATTACCAGGACAGTTCTAAAATAAAAGAATAAATTTGTTCTCTTCTTAAAGCTACTTGTATATGGCCCAGGTAATGGATTATCATGATGACGGGATGATATAAATCATAAAATAAAAAATTGCAAACAAACGAACCTATACCCAAATGCGATAATTACCATGACACCCCAGTTCAGTAACGATGACGGCTATAACAGCGGTATAGCATGTGTTATAATCGCGTGATCTCAGCCAGGGTGCGATTCTTCGCACGCACATCTCACACGCGATAGTCCTGCGGCCAAACTGTTGTCTAAATTTACTATCACAAGCCTCTCATTTTATTCTCTTTATATGTATAAGCTAAATAAATTGAAAATTAAAGTCACCGTAATATTATACTTATTTTTTTATTTTCGTTAACGAAAATAAAATGGTAACCGCGATTAAAATAATTATTCTACGAGTGAATTAAATGAGAATATTATTTTTAAAATGTTTATCACATGGGTTATAAAATAATTGTAAATTGTAATACAAATTTACATTGTAATATTATAATTTACTAGAAAAAAAAAGTATGAATATTGTTGTATTTATTAATAAGTTTTAAATAATTGCAGAAAGAGCACTAAAAATTTAAATGTTTCGTATATTTCAAATATGGTACAACATTAAATTAATAATGTTAGTTATATTTTTAACATTCTTTTCATATTTAGGGATAGTGAATTGTTTCCCATTATCAAACTTATTACCTATAGTCTACATATTCTCTACACATACCTACAATGATATGATTTTAAAATACACAATTATATTGTTTATTTAAAATTGTTATGACTGTTGAAAGAAATCAATAGTAATATTTAATTTTTAATCCTAGATTTTAATATAGGTAACTAGAAGAAGATTAGGTAAATAGTTTTAGTTTACATAACATATTACTAAGGTATGTAATGTTAATAATTATTGTTAATAATGCTTATTTCAATTGTTCTTGTCTGTTATTTTATTATGAAATTCTTCTGACAGTATGTAGTAATTTAACACCCATAACAAACAAGGAATTGCAGGTGTGTTACCAGCCTTCTAGGAAGGAAAACAGACTTTTCTTGAAGGTTTCAATATGGCATTCGGAAATACTGCTTCTGAAAGTTGGTTTGGTTGTAATAAACATTAATTACGATTCCAAAACATCTAAGCTCCTGGACTATTGTCCCTCTTATCCTATTATTAATTATCGTTTATTTGCTTGTTCTTATTATAAATCTTAATATAGGTACACTCTCCACTGTCGTTCAATAAATATCAGAACTGTTATAAAACAGATCTACGTATACATATAAGCAGACTAAACAAATTTTTATATTTAAGAGCTTTCATAATTTATTTAGCTTTATATAGACATTGAATAAAAATTAACATTTGCTTTAAAAATAATATAACTACTAGCTTACCTAAATGTAGCTACATACATACATATTATTTGCTAATTTTTAAAAACAAAATTAAAATTTTTAAACGTTTTTTCACTGATTTAATATTAAAAAGTGCTCTACAAGAGAACTAAAACGTTAATCATAGAATAAGTTGCATATAAATATAAATCTATTACTAAAACTTTTTACCTAATTCATATTTTGCTTTGGCATTTTTCAAATACGTTTTTGCCATTAATGTAAATATAAATGTTTAATGTAAATCGTCAGTAATAGCGTTTTAGTTCGCTAGCAAAGAACTTTTGAAATAATTACTCAGAAACATTGAACATTGTTAAATTGTATTTGAAAATTTACATATTTTATAAATGCAATGTTGTCACATTTTAGTATCAAAGCTAAAGTTATTGAACACTCTTAAGTTAATGATAAAACGTATAAGTAACAACAACAACTCGACGTGTCTACTCCGAAATCTTTGTGTCTACCTACAGTCATAGGCAAAACAGTTTTCTTTTTTTCTACAATACCTTTCTCATGTTTTCTCTCTCAGCGTTTCTAGATCGCCTTTGTTATAAATGTAGACCTTTGACACGAGTTATCAAACATAAAGCAAGCGAATGACAATATTTATATTTATGTTTTTTTTTTTTTATTATGATTCAAACATGAATTCTAAAATTCAGAGGATTATGCTGAAATTTTGTTTTGGGATTTTAGCATAACAAAGAAATTATACGCCACTAAACTATCACCTTCAATTAACAAAAGACCTATTCTATAGTAAACTCAAAATTTATAGAAAATAGATTTTGTTCCAAAAAGTAACTTAATTAATATGAGAGAGATCAACTTGTAAGTAAACAAAGAAGACAAAGTTACATACGAGTATATAACATATTTAGTAATTTATTTTTAAAACTTTTAACTTCACAATGGTAAATTAATTAATTAAATTCTCATTGTAAATAGATATTTTTGTACTAATTTCCTATACTTTTTAACTCTATAAACAAAAAGAACCTGTGGTAGAATTTTAATACATGTATTTATATATTTAATGTTGATGCATGAATGTAATTGACATTTTTTGTTACTCTGTCTGACACATGCGTTTCACCACGTGTACCTTACAACCTACGGCATTCCAGTGGCTATAAAATTAGTGTGATCGTGTCATGTCCGGGAATTACCTGGGGGTCTTCATAGAGTACAAACTTTCTATGTCAACACAGCGCATAGACAAATACAGTGACATATTTCCTTCATTTTAGATACGTTGCAAAGTTAATAACACGAGTAGATACCTATTAAACGTAATACAAATAGAAGTTACACGACTACAAATATCGTTCTCTTAAAAATAGATCTTTCCTTTTTTACAAATATAATCAAATACTAAATTCGTGTTTATAGTTGTGTTTGAAAATATTCGTGAATTATTTATGGGGAATAATCTTTTAAATGGCAAATGGGAGGACATGGGCGAAATGTATACTCTGTTATGTCCATGCTACTGCTTTTTACAAATATAATCCATCAGGTGGGCCGTCACATTCCATTCTAAATAAAACAAATGGGGGTAGTTAAAGACAATTTGTTAACTGTCACCGCTGTGAATAATAATCTGTAGAAATAGACAAGCAAATTACTATATTACTTTATGTTATAGTAACATACGATATTTGTATGCCTATAAAAAATAAATAATTATGACGTATATACATATATTATATAATTATAATACTATAATATAATGATAGCTTTAATTAAATGGAAAACAATGACTGTAAGTTTTTATTCAATTGGAGGATTTCCGGTATTTTTTTACAAATTCCAATACAAATTCGCGAAAAATAACACCATCACAAAATAGACTATACTCTTCATAGAATCATAAATATACCTACTGTCAATTTCGTGGATCTATTTTTGATATACCTTTTTTAATGTTGACACAAGATAATTCAGTATTTACGACTAGCTATCGTTTTCGTCTACTAATACTTAAATAGTACTATAATCAAACTAACCACACAGTAAAGAAAAGTAAGAACCCAGAAGAAGTTATTAGTCAAATATAAACTTACATACTTATATAAGCAACGAAGAAATTATTTTCTTATAGTTTAACAAAATGGAGTATACCTACTGTTATTGTGATAAAGTATTTAAGTATAACTAATGAACTTAAAAATGTTCACTGTTCGTACTAACGCGTAGAAACAACAAGACAATACGTTTCGCACAATAGGTCCGGAGATACATTCGTCGAATTGTCGCCAGCCGTCGGACGGTGGTCGCGACTTCGCACCGAGGTGACAGTAAACAGCTGCTGCGACGATAATTACCAACAAAGCTCTCATATTTGTCCACCACCTTAACGCAGACCCTTTTACTCTTGAACCTTATCGAGAATCCAAATTTACACCAAAAGATAGTTTTCAGGAAATAAATATATACTTTATATAGTGTTAAGGCTCAATATTTAGAACTGAGAGGTTCTTACCATGATTATTTGTTTATATGAGCGCGTCGAGATTTTCAACCTGTTGCAAATACCCACCAATTACGTACACTCTAGTTTTACAAGTGCAGACACCAGTTTTACTAACAAAATTAGAAATACCTTTTAAATATAATTTGACGATTCTGAATATTTTAGAATGATTATTTACTTTAAAACTTTCACATTGTATGATTTATAATTTTTAAGAACAGGAATATAATATACGTACGATAAAATATATTTTATTTACATTGAGTTTATTAGTATACCTTAATTTACTTTAAGTGTAGATTGACAGCATCGAAAACCTTATACCAAAATATTACTCATAATAATAATCTTGGATTTTTATTTCCATAATATTAGGAGATGAAATGTTTTTAGAGGGTGACGATTAAAATTCAAAATTTATCTATTGACGAAAACTACTCGAAACTTCCTTTTGTTCTATTGGGAAATAAAGTAATTCAATCAAATGCCTATTTATTTTATTGTAGTGTAACTATTTTAAGTATAGATTTTTAATGAGAAAAATGGATTAATAATATATATCGTGAATCGCTTACGTAAATGGTTAGCAAGCGGTTAGCGCGGGCATCATACATACATCGGCCACAATGCTGTGTTGATACGCGAGATGTCAAACTACGCAGGCGCAACGCAAACAGCCTGATTGTGTTTATAGCCACTTAACGAGAGCCTGTGACAATTCCGATTAGTACTCGAAAAAACTTTACCGTGTATTTGTTTTTAGCAAGAGCAGCTACTTTGTATCTAAAGGCGTGTTTTATAACGTTGCGCATTTTTTATATCTGTTTGTTTAACATGACTTTAGTCCGTTTATAAGACTAGTAAAACAGTACAATACTCTTCTATTATTTTTTCTACATTTTAGACATATTTATATAATTATACCTAGTTATTTTTTAAATATTTTTTTAAATATATATCGTGTGAATAAAAATAAACGCCATATGATCCCGGCATAGATTAGCCCACCCATTTTTTTCCATGGATGCTGCAAGAGGTGACTAAGGAAACTTAATGGTCAAGGGATGGGCAGTGGCCTCCCCCTTAAAACATCATTAAAGCCTAACTGCAGTTGCTAATCAACCTACCAAACATGGCAACTATTGGCAAAACTCCCCTTATGGAGGAGACTTATATACACCAGTATAGTTACTGGTTAGTACAATAAAAAACAAAAATTAAAAATAAAGAAAATAATTTTATTATTTCTGTTTTTTAACAGATGATAAAAACAACAGAAGACCACGGCGAGTGGGCCCAGAACGAAAACCTCGACAAGCTTATAGTGCAAAGCAACTTGAAAGACTGGAAGCTGAATTCAAACTTGATAAGTATCTTAGTGTCTCTAAAAGGATGGAATTATCTAAAGCACTCGGACTAACAGAAGTACAAATTAAAACGTGGTTTCAAAATCGAAGAACGAAATGGAAGAAGCAGCTCACGTCCCGTTTAAAGATAGCACAACGTCAAGGATTATTTCCGGGGCAAATCTTCGGACATGCCCCGCAAGCGTATTCTCTCTTAAATCCATACACTTACGCACCCCTTAGTTGTGTATTTACACCAGTAACATTGCCATCGACACCACCGTAAATTACTTAACAATTTTTATAGATAAACCCATTTATATTTAAGATTTTTTTGTATATGAAATATTGTCCGCATTTTCAATAATTATTCAATGAATTTAAAACCATTTATACTTATATTATACAAGTGAAATTGAAATCATTAGCATCTTATTAAGAAAGAGTTGTATCAGTAAAATTCAATATATTCCTAAAAGAAATATGGATAATAAAAATAACAAAAAGTTTTGATCGTCTCACACTAATTTAACAGCTGAACGCTATTATTAATAGAGGAAATTTAACATTATTGACGTTTATTGTACCCATATTTCTTTGGAAAAAATATCCCATTTCACTAGTAAACAATGTTAATTATTTCAGTTGCACTCAATATATTATTTTAATTTCCGATATAACACTTGCAAAAAAGGTATAAAGAGAATACCACCGATTATGGAATATTTGGAAGTATATTTACAGTATTAATGTAGAAATTAAATACTTAATTGTATCATCAAAATAAATGCATAAATAATACCTCTAAGAGTCTAGAATATATGTTAGAAATGCGACTTAACAATCGAAGTATACTCTCCAAGCAGCCATTTTTTAAAACAGTTCTATTTTGGGTCAAATAAAATAATAACTATAAGTATTAAGTATATAGTGTGGGTAGGTGACCCACTCACTATACAAACCTTCATCGTGAATCAGTATTTGGAAGTCGTACCATTTTTTTTTTCATACGAGTACAGACAAACAGTGTTGCCAAATATGCAGTAACCTAAACTCTTTGTAACTATTTAATAATAAATACAGACATCTTTATATGACCAACATACTAGAAGCACTTATTATATTGTTTAATTATTATTTTTAAAACAAATTTTTCCTATTAACTAGGTCCTTTAAAACATTATATGTCAAAAATCAATGATTTTATTGATATCGGTCGAGCGATTTCGAATTATCTGAACGAAAAAGAATCCGAACATCATATATGAAAACACATTTTTCAACACAAATCATGTATGATATTTCCAATTTTATCTTTTACTTTTTTTAGTGACTTTATATAGATGTCCACACATACCATTTATATTACGTTAATTTAGGTATAACAGATATCTACTAAAATTTGTCAAAACGTTTTGTTCGTAGTTCCTTCGTTATTAAACTCTGCGAGTAAATATATCTTTAGTTTACCTAATTATATAGTTTGTGTGAGATTTTTTGTCTTGCAAATAGGCCATTTTTGCGCCTTTAAATCGTCATAAAGCCTTACGTATTCTATCCGTGTTACATTACGATGCGTAAATCAATAATTTTATTCTACTCTGGTCCATTTAGCGTGTTAACTATTTTAATGATAGTGCGAAATGTACATAATTAGATATTCATTACTTAACTCGCTACTTTTATCACTTTGGTTATGCATACATATGTCTCAGTTTTAAATCAAAAGATGTTAAATATGGGTAACGTACGTACGTATTTATTAACGGTAGAATCTATTTATCGAACTGCCGACTACTTCAATATGTGCCAACTGTGTAAAGTAGTTATGTAAATTCTGCTGAGACTTGAGATAAAAACTGAGGTAAGTATAAATAAAAATAAAACAACATGAATATATAAAGAAAAATAATAAAATTCACATTCTGTAACACTTAAAACTGTCTATAATTTATATAAAAAAAAATGAGTTAAAAACAACAAATAGTCTTTCGCTATAATTATTACAAAATTTTTAATAACATATCAGTACACATATTTAGCGTCGTATTTTTTTTGTACTTAGAGTTTTTTTATGTATATTTTTTGTATCAATGAGCACGAAGAAAAAAGTAAAATTTGCACATGTGAAAACCTATTATCGAGCTATAATTTTTTTTTATTGTTTTTTATACAGGAAAAATTACTTACGACTTAGCAAAGAAGCTGACTGCCCATCTAGTCAAGTGGTAACCGTCGCCACCACCCAACACCCTTTTTTATATTGGACTTCTTTATCGTATTATTGAAGATTTAAATTAATGAAATAGACACCTACTTCAGTACTATTTATATATACCTATCTTCAAGGTAACTAAATATAATACATACATAACAAAACACATTTCGATTGCATTGAAATAAAAACTAAGTTGTATCTAGAGAAAAATAAATGAGTTAACATTACGTCCAAATTATGTAGGTATAGAAAGAGGTATTTACGTATTTTTTTTAATGGGTGATAATGGAATGGTAACCCCGCCTGCGCTATCGGGATACGCTGGCGGGGCACTAATGAAGGATGACAGGTGAGGATGAAGCGGGTCAGTTGGCCAATCGTGACGAATTCAACAAAAATTGTTCACGATGGTTTCCAGGGGGAACCACGTGGAGGTCGACCTAATAGGGCATATTGCTAGCAATGGGGCTGTCAAACTCCATTGCTAACGATCCCTTTCCTCCCGGTATTTACGTATTAGGAAACTAATTATTTAATGAATAATTGTGAAAATAAAAGCGTTTATGTATAGAGACAGTAAAAAATTGTATACATTATGTTCGAACTAAAATGTATTAACAGAGACCCAATTAGAAATTGAAATTAGAAAATATTACATAAACACAATATTTTTGTTTAGTCTATATATATATATATATATATATATATATATATATATATATATATATATATATATATATATATATATATATATATATATATATATATATATATATATATATATATATATATATTTAGATAGGTATTAGGAAGTTCTATTCCATGTGATTATTGTATATTAGGTAATTAACTGAGAAATCTATGTTAAATATACTAAAACACGTTTATTGTCGATTAAATGTAAATAAGAAAATTATAATTTATTCTCTGCACTATTTGTAACAGTTGTGCAATAAACATTCCTTATTAAATATCCATGTAAATTTATTTGTCACGATTCCCTATTAGTAAGATCATATTCATTAAGTAATTTAAAGTGCACCTAGTTTATTCGACTGTTATACATACTTTATTTCAAATATGAATAAATAATGTGGTAGATAGATAGAAAGATAAATTAGTATTTTGTATAAACTTTAATAGGCAAATTTTTGATGCTTTGAGTTACATTATTGTAAGTGTAAGTGGAGTTCAAACAAAAACTTAGATTTAACTAACTATATATTCAAAACTGAAATACAGATCAATACTTCTACACTAGATTTATAGGTTAATAAGAGAGGGAAATTAACGCTTCTTATTTTAATACATGTAAAATATTTGCCTAGAGTAATCTCGACGTTTTTTCTAGGTTGCACCAGCCATTGTATTTATATCTTATATCATAACAACAGTTTACACTTATATGTGTTCACATAAAAAATATAGGTGAGAAATATCTTAATTACAATAAATATAAGTGCTTGCATGATGCAGATTATTGGCAATGTGCGGGCGGATAAAAGACGTCGCATTCAACGCCGCCTAGACCCAATGCAGCGGCACGAAGTGCCCCCAACGCTCCACCACGAGTCCACGCCACGCCTGCACTTTTAAACGATATACTAAATTAATTTATTATCCACTAAAATTTTTTTAATAATAATAAATGCCACTGGCCATATACTTAAAAACACTTAATTAGTAATAGACAACAAATACTCTTTTTAGTAAATATAATAACAGTGTAAATTTTTGTATTATATGGTATTAGGATCGAACTCACAACTATTGTAAACTGAGCAGTGTATTAAGCAGCACTAATGCACTAAGTCGTTATACTACAGCAATATAATCTGATATTTCTTTTAATTTACTGAACCTTTGAAAAATTAACCTAGATGCCTATTGCATGGTAGTAAGATATAAAAGTGAAATTACTAGATAAATATATGTTTATATCACAAGGAGTAATGAGTGAGTAACGTCCCTTGTACTATAAGCAACTAAGAGCTGCGCTTCATTCTTATCTTCTGAAAGACCGTATGTTCGATAGCTACTAGTTGTAAGTATAAAATAATCTGCAGGAAATGGAATAGAAACTGATGGCATTTCTAATCAAAAATAATATATAACACCTACAGGGTGTAACTGAAATTCTTAGTATTTTTTTAAGGTAGTATTCTATTAGTGAAACCATTTTTTTTAAAGAAAATAACGTAGTACAACGAATTAATTAATTAATATAAAGTAGTTGTATCCGACAATTCTGATCACGTGAATCAGTACATAAAATATCTTATGTGCTAAATTAAGATATAACCTTATCGTGTATAAAATTTCATTCAAATCCGTTCAGTAATTTTTGCGTAAAATAGTAATAAACATCTATCCATTCAACCAGCCATCAATTCATTTATCATTATGAACTTTTGTTAATATTAATAGGGTAACTCCTTCACCTGTCACAAGTTTATTAAAAATGCCCATTTCACTCTGTGAACATAATAACACATTGAACATATAATTTAAATCTCTTTTTCTTTAAATATAATGAAATATGTATATAAATTGTTCACTTACGCTTTATGGTTCACTAAAGTGACTACTTTTTGTAGTAGTAGCTATCTATGATAACTTCTATTCATAACAATAATAGATAGGCAGTTCAAGTTACAAAGGAGATATGAAGTAAGATGTGAAGACTTTTTAATAACATAAAAAATACTTACTACCAAACAGGTAGCCAGTAACGACTATTGTTACGAAGATCTCTTGCTCGTTTGTTCCCCAAACACAAAGCCCTGTATAAACATGGTGTAGAGCGAGGTTTGAGAACAAGAAGTGCGTATCGTGCTATATTATTTACGGCCGATACATTACTCCGCTTAGAGCTCTCATCAGTTTCACTGTTGCGTTTGAATCGAAAGATTTCCTCCATGTTCAAAGAGTCGCCTGTGTTATCTACCATTTGCATAATTTGTGGTTGCTCCGGATTCTGAAAATGTGTAAATAATACGCGCTTATTATATTCGAAATATATTAATAGCGATAATAAATATAATATATTGTTTAGTTTTCGGATGGAGAGGACTATACTTGAAGCTTTGTTGCGTGATAGATTCCGAAACTAAGATATTCGCGGAAGAATCAAAGTAACAGATGTAGGATAAGCAAGCTGAAGTGGCAACGGACTAGTCATACAGCTCGAAGTACTCTCTAATATAGGCAAACATATGATACAACTTCAAATATTGCTGGAATTTATTCGGTGCAAATGGGACAAAAATATCAGTTACATTCTATGAGAGAGGCTTACTTTCTACAAGGAACAATTGACCGTTAAAACTATGGCAATTTAGTTTTATTACATTTGGTACTAAATATTCATGGTGGCTTCTTCCTTCATAAATATATAAGTAATATTACATTGTAAAAATAAATAATATGCTATTGGCTACCCACTTACCATAGTAATACACATAAGTACTTGAAGCACGAACATGGCGAAGGACAAGAATGCGATGCCAGTTAGAGAAATCTCAAAGAGTTCGGATATTCCAAGACCATGTTTTTCTCGTTCTTCACTGGTATCCTCTACGTGTACTTGAGGAGGAGGGTGGTGGTAAAGGGGAGGAGGAGGTGGAGGCATTGAGTATTCATATCCTCCACCTAAAATTTAAAAATGGCATTAATATTGATGAAACGAATATTTCATCAGTTAATGTTATTAAGATGATTATTATAATAGTATTTAATCTTTTTAATAGTTCGCAAGATAATATGCGTATTGCATACTTCTGATTAGAGCTGAAATTGATACTTCAGTAAATACAATAAAGTCGAGATCTGAGCATTAAACATTATTATTATATATTAGTCTGTTGCAGCATAATCCAGCAATCGTGTTGGTAGTTTATTAACCATAAATTAAGACAATAATCAGAAAATTTGATGGAGAATGATAATAATTAAATTGTAGAGCCATGTCTTCATATATTATATTTATTAATTATATTTATAGATTTAACAATCGCCGTGTCATAATATAAATATGTCACAAAGCCTATTTATCTCTAAGGTGTTGTAAAAGGTGACTAGCCAAACAAAGAATAAGATGTATAAGGAATGGAAAACTAGAAATAAATAAAATCCGTATTAGGCTTACACGCTGTCTATATTTGAGGAAAAATTATATATTCATCGAATATAATTATATAAGGTAATTGATCGTTAAGAATAGGTCGTGTGGTCCCGGCATAGAATAGGCCACCCCTTCCTTTCTCGTGCATGTCGTAAAAATCGACTAAGGAAAGACGAGAGATGGACAGCATCATCCCTCTTAGAACACCTCTAAAGGCTGATTGCGTTGTCAATCCGTCTGCCAAGCGTGGCAATCACGGGCAAAACCCACCCAAGGGAAAGACTTATGTTCAGCAATGGACTGTTAATGGCTGATATGATGATGATGATAGGCAATTTAGTTTCATTGTATACGATATTAAGCTATTGTATTAGCAATTTAGATAAAAAATACATACAAAACGTACAACTACGTAACGTAATCGAAAAGGAGCTATTGTCAAGATTGAACTTTTTAAACATTTTTTTTTTAATAATACACATTATGCTGTAAATACTATTGTAAAATGACGACCAAAGTTAGTAACTTTAGATTGACGAGTTACTCGTACTTACTATATTTAGATACTTCTTGAATAGGTTCCTCCGGATCTACATAAGTTGTCCCTTCACCAGCCTCAAATACCTCATAACCGTCTCGAGGTTGAGAATATTGAAGTAGAGGATTTATGGGCGTGGATATTTGTTTTGAATTGTTTCCAAAGGAATTAATGGACATCACTGTATTATTATAACGATATTCATTGTTGAGGGCTGCTACTCTGAAAAATGTCATAAATAAAATTGCTTGAATTGTAACTAGCCTCGTAATTATATCTCTTCAGTTCTACACTTTTGACAGAGTGTTCGTAGTTTTTAAGATTATAGTGGATTGTCGATGAGGCTCTTCTTCGTGATTGAGGTCCTCGCAATGTGTCTCCATTTATTTCTGTTCACAGCCGAGCAAGAGCATTCCACAATAGATTGCTGTGTGGCTGTTTTAATGAGGTCAGTCCATCGCGTTGGTGATCTACCACGAAAACGTTTATCTTGGACAATTAGCAATAATATAGCAGGTATCTAATGACGAAAAGCACTTCTTATTTTTAACAACATGTAATGTGATAAGCACAAAGAAACTTAAGAATTTAATTGACCGCAAGAGCATGAGGACATAATGAATAGGAATAACTCCAACTAGATATTTTGTATACAATATCTATTGTATAGAAGTATTTTGGTTTTTTAACTTTGGAATCGAGGCTGTGCTTGCTCTTTAAGATTGCAAATGAATCGTTGAATGAATCATAAACAGCGTCTCTGAACTTGATTGCATGTAATCACACTTTTAGACACCCTCGACTATTCAATATTTCATCAACCAATAATAATGTGTCCTAAAATAATCCTATTTATCGGGTTACAGATCGAATCCTCAATCGTTCAATAAAATAAGCGAAAAATACGATATCTTTGATCAAAGTACCATTAGTTTAAAGAAGTTATTATATAGTTTAGAAATGGTATAAGTTAAGATCATAACTGTAATTAGTAATGTAATGCACATCTGTAAAAGCGTTACAACGTTTACTTCTAACTTACTGCTAATGATGTTTACATTGTAAGATTAGTAAACTGTGTTTAGATAAATGTTTCTATGGTTTTCAATTAAATATCATGCTCCTTTCTGTTTGAACTGTTATTGTTATTTGTAACAAATAAATAAATAAATATAGGAATGTGATTAAAATTAAGATATGAAAGAATCATATAAAGTAATAATGTTTTTTTTATTATCATCTGTCCTATGATTTGTCTATCAGGTTAGGACCGACTCTTAAGTATATACATTTCTTTTCTACTTTGTAAGACTCCTAACAGCATACTTGTTGCGGACTCAAAGGATGGTAAGTGGAAATCGTCGCATATAGACATGAATAGCATTATGGATATAATAAAATATACTCGTATTTAATTGCCTTTTGCGGCATCTTTCAAGCTTCCATTCTCAATAATTTTAGCAAAACATCCATACAGGCACCATTGGTTTACAGTAGTAACATTAATGAGAAAGTGACTTTGCACAGTTGTAGAACTACTAGGTAGGTAGTCGGATTAGGAAAGCCGTCGAGGTAAGAATTTTCTTGCTTCGTCTGCTTTCCTAATTCAAGTGATGAATGCGCATTGGTTACTTGGACAATAAATAAAGTGATAAACTTACTTAGTTAGCCATTCCTGGTAATTAGCAGAGCCAATATCATACATCAAGTTATTTCTGATATCTTGAGTGTGTCTAGTTATTGATGCAGTTTCTTTCCCATCGGTGCCAAAAGGTTTACCAAGTCGACTTTGTAATGCATTTTTGCCCATCTCTTCCAAGATTTGTTCAGCAACATAATTACGACAATGATACTCGTTCATCATTTGTCTAAAGCATTTGAATAAAAATGATTTAGAATCAATTAATGTTGATTTGTCTACATTGAATGACATAGAAAGTCTTTCGTAAATAATTTTATTATGTACTAAAGTCTTCGAGTATACAAAATGTAATGGAAACAAAATTTTCAATAGAATACAAGATTACAGTAATATTGTGTCTACTTGTGTTTAATACCGTGCATTGTGCATTTGGAATATTACTATTTGGGCATGTGTGTGTTGGTTTGCCCTTGCCTTGGGTAGTTCGAATTTAAGTTTACTGGATTGGCAGTAAATAACGAATTGTTGTTGTAATTATGATTTTAATATTGAAACTATATAAATTTACAATATTTGGAATGTATATATATATATGAAAATGAAGAGGTAACGGTATATGAAAGGCAATTCAATTGTGACGAATGACGTGAATGTGGCTGTTGATATATAATGGGTCGTCGCAATTTGCTTCACACTTCACGCTCCTTTCAGCAACCATATATAACATGGGCCCCGCCTTGGAAGCAGCAGGTTCCAAAAGATTAAATAGATGCTGCGGTATCAGCTTTACGGGTAATGGACAGATCTTCGAAAAGGCTCTTCGTGTAGTTCCAGATGAAGTAAGAAGATCTGCTACTCTCGATATACCATCGGTCCCGGGATAAATACGTATTATCCTGCCTAACTTCCATTGCAGTGGAGGCAGGTTATCATCTTTAATGAGAACGAGTTTATTGAGTTCAACCTCGCTCTTTAGTATTCCATTTAGATCTTGATTGTAATTCCGAGACGTATTCTTTGCCCATCGTCTCCAAAAGTAGACTGTCTCATCTGCTCAATCACGTCGTAGCGCAGCAAGCGGTGAGTTGGCTTGTCAGTTACGTCTCTAGTGGCCGGCGCTGTCAAAGGTCGGCCGATGAGGAAGTGAGCGGGATATGAAGGTCATTGGGGTCTGTCGAGAGAGGAGTTAAAGGACGGGAGTTGAGGATGGCTTCAATTTGTGCCAATACCGTACTGAGTTCTTCATACGTAAGATAGAGTTTCCGACTACTCGACGAAGGTGGTGTTTACATAAAATATAAATTCCCAACAACCGCCGAAGTGAGGAGCGTATGGAGGAATGAAGCTGAATTTAATATTATTATTTGATGAAAAATCTTTAATTTCAACAATTTTATCATAAATGGCTGAATACAATTCGATTTTTTCAGCCCCAACAAAATTTCGACCGTTGTCAGACATGATTTCCGCAGGTTTACCCCGGCGAGATATAAATCGCTTTAATGCAAGGATATAATCATTAGTGGAAAGACTAGTGACTAGTTCTAAATGTATGGAACGTGTACACAAACAAGTAAATAAACAAATATATCCCTTTTTTTACTTTAATTCTGGTCCGGCGATTCAATATCATCACCGGCCCAGCATAATCTACACCACTGCGCATAAATGGAAATCCAGGCTCTAGGCGTTCCGCAGGTAAATCACCCATTAACGGCTGAAAAGTTCTTCCCTTCATACGCGTGCACGTGACACAGTCATGTACTGTTTTCCTAGCCAGGTTTCGTCCTCCTAGAGGCCACCAGGATTCACGTATACAAGCTAATAAGAGTTGTGGTCCTCCATGTAGCAATTGTATATGTTCATATCTAAACAATAATATTGTTAATCGATGTTTACTACACAATAAGACTGTGTTTTTTATCATTATCGAAGTGGGGCGAGTTCCGTAACCTTCCTCCAACGCGGATAAAATTTGTTTTCGTCCACGAAAATATTTAAACCAATCAATATATTTTGCCTTTACTACTGATCGCTTAACTAAATCACTATACTCCTCAGAAAAGGATTGTGATTGAAAGAGCTGTGTCAGCATAATAACTGACGCATTTAATTCATTGGTAGATAAAGGACCAACAGTACGATGTGATTTTATCACGAATATTATTTACAAAACGCAATACATATGCACCGGCGCGTCGTAATCGATTGAATGACGAGAATCTGTTAAAATTAACCAGTTCGTTGTTATAATTTAATTCATTACATACCATGCTAATATGTTGAGTCTTAACTTCGGGTAATTGAGTTTGATCTATAAAAATATTATTTGAATAAGTTAAATTACGGTCTCGCAAAAATAATGGCCCGTGCCACCATAATTCATTATGTTTAAGTTTATTTAATGTAAGGCCTCTCGACACGATATCAGCAGGGTTGCTCTTGCCGTCTATATGTATATACACTGCATCAGTAAGTTCATTAATCTGTGATACACGGTTTTGAACAAATGTCTTCAAATTATAAGGTGACATTCTAAAACCGATAACAATAGTGGAGTCCGTCCAGAAAATTATTCTTGTGAATGTTAATCTAAGTGAATTGATTATTTTATGATACAACCGCGCAATAGTAATATATACAACTCAAGTCGCGGGATAGTGCACACAGTTTTTACCGGTGCAATTTTGCTTTTCGCACATAACAATTTAATAGTTATAGGCAAATCACTGTCACTATTATAAGTACGTATGTACGCATATAGCGCCATATGCGTCTTGTGAGGCGTTGGTAAAAATGTGCAGTTCACAATTTGTTTATCTTCACTCATGACATAGCGAGGTATACGTAATTCGGGCAGATGTATATATATTTAAAAATTGATTCCATTGACATTCTATGTCGATGGGAACCACATCGTCCCAATCGATTTTGAGCAAATAATTTTTGTAACATTATCTTTGCAATAATTATAGTCGGAGATAAAAGTCCTAAAGGATCATATATTTGCGAAATGATTGACATAATAGTGCGTTTTGTGATGATAGGCTTATTTTCCAAACTCGTAGTAAAATGGAGTTCATCTTTGTCGACTTGCCAACCTAGTCCTAGTGTTTTATTTTGACAATATTCTCCAATTGCTAATTCTTTAGATGTTTTTATGTTTACGTCATGGTTGAATGTCCATTTTCGTAACGGAAAGCAACCTGATTTTAATACAGTAAAAAAACATTTTCGCATATATTAGACAAAATTACGGGATCATCATCACCAGTGATTAAATCATCGACAAAAAAGTCTTCGATGATGACCCTAGCAATAACATCATCAGTAGTTTCATACCATTTTGCCAGTTGACGCAGGCAACGCATGCTCATTCGAACCCGTCCCGTACGTTACCGTATTTAATTGATATACAACTAATTCGTCCGTAGAATTTTTCCCGCCACAATATAAGTTGCAGTGTACGCTGATCGTTTTGAATCAAAATTTGACGATACATTTTTTCCACGTCTGCGCACGCTACGTATATAACTACGAAAACGAAGTAAAATGGAGAAGATGTCGTTTTGTAATGGTGGCCCTATTCGCTGTATGTCGTTTAACGACTTATTTGAAATTTGGCACTAGCATCAAACACTACACGTAATTTTGTAGTGATGCTATGTTCCCTAAAAACCCCATGATGAGGAAGAAAATAACAGGGTTGAGTGTACTCTTTAATTGGAGTCATGTGATTTAAGTTAATGTATTCGCGCATAAAATTAACGTACATCTCTTTATATTTAGGTGACTTGTTTAACTTGCGCTCTAATGAAAGAAAACGTGACTTGGCTTTTTCATATGAATCACCAAGCGCGTCCGCCGATTCCTTTAATGGGATTCGAACTGCAAATCTGCCATTGCTGTCTCGCTTTGTCGTGTTAATAAAGGACTCCTCACACTGACGTTCGTCTTCAGTGAGAAGATTCTTCGATCCACTGACTTCTTCCAGTTCCCAGAACTTACGCAGTTGTATATCAGTGAGGACATTTGAGCAAAATTACACTGAATTACTTTATTACTGTGCAATTTTATTATTAGGAATTAATAAAGGACCTGAAAGTAACCATCCCAACTTAGACTTCTGTAGATATGGTCCGCTAGGTAATCGAAACCTTCGTCCAACAAGTCCCAAAATACGTCTGCACCTATCAGCAGGTCGATCGCTGATGGTGAAAAAATTGGATTATCGAGACAGATATCGTCTGGAATACTTAGTGTGGCACTGTCAATATGAGTGGACGGCAAGCTAGACGTGATGCATGGCAATATGAAACATTTTATTCGTGTATTATATTCGTTCGTTTTCGATCGCATATTAATATCGCATAATTTATTTGATTGTGAGACTGTATGTCCCACGCCAGATATGTGTATAGTGGACTGTATAATCGATACGTTTAAAAATTCGCATAGCTTTGATGATACAAAACAATTTTGACTACCACTGTCTAACAACGCTCGGGCTGTGTGATATTTGTTGTTATTATCCATTACCTCAACAAGAGCAGTGGACAATAACACTTGTGACAGTGATATGGAAGGTTCCTTGTCATTTGATGACTGAGCATGATTTATAAAGTTCATTGCGTGTGATACTACTGAGACCTGCCCTTTATCAGCTGACTGTGAATTATGCGCACTGGTCACTGGTGAAACAGGCGTAGACGCAATGTAGACACTTTCATTATGTAATAAACTATTATGTTTTTTCTGACATTGCTTGCACGGACCGAAATTTACTCTAAAACCGAATGTCCCGAACGTAAACAATTACAACATAATTTTTTCTCATTAATAAATTTAATTCTCTCTTGAACTGGTAAGTTAAGAAATTTAATACAAGCGTATAACGAATGCATATTACCGCACAACGCACATTGACGCATCGGCCTGTCGGATGTACTGTATTTACGCGTAGACACGAAACTATGCGATTGCTGAACTTGTGGTATGACATTTGTCTGCCGTCTACTAATATTATTATTATTATCGAATGACTTATTAGAATTAGACAAATGACTTTGTGGTTTGCGTGAATTGCTTGTTATGAACCATGTCCAACATGTCGGCACGATTTCGTAAAAAATTTAATAAATCCTCTAATTTTATTTTACCCTTTTGCGAATTAGAAAATAAGGTACCTTTATGGTTTTCCCATTCTCGTTCTGTGGAGGTATCTAATTTAGACACCATTATATAAATGATTAATGTATCCCACGAGTCTGTCGGTTCGTCTAGTGATTTAAGAGCCCGAAGGTTACGTAACACAACATCGATTAACTTTCTAATTTGCATTGGTGACTCTTTATTAATAGACTGTGCAGTAAATAAAGATTTAACGTGATTGTGGATCAATAAACGGTTACTATGATACCTACTCTCTAATAATTCCCATGCGTGGGTATAATTAACAGCGGTGAATTCCAATGCACTAATAACTTCAAGTGCAGAACCCCTGAGCGAGGATTTCAAATAATGAAATTTTTGAATCGCATCTAAATCACTACGTTTGTGAATCATAGATAAATAAGAATGTTTGTACTCGAGCCAATGGTCGTAAGAACCGTCAAATACGGCTAGCCTGATCTCAGGCAGCTTAACTGAGACTGAATTATTACTAATGGACGCGTGTGAACATTTAGAACTCTCACTTTTGTCTGTGTCCACTTTAATAAAACACTTAGCAGCAGACATCATATCAAAATATAAATTTTCAAAGTATTCTCTGTATTCCAATTGTTTAGGTAATTCTGAACTGCTACACAATTGTTCGATTTGCTCTTGTATTTCATTAAAAGAATTGAATAAATTTGACACTGATTCTATACGCAATAGTAGTTCTGCTTGTTGTTTTTCAGACAAAGTAACATTACTTAATTTATTAAGGTACTTCTCAAATAAAGTTAATCGTCCCTTTAAAGTACCTCGCTGATTTTTTTAAGCTCACTTAAACTAGACGAATTGTCTGATTCAGCTTCAGTAAAATAGTCCTCGTTACTCATTTTAGCGAATTATTAGAAGTTAGAAAATTACTTACGGTTTTTTACAAGCAGGTAGATATGTAGGTAGAACGAAAAATGAACAAATTTAATAAACTCGTATTAAAGCACAGTACGATAATAGCACAAATGAAAATAAAGATGGGAGAAAAAGGAACGACCAACCTGACAGGTATTTCAGCTGATCCAGGATACGCAGATGAGGCTCGAAGTTGACCATATATTTGGGCATGTGTGTGTTGGTTTGCCCTTGCCTTGGGTAGTTCGAATTTAAGTTTACTGGATTGGCAGTAAATAACGAATTGTTGTTGTAATTATGATTTTAATATTGAAACTATATAAATTTACAATATTTGGAATGTATATATATATATGAAAATGAAGAGGTAACGGTATATGAAAGGCAATTCAATTGTGACGAATGACGTGAATGTGGCTGCTGATTAATGGGTCGTCGCAATTTGCTTCACACTTCACGCTCCTTTCAGCAACCATAGATTATGCAGTAACAATTACCAATATTAATATTGGTATTAATTTTCTTTTTATTGTTATTCTTACTGATTACGAAGAAATAGATCTGACTCAATGACCTAAGTATATTCACGGTGTACCTACCTCCGTGTAAGTTACTGAATTAATTTAATGTTGTAAATTATTTAAAGCATAATATTTACGATAGAACTAAAAATTTTTTGCAATAAAGTTAGTTAAGATATATAATAAGTAAGTAAAGTTGTGTATTTACATAATATATAAATACCCTATTTTAATTTCTTCTATTTATTTGCACATTACTTTGCACCGTCAAATACATTTTTTGTTATTCCTGTCTACGATCGGCTAGTAAATAATACCATATGGTGTTGTTTATCATTTTACACGTTTAGGCATATTAAAGTTTATAAAATAAATAAATAAATACTTACTAAACACTTACATATTTTAAAATAAGTATTTCTTTATATTATATTTACTAATAATGGTAATAATCGTAATTAACTTTGTTACTATCATAAATATAGACATGTAACATGCTTTCTAATATAATAAATGTGAAAGTGAGCACGTTTGTTTATTAACTCTTAGTACCTTAATGTCTTAACCAATCACTGTGAACATTGTTATACATGGATATCAAATTCCGTAGTGACTGATAGTCCATTCTATATGAGATAGAAAAGGACTGCTTTTACTTAGGCGCTTTTTTCTTTTTTATACCAATCAGTGATAAGGCCGGTAAAAGTTAATAAAATATAAATTAAACAAGCTCACAAGTGTAATCCCTGATGATCCCTGGATAGTCAGAAAAAGTTAACTGAAGGAAAGGGGTGACCTAGTATTTCAACAATTTTATCAGTACTCTGATGCCTCGATTTTGTTACCTTTCATTAAAGCGTGCCTCTCCGAGGCCCTTGGGTCTCGGCGCCAACCGTCCTTGCCACCTTAACTTATACAACACATAGGTAGGAATATTACACGTAAATTATAAATATCTATCCAATTACCTTTTTTTATTTTAATTTGAAGGATGTATCACAGAAAGATAATATTTTCTTAGAAATATTATTAGTCAAATTAGAGTAAATAAAATTATATACCTGTGAAAGGAGAGGGTTGATAAAGCGGCATCTATTGATCCATTGTTAGCTCCGTCTTGTACTTTGGTGTCACTTACATCAACATGATCCTGATTCTCTCCGCTCATCATGAAGTATGTAGGCATCAAATCTGTCCGCAGGATGTCATTTACATTTAACTCATTGTCTAATATTTCAGAGCTTAATACCCTTATGATAAAAAATGCTAAAATAAAAAAAAATATATAATCCACTCGCACGTACATTTTAGAAGTATCAACTGGATGGTTACTGAGACTAGAAAGAGATGTTCATAACAATACCAACAATGTATTACACGGGTTACAGAGCGGAAAATTCCTGTACGTTGTGATTTTATCACGAATACTTAGATCTAACTGTTTACAGACACGCTAATTCATAAATGGAGTTTCAACCAACTTCAAAAAGAAAGTTCGCAATTTCATTGTAATATTTTTAATTTGTATTATGTGTGATATCTTCAATAACTTCGACAATTTCGAACCGATTTAGAAGACGATTTTAATCGAAAAAAAATTACGGTTGTATTTGTCTCATAGATATTGATCAATATTAAAGTCGGTGATTTGTAAAGATATTAAATTTCATAGAAATGTCCATTATATTGTATATATAATATAGTTATGCTTTAATATTTTTTTATATTAAATAAAACATATAAAATAAATAAATATTAATGAAAAGCTCTCTGTAAAATACTGTACACTGTTTTTGTTTTTGTACGAAATATCTATAAATATATAAAATGAGTCGTGCTGCTGGATCTGCTTATGGATATGGTGGCTTTAGTTGTTAGTTGTTAAGTATTTAATAATAGTTGTAAGCTATATATATTTCTCTGTACTTATTGTTATACATGTATTAATATATGCTGTGTTTGCCTATAAAAAATTGTTACACTTAGTTCTAAGCTCTATAATTGTATATATATTTACATTATTTTGTGGAAACAATTGTTGGTAAACCTAAATAAATAAATAAAAAAATAATAATACACCTAACTATATTAATGATACAAAAGCACAAAATTGTAAAACCTACATGAATAGTAATTAATTTTATTCATTTCAATTGGGTAACAACATAAATAATATGCCTACATTATATAAGTATATAATATTAGAGTGCATTATTACTAAAGATGATTTATTTTTTTATTACTATTAAACAATTTTATAATAAACAGATATAAATTTATAAAAAAAAATATAATTCAAATATATAATTTACTAAGTACCTAATAATTCTCCACCGTTACAAGTCTAGTACCTTATGTTAATAAGGAAAAATGCAATTTTCCCCAGTTACAAAGCAGCCCATTCACCCCCCGCAGTTCTTAAGTGCCCCACTTGGATCCGTAAAAGGATCCATTGTTGTATTACAAATGTTCGGATGTCATCTGGGAGACGTTTGACGTGGGAACAGACCATATTGCTCTCACACCGTTATAGAACATTATATAAACTTAACGGGTAAACTAATAGCTTGTGCGTGATGTTTTAAGTATGTAATTAAATTTTATTGAAATTTTATTTAAATACTTGATATTGACTGAAATCATAACGCAGTGACACTTACCGAATCGAATTGTAAATCTAAATCATCCAAATTATAAAGAGCATATTCCTTTTTAAAAGGCCAGCAGCACACCTGCAATGCCGTTGGTGTTGTGGGTGATCATGGGCAGCGGTAATCATTTACTATCGGGTGAGCCGCATGCTCGTTTGCCCCGTGTTGTAAAAACAAAATCAAGGATCCACGCAAACGCACACAAATATCATCAAGATCGGTTTAACCAGGTCCGGGAGTTTAGTGACGTACAGAAGAATTATACATCATAAAAATTTTACCCAACTAACATTATTTTGTTACTTATCGCATTAATTTTTTTTATTGGGATAAAAAATCGGTAACAAACAATACATATGTACAAAATTTCAATAAATCGTAAATCAATATATATAATTTTCTTCAGCTTTGAACGGATAAGTCCTTTGATACCTAACAAATTGGGGGGAAAGGAATTGTAAGTAAGGAGTTCTAACAGCACCACTGCCAGCAATATACCCTATCAGGTCCACCACCTACGCAGTTCTCCCTAGAAACTTTCGTGGTTAATTCTTGCGAAATTGGTCACGATGGGCTAACTGAACTGCTTCATCCTCACCAGTGTATACCGCAGGTGGGGGTTACCATTTCATTATCATTTTAAAAAAAAAAACTGTATAAACATACTTACTTTATCTACTCAAATAATATTTTATTAGAGTAGATAAAGAATTTCTATGACGGTCTATTTACTTTTTAATACATTTATCTGAGGTTAAAATTTTTGTGCCGGCCTTCTATAAGGAAAGAGCAGATTTCCGTTTGCTTGGTATAATAATACCAATAGTATCTACAATATTTTCTTGTAAAAGAATTTTTATTTTTTTTAAATTAAAATATTTTATAGGTAGGTATAGGTATTTATTACTTTGTGACAAACTTGTAGTAACATAGTTACTATATGTATATCATATTAAATGATAAAATATTATGGCAGTTTTCAAGTTGGACTAATACAATATTCGATTATAAATTTAATATAAGATCTATTTGAACTTTTTATTCGATGATGTAACCATAAATGATGCAGTCATGAAATAATGAAAATTTTATGGAACCAAAGAATCACCAAAATCAGTTAATAATTTTGTCTATGATGTCACGTTATATACTTACATATATAAAAAATAGTAGAATTAAGATGATGATACATTTCATATATTCTAACATTTTTGATAAGCCTATTTTGATGATGATTTTATATGAAAAGTATTATATCTATTAAAAAATAATATTATATTTGAATAAAGTGGTTATTTTAATACACCACACTAATACAAAATACGATTAATTTTCATTTCATACCTTTATTAATAGATTTATTTAAAATAATAATATAGGAGAACATGAAACGATAAATCTTTCATTTCATTCTAGACATGTTTAAGATATACTCCAATTGAGAATTGTTACAGTTCAACATACAAATAAAAACACGATTATTCATATTTCCATTTCATTATTAGGTACTAACTTTAGTATTAAGTTTCTATGTCACAATTTAAACACACTTTTAATTTTTAATAATTTAGCATAAAAATACTAAGTGTAGTAATAACTAATTAAAAAACATGCATATATACAATGAAACAATACAGTTCTAAAAAAGTTACTGCAGTTAAGGAGTGTATAAATAATTTACTTAAGATTTTATTAACATCAAAACCTTATACAGCCAACTACCAAATCTGGATAATGTTGAGAAACAATTTAAAAAAACATTATTGCATTACAAATCTACAATATTATATTAAAATCATAAAATGTTTACATGATTTATACATTTCAAGTTGTCAATAATACATCCCAATTAATCTCATTATTATATACTTCTTTCTCCAGCCATAACTCATAATTTTCCTTAAACTCTTCATCAAGTTCAACATTGCTTTCAAGTACACTATTTATATCTGTTTCAAGTGGTGTCAGATCTATTTCTTGATCACCTCCAGCTCCATACCTTCTGTGGTTGAAACGATCAACACAAACTCTAAGAGCACATTCTTCATCTTGGAAATCCCAAGGTCTTGCATCCACATCATTCCCAAATGCCCAGTCATCATTCAATCTGTGTCGCACTTTGGAGTAGATGGCACTCATTGTTTTCATGTTTGACTTGCGCCACTGTCGACCCAGATATTTGGTTTGCATTTTCAATAACTTCAAAACGTAAAATTGCATTAATGCATGTCTCACTTTTAGGGTACGTTTTAATATAGGTGCACTTTTGAACACCACAAGCATCATTATTCTTGCATTCTTCCATTTAGTTAATTTATTAAGAATTCTCAACAAGTTTATGCATGAGAAAACATTCCTCCATGAATATGGAACTGATGAATCTCCAATATCCAAACATTCCTTGGTTAACTCAGGTTGTTCTCCAATAACACAAGCAGGGAAATCAAATATTGGTATTGTGTTCTTAGCTCCAACATATGACAGAATGTTTTGATTAAAAAACTTCAATACCAGTGGCATACAATTAGCATATACCAAATGTTGAGACATAAATTCAAATTGATATACATGATTCAGCTTGAAGTGTTTCAAAAGCAGCATCAATATGGCAGTGACAGCTTTAACAATAATCTCTTTGTGTCGATTTACATCAATACCCAGTTTCAGTGACTGTAACACTGTCATAGGCATTTCCTCAGGCAACAAATCAGCCATTATGTTTATAGAATATGTCTTTGCTGTAGATGTAGGAGCAGCAGCTAGGAGTATTTTTAGTAGGGCTATCATATATTGGGGCAAATTGGGAAGCATAGCTCTATATAAAATCTCAGCTTCTGTTTCTTCCACTTCTTTTTCTCCTTTAGTAAGAGGACTTCGAGCTATTTCAATTTCTCTTTCTGATTGAAGTTCAGACAAACTTGTATACATGTGCTTCCTTAGAATATCAATGCCTTCATGTATTGGTTGTGGGAGACCTGCAATTGTTTGTCTATCTCCAGGAAGGGAATATCCCACAAATTTAATTCTGACATTATCAAGAAACATATCAATATCTCTTTGTCTAACTTTAGACTGCCATGGTAAACTTCTTGGTAAAGGAGGTGGAGGCGGTGGGCTATCAAACTGTTTGAAATACATGTAATATGGGCAATGTTGATTATTGTCACTTCTTCCACTTTCTGATGGCATTGATTGGAATTCCATAGAATAATCTTCTGATCCATTACCAGTTTCTTCCTTATCAACAAAAATTTGTTCATCAGATTCATCAAGAGAAGTTTGTTTCATAAAAGTCTGTCTACGAAGAGCTCTTTCATTTTCTTTCAATTTTCTTTGTCCTGGATTTTGATTTTCTAGCATATCAGCAGCACTTGGAGGTGGGGAGCTGGCTCTCATTCCTTTTATAATTTCAATTGTATCCTCAGTCAAAGGTGGTAATCCATGTTTTTCCCTCAGTTTTGCTTTCCTTTCTTTGAGTTCCTTAGAACCACCTAAGTACACAAGCAGTACTTTCCATAATAGAAGTAATACCTTTTTCATTGGAAAATGTGGTGTAGTTCCAGCACAAAGATGTGTTACCATCCCAAGAAGTTTCACAGGCAGTAGTTCTTCACCAAAAGGTGTGCCAAGTTCCTCTTTGAAATTTCTTACTAAATGAATATATTCAGAATCAGGATTATCTTTTTCAGTTCTCATATATTCAGTTATCAAATATAAAACTGACAATATGACTCGTAAATTTGTTGAGTCTGCTAGAGATTCTGCTAATTTCCTTGAAGCTGTAGCAGTACTACTACGAACAATTTCAAGATTAAGCAATTCAACAAAAGCAGCAAATGTGCCCATGTCATATAATGTCATTATGTTGATACGTGCCCAATGTGCTTGCTCAGCGTCGGACTGCATTTCAGCCCAGCAACCTTGGGCGAGGTAAAAGATGCAGCGTGTAGCACGCATTCGTATTTCACTTACAGCGACGTCGAGATGCTCCAATAATTTCATTATAACAGTTCGTTGTTGTTTATTAGTAAGCCTTTGCCAACTAGGTGGATAATTGAACTCTTCCATGATGTCTTCAAAAGCTTTCACATTGAGCTGAAACTCGGGATGTTCAGTGTAACTATATAACTCCGCAATTTCGTTGGCTTGTGTGTCGCAGTCGTCATATATGAAATCTAACTCTGGACTCTCCATATCGTTTACACAATCACCTTCTTCCATGGGGCGACGAACGTCGGGCAATTTTGCACCCCCTCGTCGACCATTGCCATTAGTTCCCATGGTGTCGTAATGGATTTTATCTAACATATATAAAAATTTTCACATTGCGGAATAAAATTTTGACAATAACTATATATTAATTCATTAACCACAAAGACACAAAAGTAGATACATATATAATCAATCACTGGTTTGCTAACTTCGTTCAAAAAACTATGATTGCAACAGAATCAACTGTCTCTTTAATCTGTACTCGGAAAGTGATGAATGACAGCTAGTGAATGACTGTTGATATTGACAACAGTGGAACGGCCAGGACTAAGAACAAGGAATTACATAGAAAGAATGATAAAATAAAAAGTTAATAATATAAAAAGAATGATCTTAAGTTACTAAAAAAAATAAACAGTAATTGTATGAATAATTTTATAAATTTCATTGATGAAGAACTAATAGTAATTTATGACTAGGATAACCTAGTCATAAATTACTAGCATATAAATGCTAAAAACAAGAAATTACATAGAAGGACTGATAAAATAAAAACTGTAAATCATATGATTGCCTCCCTTCTTCTTATGCAAATATAATTAGTAAAAAGGAGGTAAAAGATACACCATCAGTTGCTATTTATATCAATTCATAGGAGGCTAGTGAATAGAATATGTTATACGGCTATCACACCAAATTCAGACACAACCTGCTTGCATACTTTCTACATAAACTGTGTCGAATATATAATCTATTAATGTAAAATTTGTCATTGCCAATAATTGACATATCAAACATTTTTTATACATTCGCCTGCTATGAATTGAGAAAAATAGCAATTGACGTGTATCTTTTGTCTTCTTTTATTCATTATATTTGCATAAGAAGAAAGGAGACAGCCATATGATTTACTGTTTATATTTCATAATTCCTTCTATGTAGTTCCATGGTCTATAGTCTGTGATGAATGTGACAGTATTTTTTCTACTCTGTTGTTTCATCTCTAATTAAAGTCATCTATAAAATGGCTAACAAAATTTGTTAACAATTTTACCATATAATTACTGATTATTACGAGAAAAATTCCATTCAGTGGAGTTTTCATTCTATAAAACCTGTGAATTGCAAAGGTGAGTATTATTGATCATTTTTATTATTTCTCCAAATGAATTAGTAATATCAGCTATTTTATTATTAAATAGTTTCAAAAATTATGTTTTATAGTTTTGCAGTCTTTTACAAGTAGTAACAGACTTAGACCTAATTGAACAAGATTATATACTAAACGTATTTCTAGTACTATCTGCACTATGAAATGCAGAAATAAAGAGTAGCACTGACCGGAGCATATCATTATCAATTGATTATAAAGTTATTGACACATTTTTAGGTCAGTGAGTAACTTAATATCAACAAAAATTTAATTTATTTTTTAAAACAACAACACCTATATTAAGGTTATCACTATATATAGGTATTATGGGTATTGTTATGATGCAAACAAATTATTGATGGTTTGTAACTAGAAATGCCCTTTTAGTAAACGGTTAATGTTTTGTAATACATTGTTTCCACTAGGTCAGTGAAATGACTTTTTATTTCTATCTTGTATTTATGCATGAACAAGTTTGATTTTTTCTTTAATCTGCTAATTATGATTGTAATTGATAATGACCTTTACAAAGAATAAATAGTTACTGGAACAGTTTGAATACAAGCGATTTAATATTTTCTTAATTTTTTTTAAATGCATTGTAATTATATTTATTTATTCTTTATTGCACAGTAAAACTTTGTACAGGTGACAAGCTTAATGCCAAGCTTATACTTGACTTATATTTTCAATTTTTAATTTACAGCAATACTATGGCTGAATTAGCAGCATTACTGCAAACTGAAATCCCTGAAGGGCGTAATCATCTCACAGACAGCCATGCAAATCTTGAACGGGTTGCAGAATATTGTGAAGCCAATTATTTCCAGGCTGAAAACAAGAGATTGGCTTTAGAGAGTACTAAAAATTACACAACTCAGTCTCTGGCCAGTGTAGCTTACCAGATCAATACACTGGCATATAATTTTTTACAATTACTTGAGTTACAAACAATGCAGTTGGCTGAAATGGAAGGTCAAATGAATCATATTGCTCAAACTGTTTCTATTCATAAAGAGAAGGTGGCACGACGGGAGATAGGTGTACTGACTGCTAATAAAGTAACCAACAGGCAGTACAAGATTATTGCACCAGCTAATCCAGAAAAACCAATAAAATATATCAGGAAGGCTATTGATTACACAGGTACCAAATTTATTCCTTGGGCTCATTATATTAGTGCTTGGTTTTTGTAGTATATGTAATAATAATTGAAGTTTGGTAGGTAGGTATTAATAATTTATATTTATGTACATATATCATATGGTGATGGTTAAAGCAAGTGTGGGAGTGAATTTGAACTTAGCCAGTCAGAATTATAGCAGCTTAATGAATGAGTGTAATTTTATTGCATAAATGGCTTTGTAGCAATTATTGTATCCATAGCTCTTGATTCAAACAATCAACTTTATATTGTACATGGTTATTTGTGTCTGCCTATGAATGTTCATTTTGAAATTTTAAAACTAAAAATTTTGTAATTTTGTACTATTGTGTTCATGTATTGTGTTCAGGTAGTAGAATAACTACTTGTCAGATAAATTTGATTGGGGCTGTTAAAAGTATAATATGTACATATAATAAAAATACTATTTAATTTGGGACTAGATGACATTGTACATGTCAAATATTTATAATTCTTTGAAATTAAAGCATAAAATATCTTTTGAAAATAAATACTCAATATTTTATGTTAGCACTGGATGATATTGGACATGGAGCTCGTTGGAGTAGTGGTGTGACAGGAACACCCCGTGGACGCCGTTCGGGTTCAGCACCAGGGCCAGCTCCTCTACCAGCACCGACAACTAAGCCTCCCACTCCTCCAGCGGCAGTTAGATCTTCATCAGCTGCTAACACTGGCACTTTGGGGCGTGGGACTCTTGGTATTTTTTTTTGTGTACACAAATACATTACATGCAAATTTGTGGAGTCAACCTATACCACCTGTATAATAGTTTGTGTTATAAAGAATGTTTCGACATGATGCTTACATCCAACTTCCATTATCGCAACTACTCACAATTGGCAACAAAACCATCCTCACACCCAAAAACCAAAATAGTTGTGCTTCTCTGAGGAATTTCTTCCCATAAACACTCGATTCTGGAGTGATCTTCCTGCTGAGGTTTTCTTTAGAGACTACAGAATGAGGTTCTTCAAAAAGTGCATTATTAAGGTTTCTTAATAATAGGCAATGTGTAAGTTACTTCCCTGGTGTTACAGATATGTTGGGCTGTATGCTTGTTTGTTACATCAACTAAGAAAAAGTCAAGTAAACAACGTCCAAAGATGCGCTTATAGCTTAATTCGTATTTTATAATTTATTCTCTTACATTTTGACGTATCATCCTGCGACCATATTGAAGATGAAAAGCGAAAGTATTGTATCATTTATAACATATGGCCGTCGATATTCAGAAGTATTTTATATCTACGTTTAATATAAACAAGAGAATTCGGGTTTATGAGCCAGGACGGAAATGGCTCAGGGCTAATTTTGAAAACCCATATAGGGTGAGAACAAAGAGACATGTGTAGATTTTATAGTTATTTGCATCCTGGGATCAACCTTTATCCCATTGAAATACCAGACCCTGATTCCTGGCCGTTCATGTGTTGGGATTAATTAAAGAGTATCTTGCTTATGTGCTGATTTCTGTATTTGAAGAATTGTCAAGATTTGGATATGTTATGTATAAAAATAATGGGTAATTTGAAATTGATGGGTATAATAGTTATGACAATTAAAATAGTTTTGCTTCCAATCTCAACCAAGTTGTATCTTTTATCTACAACAAGAGAATTCCTGAATTTCGAAAACCAGAAAGAGACTGTAGAATAGTTATTTGCTTGGGTACCTTTATTTCATCGTGATTCTGCCGTGAAGAAGTGTTTGGGTTTGAAAGATGGGATATGGCAGTGAAATTACAGGCTACAGAGGCATAATATCTCACTCCTCAGGAATGGCAACGCATGAGGGGTATCATGGGCAATGCAGTATACTCTGTTATCTCCATGCTAATGTCTATAGGCGACGATTTCCATTTTCCATCAGCTGGTCTGTCAGCTTGGTTGCCATTCTAAGTTGCATAAAAAAATTTTAGAGAACACGTTTCACAGCCGGCCTCACTATTATTATTATTAAAATAACTGCTTGTTCGCAGGTAAGTCATCGCGGGAGTATCGCACGCCGCCCGCGGTGGCCCCTCCACAGGTACCGTCGCACTACGCGCCCAACTACCCGCGGCGCCCGCCTGGCTACTCAACGCTGCCGGTTACTCAGCCACAGGTTTGCATTCTGTAACTGTATGTGATTTAAAAAAAAAATCCATTCGAATGGAGTTTTAGTAAATAGGTGAAGTCTGTCCAATGCTAAACATAGGCCTTTCTCATAAAGAGGGAAGGGGGGGGGGGGGAGTTGCCAGTAGTTGCCACGCTTGGCAGGCGGGTTGGCAACCACAGTTAGGCTTCAGTTGTCGTTTAAAAGGAACTCTGCTGCCCATTCCTCGACCATTAATTTCCATTAGTTGCCTCTTAAGTTACCCATGGAAAATTGTAGCCAGTTCTATGCCGAGACCACAGGGCACAAGACAATACATCACTAGTGCATTATTATCTAAATATAGATTATTTTTAATTTTTAGGTGGGCATGGTGCATCCTAATCAGCATCAATCACCAAACTATTCTCAACAGGATATGCATTCCAGTATGCCACGTAAGTGAAAAAACAAACTTAAAAAGATGAAATTAGGATCTAGAAATGATTTTTCTTTTCAATTTAATATTGTAAATACTAACTATAACATGTATTTTCAGCTCCCCCATCACCTCTGATTGGGTCGGATGGTGAACACAGTCAACATTCTATGAGTCTGCCTGGACAGGTACACATTATATTGTAATAATTTTGTTCCGGACAATTGTTAGGGATAATTGTATTTTTATTGATATTTTTCTTGTATGAAAACATTTGACAAAAATTTAGAATACATATGCAATTTAAAACATGTAGATACACTTTTTATGTAATTCTGTACATATACATGTAGCCAGTTCTCCAAAAAGAAAAAGACCCCAGCAAATAATAGAATTTCCAGTGTTCATTTTTAATTTTCTGCCTTTTAGGACCACTTTAGAAGAACTCCTATGGGTGAAAAGTGATTCTAATTATGAGTTTTGGTTATAATGTCTATATAATATAAATTTAATGATACTAAAGATTTAAGATTTATTTATTGATATAAGATATTATATCCAGCGCGGGTCATCTTCGTCGGCCGGCGGTGGGTCGGCTCGTGGAGGCTCTGTGTCGCCGCCGCTACCGCCTCCACCTATGGACGACGAGCTCGCTCATGACGCCTTCGGTCGCCCACATCATCTCAATGTGAGAGCCTAATGTATAGACGAGAGGAGGGATTGCTAGTAATGGGAACTAGCGGCCTAGTCTATATATTTCAATTGGTCACCTATCATCAGTTACGATTTAGCATTCCATTATCATGTATTAAAAAATCTATAGACAAGATGGGCGAGGGGGAGGGGGCATTATAAGGGCATTTTGGTAATGGGGATTGGAGAGGGAAATTAATAAGGGAGAAGTCCCTAAATAAAATTAGTGCCGTTAAAACTACCGGTTAAAACATTAAATTGATTAATCGATTTGTCTTTTGGACATCTGCAAACTGTCTTAATATGCTACTACTACTACTACTACTACTACTACTATATAGAATTTACCCGATCATAATCGGGTAAATTCTATATAGTTATATACCAGCTTTTACCCACGACTTCGTCCACGTTACTGGTATATGTTTACTGTCCGGATTATGAAATAGCATATAGCCTTCTCCCATTCCATATAGTATGTGTATAAGCCGTCGAGGCGTTATAAGGTAACAAACAAGCAAGCTCACTTTCATATTTATAAATTACTAAGGAATTTAGGAAATATATATATATTTTTAATTTATAATTTTATTGTTTCAGAACAAAATGGGCGTACAATACACTAGTGCTGTACCAGCAATAGTACCAGATGAAGAAGACTTGCCTGGATGGGTGCCAAAGAACTACATTGAAAAAGGTATAATAAACAACGTTGTGGTACTAATAACATGGTGTGGAATTTTTGTTAAAATGATAAACAAAACTAATGGTATGAATGTAATTATTTTCAGTTGTTGCAATATATGACTACTACGCTGATAAAGAGGACGAGTTGTCATTCCAAGAGAGCGCAGTTATATACGTTCTAAAGAAGAACGATGACGGCTGGTGGGAAGGAGTAATGGACGGCGTCACTGGACTGTTCCCAGGAAACTATGTAGAGCCCTGCGTTTAATTCTACACTTATGATATTCTGTAATAGCACAGAATGTTCTTTCTATTAGTTTTATTAACAGATAATCATTGTACTAGTGGAGAACTTCGCAGTCTTACTAAAAACTGACCTCACCCAAAATTGGCAAAAAAATATTATCCCTATAATCTTGGCTATAATCCTAATGGAGTACTTTTTGTTAACTACTTCATAAAACCTGCTCTTATTGTGGCTATTTTATTACATTTTTTTAGTCAATTTTGAGTCTGTTTTGCGTTATGTATGACATATTAAGGTCTTTTCAGTAACTTCCTTTTCTAGAATTCTAAGCTGCATGAAGGCAAACAAAACCATTAAAAAGACATGTGTCTGTTTATATGCAGATATTAAACTTTAAAATATTTATAAGATTTAGTATGAACATTTAATTATAAATAATATATTCCAACTTAAGATAATGTAAAACTTCTTGACATAATTATTTTAGGTAGTAAGTAATAAAAACAGTATATCATCATTCATATTATACAAATAATTATGTTTTGATTTTCTAATATAGATTTTAAGGTCTGATTATATATTGGTATGTAGAATTTTTTAAATGATTGTTGCCATGTTTTAGTGTATTTTAGTTGACATCAGCCTTTAAAAAGTATTTAATCCGTTATTTTTACCAGAAAGCACATTTTGAATTAATCATGTGTGTCATTGGCAATGAACTGAAACAGCTGAAAAACAGTATAGAATGTAATACTAATCTAAAAGAACGAAATATATAGGATTATTTACATTTATAACTATTCTTTTAAGAGTATTTTATCTATGGCTATATCAATAAATGGTTTAATTTTTGTAATTATGTAAGAAATAGTCACCCTAATCTGACAACTTGATTTCCCTTTGCATTTGCCTAGTCATATAGTACGATTTTGAAGATGAACATGTGTTCGATCGACTGCAATAGTAACATATTCTTTATTCATTTTTACTCCATCACCATACAGAGATTCCGTTTTTATTTTTAAATGTATTTTTTATTCGTTATTTTTAAATATACAATAAATACTGACGCCTAATTTTTATAACGTGTGACAATTATAAGATGAAAGTAGACCTTTTAATCATAATTCATATTCAAGTTCAGTTACTAGACTTACATTAGGATAAAAAAAGCAGGTAAGATCAATGGTTTTTGCTACAGGGGATTAGGCTATGGTTGTGATGAGACCATGTCGCCTTGTCTTCATTTATATTAATTTTTTAATAGATCTAATTGAAACAAAAGTAAAATAAAAACTACAACTAAAACATGTGCCATATTATTTTGTTGTACTCTATCTTGTTCTATCCTTGGCACATGATATTCATAATAGTATATGGGTGATTATTTTTGATTTCATTGTAGTTTATAATGTATTATTTGCATTTATATTAATAGATGCATTCCTGTTATATATGTTAATCATAAATATTAAATAATAATAAGTTTTTGAACATTATAAAAGAATAGTATTTAGTTTTAAATTATTTTTATCTTATTTGCATGCATTCTACCTATGTATGAACTGGTTTTTAAATAAAACAATCTGATTGAATCAATGTCTATATTAATGCATTGACACACTAAAGAACTTAATTCTAGATTTTCTAAGAAACTTAGTATGTTTCTCATTCATTTTCTGATCTTTAATAATTCGTACAACATTATACAAAATACAATTTTGAAAAAATATGTTAAAATACATTTACTGTAACACAAACCATTTCTTATTCCCAGAAACTACATTTATCAACCACTACATGCATCACTTTACAGTAAATTGTATTAAAACGCATTGTGTTCATTTAATAAAATTTATTTAGTGTATTAAAACTTATTTTACTAGGTATTTTTTTGTGAATATTGCCTGACAATTAATTACAATACCTGTGTATACTCAGTCAAAAGCATTTCATTCAATTATAACAAAATATCACATTGTCTTGCATGTAATTTCTGAATTTTACTCCTTATCATCAATTTCCATGTTTTCTGTCGCTATGTTATCATTTTCTTTGCTTTCTTTTGTATCATGTTCTTTTGTGACTTCAGTAGAATCTCTTTTGGTCTCACCAGAGTCTATGTTCTCCTCATTTTTCTGAGTTGATTCAGTTGCTTCAGATTTTTCTTTTTTCTCCTCATTTGTTTCTTTTTTCGCTTCTTTTTCCCTATAATTTAATAATTTTCAAATTTTAATTATAGCGAATAATAGCTCTACAAAGCTCCAACAATATTTGAATACAATTTAACTTGATAAAAGAACTGAAATTTTAAATTATTATTTGCTTTCAGGCAAAGCACCAAAAGTTTTGTGGAGTGTTCATTCAAAAGTGGTTGTGGAGAAATGAAAAGATAAAAAAAAGCTTTATGCAAATCTAACTCAATTGTCAGGCCACAATAGGTATACAATGCTTACTTTGTTGGTCCATTGACGATTTCAATGACATCATCATCTTCATATTTGATATTGACGACTGCTTCTACTTTGGACTGAATACTCTTCAACGCTGAGTGGAATATTTTGGAACTCGCCTGTAAATTAAAATTTAATAATGATCAGAAAATGCTTTTGAATTTTGAGTAATGAGGTATCAACAGCCCCATTGCATTAGCAACCTTACACCTCCACATGGTTTGCACTGGGCACCATTATGATTAATTCCTGGTGAATTCGTCATGATGGGTTAACTCAATTGACATTCTTTTCACTTAATTCTCATTCATTAGAAATTTGTAAATGTATACCGTGAGCGAGGTGATACGAGCGCGCGCGGCTGCCAGGCTAGCGGTAAGGTCGGAGAGCTGCGTCTGCGCGCCGCGCTCGGCCTGCTGCGTGTGCGCGGCGGCGGCGCGGGCGGCCCGCAGCTGCGCGCGCGTGCTCTCCAGCGCCGCCTCGAGCCGCGCACGCTGCGCCGCACCGCGGGCTTCTGCCGCCACTAGGGCGCCGACGTCAACCACTCGCGACTTGTATACCACCACGCCTACCGAACACACGCACGTCGTTTACATATTGGCGAAAAAATAATCTATAATACCTATAAATCCTTAACTAATATTATAAATGCGAAAGTGAGTTTGTTTGTTACGGTTTCACGTCTAAACTGCTGAATCGATGACAACGAATTTTGGTATATAGATAGATGAGACCCTGGAGACGATTATATTCTCTCGGTCAGTGAATATATTTCGGTCAGCCGGACCAATTTGTGGGTAAAAGGTAGTAATTAATAAAATAATTAAGGCAAACACAATTATACTAAAAATTTATACTGGTCCTTAGAACAATAATTTTGCTGTAATATAAAATTGAAATTTTAGAGACAGAGCACTCTCTAACACCATTGAGTTTTTGACGTTGCGATTTTGTTATATGCTGTTTATAATTTTTTTTTATGCAATTTGAAATGAGAAACAAGCTGTTAGTCCACTAGATAGTAAAAGAAAAACAAGTATAAAAAGTGGTAACCGTCCTTATAGTCGTGACATAAAGCTCGTATTGCTATTCCCAAGAATGAACTGTAATAAATGTAATGATTTTTAATTTTCCAGGATATGAAATCTTTAACATACCAGTATCACTAATATCCTTTGTTTCATTAGCTGATGTTCCATTTTCATCAGGTTTGTTTAATATAGGCAACAGGTCTCGATTGCCAGCAGCTATAGCAGCTTCTAATTCGGCGACCTATAAGAATTAATATATATACTTTTACTTCACATATTAATTAAAAACTTACTATTATCCATTTATATAATATTAGCAATCCAGCAATCGGATTCTCATGAGTAGATAGAATTTTCGAAAATAATATGCAGCCTATGGTGATGTAACTTTCTATAATTGAATTTTTAAATTTGGTTGTGTGGTTTTTGAGTTTATCTATTACAAACAATCAAATCTTCCTCTATTAAATATTCAATATTACTTACAACAACAGTACTTACTTGAGGTGGAACCTCAGCGGCAGTGACAGAACCATCAAGGGGCAAGTCCTGAATACCATCGGAAGTACCAGATGAGATATCTTTTATAACTTGAACGAGATTTCTGAAATATTATTATTATTATATATATATATTACAAAATATTAATATATATAATTTACATGTAAAGAATTTAAATAATTAATGTTTATAAAAAGTAATAAAACTATAATACTCACTTGTAGCTAAATATTTCTTTGATACACACTTTCTCTAATAACGATCGTATCTGAGATCTGGAAAGTGCTAGCCCGAGGCTCATGAATAGGTTTTGGAGATCTTTTTTCGAGATAGTACCACCGCGTCCGGTGTCGAAGTAAACTAGTGAGAGCAGCAAGTAAGGATCAGGCGGCAGTTCCACCCCACGCCCGCGCCGCCGCGGTGAACTGCTACGTTCATCATCACTGTGCGACTCCTGTATCATATACATTATGAATGAAATTAATACCTCTATAAGTTTCAATAAGGATATTTCATTTAAGAAGGGTGGTCAAATTCCGTTATCTTAGCTGGAGACTTTCTAAGGACTCGTGTGCATTACAAGTCGAGGACAGTAGCTGGTAGCAGACCAGCTGTTCTGCGCAGCAGAGAAATAATTAGAAAAATGTTAAACTTAATTGTATTAATATTAAAAAAATATTTATATTTACATGTAAATGCAAACAATCTTAAATTCATCCTAAACTTAGAATGGGAATGAGAATAGGGAAACTAGTAGCATTTGAAGGGTTAAAAAATTCGTTTTACATAATCATATTTGTACACAACATACCACAGAGTTTAATAGGTGTTACTTACACTGGGCATAATATTAACAGACATATGTAGTTTATACAAGTAATTTTTTATAACATAGGGACAAACGCAAAATGAAGCTCATCTAATGGTAAGTGATTATCATCGCTAATAGACAGAGAAGATCAGATCGACATACTACGACTTATTTACAACGAGTTCTTCAACAATCCTAACTTTATGCTTCATTTTAATTACTTACGCATCGATCACGTCTTCGCGAATCCCGACGTTCTGAATCACGTTTGTCATCTCTTTTGTCATCCTTTTTTTCCTCTTTTTTATCGTTTTCATTTTTCTTATCATCTTTCTTATCAGTCGGTTTTTCACTGCCTTCCTTGCTCTCGTCAGTCTTTTCAGGTAATGTGTATAGTGTCTTATAAATGTAGAATCCAAAATCACGCATGAGCATTTCATTGAAAAGCTCAGCAAATACAAATAACTGTAATTAAAATATTACAAATTTAGGTTAATAATTTCATGTTGGAAAAGTTAGTATAAAACTTATTGGTATACCTTTAGAAATGTAAATTACTAATAGCATCATTGAATAATGTAAATAATAACAACAGAGAACTTGACATTTTTCTTTGCAAATACTTTAAGATGAACCATTTTTTTTAAATACATTCAAAAAGTTAACATTATAAAGGTTGTCTGGAAGGAATGACTCTTAGCGATAAGGCCACCTGTTGTTTTTCTCAGTGTAATATTTTCATGTTATTGTTTGTATTTACAATAAGTTTACTATTGTGATCCTATGGAAGAAACAATAAAGAGTATCTATCTATTATAAATGTGAAAGTGAGTTTGTTTGTTTGTTACTTTAAAGCACCTTAACAGCTTAACCAATTATAATGAAATTTAGTATACACATACGATATGGGATGGAGAAAGATATGGGATATTTTTATCCTGGTCATGCGGACGAAATTGCGGGTAAGATAAAATTTTAAATAACTGAAAATTTAAACTTAAATATTACAATCACTATTATTACAATTATTTGTTACTAGCAAGATCCTATTAATGTAATGGACATCATCATTATCATCTTAGCCATTATCTATCCACTGCTGAACATAGACCTCCCCCATAGACTTCCATAAAAAACGGTTTTGAGCTACCTGTATCCAGACTCCTTATAATGGACATAAGGTATAAAAAATTAACATGGCTCGACGAAACCCAGAGCTTTCGTTAAACTTACCTCAAAACTATGCTCCTTATTGTCAGTGACTCGATAGTCAAGTAATAGGGACAGTGTGCAAACATTGCATTTAAATTTTCCACCTTTCGCTGAAGCTGAAGGATGCACCATTATATGTGGTGTAGTAGGTATTTGATAACGACTTTTTAGAAGCTGCTTTTCTTTTTCCAACTGTAATAAAATACATATTAATAAGTGATTAAACCATACTGTATACCAACTTATAAAAGCATAAAGAAACGGAGATAACAAATATATAAATATATGAAAACTAAACGTACTATATATATATATATATACACTGGCAAAATACTTGCATGGATGTTACAAAAACTATTTCAAATCGAAATGTAGCTAAAGTCAGTTAGGCTTGATTTTGGGCTAAAAATTGATATATAAACTCTCAACAAAATATAAAACATACAAAATCTATAATTAGAAGCGAGCTTAATATAAACAGTTTTAAAGATTATTTTTCAGTCTTTACTATCTAATAAACTACAAATAATAACAGACATACTTTCTTTTTTTCTTCTTCAATCTCCTTTTCAGTCTTTCTTTCTTCTGGCTTCTTTTCTTCTTTTTCTAACTTCCTTTCTTCTCTTTCTTGCTTCTTATCTTCTCTTTCTGTTTTATTTTCTTCATTTTTGTCTTCAATGACAATAGTGGCATTAGCTTCATGATCAGCATCTGCTGTTGACTCATCTTTGTCATCATCATTAATCTCAATTTGTTCTTCTTGAACCTCAACATCTGGAACTTGGTCATCATCTTCCAATTCCATGACATCTTCATTTTTCGATTCTTTATCTTGTTCTGCTTTTATTAGTTTTGATAGACGAGATACAAGTTGAGCACGTAAACCTAAATAATTTTTTATATCATTATGAAAAATTATCAAGCTAAATATATTTTATTATTTATTATTTCAGCCCTTAACTGCCCATTGGTGGCCATAAGCTTTCCTCATAAGGGGAATTGTACCAGTAGTTGCCACGCTTGGCAGGCGGGTTGGCAACCACAGTTAGGCTTTTAAAGATATTTTAAAAGAGGTGTTGCTACTCAACCCTCGCCCTCCCTTAATCGCCGGGGCACACACAGGGTAAACCTAAACCTAAGTATATAATTAGTCTAGCCATAAATACTATTACATAAAAACTTTTGTTTTTTCAACTTTTTAATTATTTTGAATTTGGAACACGTTTATTATTTTAAAAATTTCTTTCGATTTCGCGCCATTTCATATATTTTATATGTTAATTATCAAATTACAATATGGAATGCAGTGATCACTTTGCACAAAGTGGATATGAAGCCGTCGGTCATATTCCAGATAGTTCGAAAGCTTAGTATCAGCCGTATGTTCGTATATCGTATTATCAACAGATATAACAAAACTTCTTCTGTCGAAGACCAGAAAAGATTGGGGCGGCCGCGTGCAGTTAGAACTACAAAGGCTGTTAAAGCCAGAATTCATCGAAGACCCAAAAAATCTTATCTTATCTTCCCCCCTATTCTGTCGCGTATTATAAAACAAGACCTGAAGCTTGGTGCTTATTGTCGATGTACAAGCCCTAAATCAATCTTTACAATTAAAGAGTGGATCGATCAAAACGCCTTTTGTCGCAATACGCAGGTGAAAGGAACAGAAATATCCGAAGAAAAAAAATTCACTATTGAATTACACTAAAAAAAGCAAAATGATAAAGCTCATAGTTCTAAAGAAGCTGACAAGTGGTCGTAAAGGTACAACCTGGTCGTCATCCTACGTCAATGATGGTTTGGTGGAAGGTCTTATCAAGGAGTCGCAAAACAATATTTTTGTGAAAAAGGAGTGAAAACTTCAGCCAAAGTGTATCAAGATACAGTCTTGGATCCTGTTGTGAAACCTCTCAGCAATACACTTTTTTTTTAAATATACCGTGGACTTTTTTAGCAAGACTGCACTTGGTCCCAAGGCATGAACTCAAACTCATCTAGTCAAGACCTCAACCCTTTACACTTCAAATTATGGTCAGTTTTAGAGGGCATAGCCTACTTTAAAAGATGATGACATTGAGTCTCTTAAAAAATCTTTAGAGCAACCAGTGGCGAAATTTCCCTTAGAAACAGTGTCTAAATCCATAGATTCGTGGCTAGACAGATTAAAGGGTTGTATAAAAGCCAAAGGTGGTCATTTCGGATAGAATATTTTTTTTATTTTTTGCTAAGACTTTAATAAATATGTAGGTAAAATTTTTAGTATTATTACATTACTTCATAAAAAATGCATTTTCATTTGTAACGGAACTTATGGCTGGACTAGGTAATTAGGCATTAATCTGAAAATAATGAAAACAACATTACCTTTGCAGCTTGTATTTCGTGCCCTTAACTCTTGTCTCAGTTGATCAACTTTTATGGTTCTTAAGTCAATTTTAGAGTAATGTGTTGGCTCTGGTTTCTCCTCTTCATCATCATTTTCATCTATGGTTATTGTACTGACATCGGCATCTGTATTTTCCTGTAAAATATATATTTTTATTACAATTATTATTTTCATAGACATGCAAAAATACATTTGAGGGGCTAAATATATTTCTGTTGAATTAAATTTTAACTGAAAATATGTTATGAATTATATTATAATAGTTATATGAATTGAAAATTTTAAATGAACTTAATGGGAGTTTCAAAATATACTATTTATATTATTAAAATAGATTCAACAGATGTCTGCAAGACATCCTCTGGGAACATTGATGTCAAGGCAGCTCAGGCGCGGTGATCTTCATCTAATAAGTAGCACACGCAGCCGGAAACAAAACGAAACAAAACTGGGAACAAACAATTTGGGATTTGTCCGCTGAGTTGCTGATTTCTGCTGCTGCAGACTGTTGGGCTGCTTCTTTGTCGACGGACTCCGGTTCCTTGCCGTCGAGTTTCCTCAAAGCGTTGTCGCAGGCTGCTTTATACTGGTCCTGAATGTTGCTCCACTCGATACGTGAAGGCTGCGCAGACCACACATCTGGCAGGAACAACACCACACACTCGAGCCGCGACTTGTTGCCGCCGCTGCCCTCGCGCCAGTAGTAAAACTCCACCACTCGGTACCTGCGTGGGTAACACAGATATAGTGGGACATACTCACAAGCGAACTTGTTCGCGCGGGCCGCCCAACTGCTTACATGGACACGACACATCCCGTACGAGAGTCAATAAACGGCTCTATTGGTAGGCCGGTACATCAACGCTGCTTCCAAACAGTTGCACCTTAGTCGATGTACGGACACCTCCATACTCTCACATAATGAATGTGTGCTGTATCATGACCATTGCGAACAACAAAAAGCAAAAGCTTCTATTGATAGGAACACTAGCGGTTAATTAGAGTCAATAAAATATTTCATTAAAATGTTATTTAAAATGAGGAAACTTTTGACTTTTGTTAGAAATAGAAAAATCCAGTCAGGTCTCAGGACATTCACCGATCTGTATAAAATAATGCTTACCACTGTGTACAAGAAGACAGGTCAATGCCAGTGAGAGCTTTACAAGTGCGTATTGCAGTTTTAACAAGAACTCTAGGGTCACTTTGAGGATTTTCACCATCTAAAGAAGGGCTCCAAGGTCCACCTATAGCAAAGTTTTCACCACCTTTCCCTTTTTGACCCACTAGGAATTTGATTAATCGCGTTGGATGAAGCTGCGTTTTCATGAATCTCTTATCTTTGTCATCAACCTTAGTGAGTCCACATTTTTGGTATAGAAATTCTAGTGTTGGCATGCTAATTAACATAACCTGAAAAAAAAAACTCATGTTTTCATTCAATAGTTATAAAACTACTATTACATAACAGTCACTTTGTGTTTTGTAGTATTATAGAGGTATATTTACATTATATCAGATTATATTAGTATTGATATCGAAAATGAATGGAGATGTCGGTAGGGACCGCCCTAGACGGACCTATGTCGAGCGTGTATGAAAAGATTGATGAATGTGAAAGAAGCGAAAGAGATTTGTTTGAATGGAAGTATTTGGCGTTCCATTGTTTCTGTCTACCCTAATCGGAGACAAACGTGACAGATATGTATGTATGATTTTAAAAAAGTGACTTGGACTTATGTCCAATTCAGGAATTGATTCTTAAAATATTCAAGGATGATTTATGAGTTACTGCTAATCCGAGAGTATTAAAGGTGCTCTGAAACTGCTAAAAAAAGAAATCTCTTTCTATTCCAAAGAAAGAAATCAGTTTCTATCCAGTATAAAAATAGTTCCAAACACCAAAAAGTTATATTGAAACACTGTTACAACATCTAAATTCCAGAGCAGAGAACAGCTGCTATCTTTTTCTTTAGTTGTTAACTTGAGAAAACTAGAAAACTTTGAAAAGTGAAGACCAGCCTAATGTGGAATTTGGTGCAAACATAAAGGAGTAAGTTTTTATTGCTACTTAAGTTAGTAAAAAGTGCTTCAAATAAAAAATACATGGAAATAGATAAACCTTTGCATGTTTTAATTTTTCTTACCTTTGCAGAAAATCTGTAATCTGCATCTGGTGGTTCTAGAACTGCATCAATTGGAACAGGACTTTCAATTTCCTTACTCAAGATGTGATATGCGCATGGATTATTCAATGAAAATGGTGTCTGTGGTGGAAAAGTCTCTCCCCATTTTACATGAGCATTGAAGAAGTCAGAAGGTATATATAAATTTGTGTAACGTTGACTTAGAGCAGGTACATCCATCTTTTGTCTGCAAAATATGGGAATACATAATATTTAAATTTATTTAGACTAATATCTGGGTTTCTGTTACATTACATTTAGGATGAGGAAGGGCAAAGGAAATTTTTTATCACAATCAATCAATATATCCTGAAACTTATTGAAATGAAATTTATTGATTAGAGTGAAATATTAAATAATAGTGAATATAATGAACACACACAATGTATTTTGTCTACATTTTTTTTATTATTTTTCTATGGATTTTTTTTTCTTTTTTCACTGTGCATTTATATCTATTGTTGTTTGTGTGCTGTAAGTAATGCAAATAAATTATCTATCTATCTATCATAAGAAATTGCAGGTAAAAACTAATTTACTAGAAAATACTAACATGTCCAGAGGTATCCTTGGTACTCGAACAATATATTTAATTGGAGATGGCTGATGGACAATAGGTCTTTTTCTGGGTGGTGAATCCCTACGACTGCGACTGTCACGTCTTCCTCTAGATCTTGACCGACTCCTTGTGCGTGATCTTTTCTAAATCAATAACAAGAATGGTTTTATTCATTAATAATATCCAACACATAATTAATTTATATGTAGGCTTACAAAGAAATTACACATATATAAATAAAGAAAGAAGTTTGTTTAAAAAACTTGAATATTAGATATTGAATTTTTTTATTACTAGGAAATTAAGCTGTCTGTCCACTTGATGAGAAGTTACTACAGCCATGCACAAACATCAGCAATACAAAGTTGTGATCATGTAGTTTGTTATAGGTCTAAACTGTCCACAGTACAGTGCAATTCCTGAGGACTCAGGTGTAATGCCTCTGCCCCTATTCATTTCACTGATATACATTAAAATTCACTAGCAAGATTATTATAATAGCTAATTGGCAATATAAAACAAGTAAGAGGCATCAAAGTAGATAACTACATATAATAAATCTATACTTTTTTATTTAGCATTTTAGGCCTATATTTATTTCCCCCTCTTCCATTCTCACTTCTTCAAAGTAGAGCTGGACCATCTGTACTAGCTATAACTCATATAAACAATCGCCCAAATGAGAGGTTCAGTGCAAAAAGAGAATCCAATTGACATCATTCAGTGATTTTTTTTGTTGGGTAAAAATGGAATGGTAACCCCACCTGCGCTAACGGGATATGCTGGCGGAGCACCAGTGAAGGGTGATAGATGAGAATGAAAACAGGCCAGTTAGCCCATCATGATGAATTCATCAGGAATTATGTTAACCATGATAATTTCCAAGGGGCACCGCAAGGAGGTCGACCTGGTCGGGTATATTGCTAGCAATGGGATTTTTAGTTTCCATTACTAACAATCCCTTTCCCCCCTATCATTCAGTGTTTTATTATTGATTTCTTTGTCATCATTTCTAAATTTATTAAACATTATATGATAAAATAATATCAACATAAAAGGGTCATCTGTACCTTATTTTTATTATTATTGTATTAAACAATGAAATTTGTTTGTTTATAAAACTTTACAAATAATTAACTCAAAAGAGTGGAAAAATAAATACAATGACAAACTTATTCCTAATGGAAAGGCCTGTTCTAGTTAATGGAAAATTGGAGTATTGTAAAATTACAAAATTTATGTCAAAACAAACTTACTCTGTCATCTCGTCGTGAAGGTCTTTCATCTCGTCTAGGCACAGTAGATTTCTTAGCAGGCGGTGGTACAGCATTGTAAGTGTTTGACTTTGGTGGATTACTTTTTTGGCTAGGACCACTTGGCACACTTGGCAATACTTGAACACGAGTTGCATTCCATTTAAAAGGCATGTTAGGGTTATAAGTGGCTTCAACAAGAACTCTGTCATTAACTTTTGGTATAATACCTTTAGCACAAACGGAAGTTTGATAAAAAACATCATGATCAACAAAGCCGAAATCATTATAGGTCTTGGTAATAATGCCGGTAAATACACGTTGTTCGGCATTCGGTTGGTTTTGATTTGTTTGCGTATTTTGGTAGATACTAGGGTTCATAGCACGTGGTGTAGGGTACGCCACAACATTGCCAGGATACATTTGACCTTGAGCCATTTGGTTCATTGGCATTTGTCCCGCCATAGGCATTGCCATTCCACTCTGTGCTTGCATCATACTAGGATTAAACACTGCTTGAGTTTGCTGGAAAGGCATCATGCCTTGTTGAGTCATCATTGAGTTTGGATCCATAATTTGTGGATTAATACCAGTCATGTTTGTATTTACATTTGATCGCGCCCATGGAGGGTTTTTGGTACCGCTACCGGTTTGCATAGCTGTAGTATTAAGAACTTCACGTTTAACAAATATTACTCAGATCAATGGAGAATTAATAATTATCCACAACCACTTTTTTTATTATACAATGGAATAGTAAAAATGAAAGAAAACTTTGACAGATATATCAACGACAAATGGCGGCTACCGGAACCGGACGAATACAGTATGGACGCCGGCGTGCGAAACCATAGAGTATAAACTACTGTAAAGCCTAGGATACATGGAGTATTTATTATTAATAACAACATACAGGTAGAGATGGGCAATCCACCTGGGTGGGTTTAAAGTCTGGTGGGTAAAAACCGGGTGTTTTGGGTTTATTGGGTTTAAACCCCATAAACACCCAAATTTTTGTTTATGATTTTGTTTCATCATCGTCATCTCAAGACGTCCACTATACTGGACATAGACAATATTATTATGCTGTACAGAATAAAAAACTTTTAATTTGATTTTGAGTTTATTAAGAAAGAGATGAAAGTAAAATGTAAAACTACAGTCAATCACTGTCAGATTCAGAGTTATTACAAGCGATGAATTGTATAGGTTCGATAGGCTCTATTTTCTAAACTGTTATGTTCATTTACTTGCTCAATGAAAGCTTCTAAGGTATTTTCTTCATTAAACTGAATGTCCTCGCATTCAGCTTTATGTTTAAGATTCCATTTATAACAAATGAATGAAATTTTTTCAGTTCTTTCAGTTGTAAGTCGATTTCTTTTGTTATTATGTATGTACTTGGATACTAAAGGAACGCTCAGTGGCTGCCGAAGTACAGGGAGCTGATAGAATACGAATCGCTACTTTGCTTAACTCAGTGGAACCACAAATACCTTTCCACCATATTAGGGGCTCAATGCTATCTAATGAGTTCCATACAAATCCTCTGGCCCAAAAGTTTTCTTTAGCTTTATAACACGCCAAATCTGCCATTACATTTGACAAACTTAAGTGTTGGCTTAAATTGTAGATAAACTCCATACCCTTAAGTTCTTCCTCTTGAGTAAGTTCGACCTAGAGTCCTGGGGTCTAGAATATATGCTGCAAAATGTATTGGCCTCATTATATTGCATCTTGAAGATACTGATGTTAGAATCTGCTGTTTGCTTTCTTCGCTCAATGTCGAAATCTCATTTAATGCAAAACGTATCTTAGCTTGTACATCTCTAAATGTAATGTATGTGCGATGCAAACGATTCTGGTCGCTCTCTAAGTAAAATATGCTTTCAGTGACTGGTTCCAAAATACTTATACATTCCCCTGTCTTCGTCCAGAAATCATCACTTAGAATTAAATCTTTAATATCTCTTGAAAAAATCTTCTCTAACTGTTAATATTTAAAGCTATCTATATGTTTAACTTTTTAAGAACATGACTTCCCCATCTTGTAGCACAAGGCAATTTTAGTGTTTGTGTAGAATCTTCACCCTGCCTTGATTTTATCAACAAAACTTAATCGTTGACTCCTTTTAACAGTTTTTATTATATTTATGGCTTGCATAATAAAAATCAATATCTTGGCACAACAAGTTAAGGATATGTGCACAGCAACCGAGAGGAACAACATGTGGATATTTGAGTTTTGTTAATTCGAATGCCTTTTGTATATTTCTAGCGTTATCGCCAATAAGTACAAGAAACTTATTTGCTCCATACACTTTCAGATACTTTTTACTTCTTGGCTAAGGTATTCACTAGTGTGAGGATTACTTTCTGTATTCAAACTTTTAACGTATGCAGGTTGAGGTTTTGATATAAGAAAGTTTATTATTCCTTCATTTCTTAAATTAGACCAGATCGCACTGAAGGTGTAATAACTACAAGCATTTAGTTCCTCATTTAACTCAAAACGTTTTCTATATATTTTATAACGTATTTTGTCGCTAAAGCTTTTTGTCATTTTAAATTTTGGTTGCAATTTTTCGAAAAATTGTATCCATAAGGATGTTGCACCATCGATAATGGCGTCCCTGTTACAAATATAGCTCTCGCTAATTCTGTTTTTATATGATCATCGCGTCTTGAAACTCAGCATTTATTGTAGTGTTAGCAGACGACGAGGGGCTTATAAAAGAATCATTTGTCTCTATCTCTGACAGTCCAGACATTTTGGTTTTGGACTACATTTTATAAGTTTCATAAAGTCTTTTAATGTTTCTGGAGATTTTGGACAAGTGATAAGATGTTGAAGCATTTTGGCAGCATTACTGAATTTGTATACCTTATTACAAAGCTTTCAAGAAACAGACTTGTTTGGTAAAGTACGGTAGTGCTCCCATATGCGTAAATCTTTAGGTCTCCCCATTGAACCTAAAAAAATGAACGATGATTAGTTGGTCTGACGAAAATTCAACAATAGAGTGCCTATTTTTTTACAATGATTATTTCTTTTATTTACAATAAATTTATTAAAAAAATAATAAAATAAATACAAAAAACCTTTGTAAAATTACATCTCCTCGGAGGATTAAACGCAGATAGTTTATTATCGTATTGTTCTGTATTTTTCTCAGCAACTTCTTTTTCGATTAGGTACTTACGCATATTATGTTAAAAATAAATATCTAGTACACATCTTAGGCTATCCACCATTATTATCCAATGACGACTCTGCTAACTATGCACTATCATCCAAAATAAACGTGTATGGAAAATTTTATCCCAGTCGGTTGAGGATTGAGGATAATTGCATCAACATAAACATACCTACATACTTTTATTTACATAACGCAAGCTAAATAAAAGCTTGTAATAATACATCTAATTTTAAGTTAAAATTGTTAAGTGATCATGATATAATTGTATCATTCAAAAATCCACTTACCTTTAATTATTTCTTGTTAAGTATAAATATTATTTCAAATCTGCTCCCTTAATATGCACTTTTTTACTGCTTTTCCTACCTAACACGTTACCAGGAAGTCACGTTACCAGAGTCAGAATAATAGTGAACACGTTTGACAGTGATTGTCGTCGCCTCATATTCAGCGTCGACGAATAGAATCCCCAGTCATAATGTATTGCATGCGTGGCGGTCTTTTCAAATCCATAAACAAAGAGATAATTACAGATCGATACTAAATGGCGCTGTTTTTGTTTGAAGAAAGTTTGCGGGCTAAAATACATAGAATTTCATCAATGACTTCCACAAAGAACAACATTTCTGTTTTTTCTAAGTCCGTATCTCTTCCGTATATTTCATAAGATATAAGCTTGGGCTACATTGTTATGCAACGTGATTTTGTCGCTGTCTTGCTAGCAGGGTTGACAGATATACGATTTAAATCGTACTCATACTATTATTTGTCTATTTTTTAATGTACGATCGTAAAGATTATGATCGTAATTCGCACAAAAACATACGACTTTTTGGTTACCTGGCAACATTTTTATTATGAAACGAACATGCTCACATCATCAGTCACATGCAACAATTTATTGGGGATTTCCCCTTCACATCTGGCAGTCCTGCTTGCTAGAATATAGGTAAGTCAGCCACAGTTACTGACGATCGATATTTGATTGTTTTTGTGCTAAATATTTCATAAAAACGTTATTTAATACTTTGTGGATTATTAATTTAGTTGATAATCACTGGAAGTAAAATGGATGCTAATTTGAGAGATCAAGATCTTCGTATAAAACAGTTAATAAAAGAAAATCTACGTAAGTACTCTTTTTATACCTAGGTAGGTAAGGTATAATAAACACAAAAGGTACTTAGATCGCGTGTGTTCGAAGCATTTATTCTAATAAATTTAATTTAAAATTGTAGAAAGAAAAAAAATGTCTGCCAAGCCGTAGCCGAAGCCGATCTCCAAATATATTTGGCGATAGTGAGACCCAGTGTCCAGATGATTTACCCAGCGTCGTCGCAACAAAGAAAAAAACGAGGATAAAGTAAAAGAAAATTTACTGAAAGAAGAAACAAACTGTTCTAAATGCTTAATTTATGGAGAAGAGGATAAAAGAAATGAGTATTTCGGACTGTTAGTGGCTCAAGAATTTAAATATATACGGCCATGTGTGCGAACGAGGTGTTATGAAGAAATTTTAAAGTATCTACGGGAAGCAAAAGGCCAACATGTTGATCAACTGCAACATGAAAACACTGAAAATTAATTACTTTCATTTTATTATATATAGATTTTTAAAATTTCCTGAAATATTATTAGTTAACGTTTTATTTAATATTGTAGAATTGATCAATACAATTTATAAAAATAATTTATTGGTATTACTTACATATTTTCAAAAAAATACGTAAAAACCTATTTTTTTGGGTGATTATGGGAGTTTATGGGTGTTTATGGGTTTTTACCAAAGCACCGGGTTTAAACCCGGTGCTTTGCCCATCTGTAGTCCTAATATATTTACTAACCAGTGATATAGACTTTTTGCAAAATAACACCTATTTCGGTAACATATTTTATTAAAAGATGGTGATTGTAAAAATTTTATATAAAAAAAAATCTGTTCTGTGATAAAAGTAGAATTTAGAACTTTTTAAAAAAGTTTTGCTAACTTTATTTATCAAACCAAATTGTATTCTTAATATAAGTATATACGTAGGTTAAGTACGAGTACAACTGTGTAGTCACGATTGTGTGTTGTGTCTAAAATTTTAAACGTACAAAGCAAATATAACACGGATATCGCGAGTATTTGATATAATTGTCACCGTACGATAGAACAAACAATTATTATCCTACGTTTTTGATGATATATTACAACGCCTTTTACTGGTATTATAGGAAGTTATAAGAAAATCTTATATCACAATAAGCGACTTTAAAAAAGTTGTAAAATAATAAATATTAAGTATTATCGCAGTATTATAGGAGATTTTTTATAGGTGATAATGAAATAGTAACCCCACCCGCGCTGTCAGGTCCTATCAGGTCAACCTCCACGTGGTTCCCCCTGGAAACCATCGTGAACAATTCTCGTTGAATTCGTCACAATGAGCTAATAGACCTGTTTCATCCTCGTTTATCATCCTTCACTGGTGCCCTATCAGCGTATACCGATATTGCTAGCAATGGGGTTGTCAAACTCCATTGCTAACAAACAAGTAATATTAAAAACAAGTAATATGTATTTTTTTAGTGATTTTGATGGTTATTATTTTGAGTACTGGATTATTACAAGTAATGCATGAATCATTATTAATAATGAAAAGTTAATCTCCACGCGCTCCTTTAAGAAACTATCGTGGTTAATTACTGGCGAATTCGTCACGAGGGAGTAATCGACTTTTTCTAACGCGGATGGGATTTTAATTCATTTTACATTTTTTAAAACATAAAATAAAATATAAATTATTAAAACTGTTACAAGGTGTACCTCTTACAAGGTTTACTAATATACTTATTCTAAAAGTTAGATTCGGTGTTCTTCTTTAAAACTCACCCCTATAATCACCGGCAATCTCTCACGAGCGGGGAGATTAATGTGCGACATGGTTTTCTTGACGCATTGTGCATAAATAAACAGACGTCGGCATCATCAACAGCTGGAGGTTTTGGTGTTTGCCTCTCAGTTTTCTGCAACTAACAGACGCGTGTGCTCGCGTCGTCGTCATTGCTCCACTTCGAAAGTGTTCCGCGTAAATGTAGTCTCGGAAAGTATTTTCATTTTGCCATTCGACTGCGAATCTTTTGACGCGTCTGCACAACTACGTTTAGATGTTACTATCAAATATTCTGTGATGTAACAATTAAATTCCATAATTAATTAAATAAATCCAAAACAGCGCGTGTATTTTGAAGTGGGTGCGATATTTTTGTATCTGGGCATAATGCCAGGCTGTATTTGATATTGCGAACGATATCAGGCCCAGTGCAATGTTTTAATTTGTAAATAAATGAAACGATTTGCTGTGTTGTTCTTTTTTCTTATTAAGGACAGAAATAAGGTGATGGAATGTACGTGACGTTTACAGTTTTCCACTTGTTTGCTCAAATTCTTTAAGTCAATATGAATATGTTTAAATAAGTGCGTAATATAACTGAGTTGGCATCAGTTATTTTCAAGTGATTTTTTTTATTAAATAATGATGCTTTGTGTATGAGAATGGATGTGACAAAATCAGACTGTGCATCTGGACTTCAAAGCCATACCAACACTACACGAAGTCCAGTAAGAAGAGCGTTGGGTCCTCCTAAGAAATCCATAGCTTCTAAACTATGGGACTTACTACAACCTCTTGCTAGGCTCTGGGGTCTTGTTACAGCTGTAGGTGAGTCATCGATGTTAAATAATAATATTAAATGCTACAAACTTATACCAATTGTCTGATCCTCAAACTAGGATACCGTGTGCTATGAACCAGGAACAACAGAAACCAGGCAACGAAACCAAAACATCTACACCTAAGCTAATTAATAAAAAGGTTGTTTCCTAAATTGGCCTGACTGGGAATCGAATCCGGGGCATCATTTATGAAAAATAACAAGTCCACCACTGCATCACGAAGGTCAAATAATTAAAATAAATACTTGAATAAATATAAATTGAAAGTATGTTTTAAAAGTATGTATGATACCAATAAAATGTTATACACATTAGTTACATTTCTCATTTCATGCAAATGAAAACCGAGATAGTCATATAATTGTTGATCCTATTTCTCTAATATATAGTAAAGTAAATATTATCAATGTTTAGACAAATATTGAACAGCATGGGCATACACATGAGTTCAGATCTCATGAATGCTGTATATAGCGATTTCCATGAGCTGTAGGCCCTAATTATAAAATATATAAATATTTAGCTGACGGGTCATCTGATTGAATATGGCATCTGTAGCATATCGACATGAACAGCATATACACTGATATACTCATAATATGTTGGCTGAGTCATGTTTTGCTATTTTATATGATGCGGTTTAATACTGTACGGTTTTTCCTAGTCGGTAATTTTACTGTATATTCCACTATTAAAACCGAAATATACCACAATTGCTTGGTGGCAGAAGCACGAAGGGATTAGAGGTATCCTGTAGATGACTTTTACACAGTCTTCATTTAAAAATAATATCATTTATAATAATGTAAGTAACGTTTCAATAAAAAGTTAAATTAATCAAATAAATATAATTAGATACGAAATAAAAATAATATACCCAATAATATTGCAAAGAAATAAATATTTATGTCCAGTATTGACGTCGACCATCCAATTTCCTGTCAAGAATTCGAAAACTATTATTCAAAATTAACTACTTCCCTAATGGAGTCATGATACTCATAGATATTTAGTGACTGATACGAGATATGTATGGGTTATATAATTAAGATTGTGTAAAATAACTGATTTTATTTTTAGAAAAACCTGTTATTTTGATTTAAAAACTAAACTACTGAACTGATTTTGAAAAAAAATCTATAGAACTAATCTGTAAGTATGTATATTTATTCAAATAGAACAAGAATTTTTCAAATTCGTTTGCAAGTGACAGATAGACATGAAGTGACAAACATAAAAAAAATACAATCGAATTGAGGACCTGCTTTTCTTAAAGTCTATATCTTGCTTAGTTTAAACAATATTTTGATTTACAGTTTTTTACTTGTTATTTACAGTGTTATGAGAGGTGTCGTGCCCTTTTACATATATATTATTTTTTGTATTTTCTTTGTTATATATGTAACATTTATTTTATTATCAACCATTTTAAAAGTATGCTGTTTTAAGAAATATATAAATATTTAATGTTCCAATACAATTATTTATTAATTGTGTAAATATCTATCAGTTATAACCTCGTATTGGATTAGAAATTATATATTATTTACATATAGTTATTATAAGATAGAAATTTGAGTTATGACGAGTTCATAAAAGAAATTATTATTATTATTTTATCTATAACGACAGTCGGAATGGTATGAGCACAAAGAGATTCTCATATTAAAGAATTTTGCCTTAGATCCTTTCGGACGGAGATGACAAACTTCGTGAATAACTTAAAAACTGTCGGTCCTAGTTAACATATCTATAAAGTATAAAGGCATTGGAAATTATTTATTTTAATCACAAATGACTAGTTTTAGTCACGACCTGTCCACGTGATAGTATACGTTGATGGACTGGCATAAAAAGTAGCCTTCCTTTTTGTCTTTGAAAAGATGTCCTTTTTCATTCCAAATATTATCTGTATATCAACTGTCAAAGCGCTAAAATGTACCTAATAAACAAACCCCCTTTCACATTTGTAATATTCCTGAAGACGAGATACCTATTTTATTAAAACATTTGAAAATATCTGCATTATTTTGCTTAATATGTAAATATATACTTTAATAAAAAAGATGCCAATACGAAGTGTTGTTAGAGTTAGCTGCCGAAGTGCTCTATACTATTGCCTGTTCAATATTTTCTGTGCACGCAGCTATAGGCTTTTTTTATGTTTTACAGTAATGAGTGGCGCAGGTGCCCAACTCCTCGTCTTGGGATATGAAGTGGCCCCTGGTATGCTGTAAGTACGTCTACTACGTTTATATAGAGTTTTGTGTTATTTTTAAAAAGTGTTCAACTGTAATCAGGTGATTTAAATAATAAATCAAATAAAATCTTAAAAGACGTTCTAAATTCAAATGGTGTTTTAGGTTTTAAATTTTTGTTTAAAAGTGTGTTTTAACTATCAAATGCCAATCAAATCATAAATTGACATGACATTAGATATAGAAATAGATCATAAGATGACAAAAACTAGTGAAGTAATTAAAAATGCATTGACATGGACTGCAAATTAGTAGGTAAATAGGTACACAATCTAACAATACTGGTTTGCTTGAAATGATTTCCCGTTTTACGCTTGAAAGAATGATGTCGAATTCATATTTGCGTGAACATTCTTGATGATGGAAAAGATATTATTTCGTTGATATATAAATACATTGGTATATCTTCAGAAGTTGTGTATTGTTGTGGGCATTTATGACAGTACAATATATTTAATATAATGATTTTTTTTAATTAAAATTTTTTAACGGTCTCTGCATAGCATGTGTCACTCCGTCTATTCCCGTGGATATCCTAAGAGGCGACTAAGAGAACTTTCTTTCGAGGCATAAACAGCAGCGCTCCTCTTAAAACATCACCAAAGCCTAACTGCGGTTGCCAAGCGTGGCTACTATTGAAAAAACCCCTCTTTCGAGGGAGGCCTATGTACAGCAGTAGTCAGTAAACATGTGATGTAACAAGACATGGGACCAACATGGCACATTACATACCAAGAATCATTATATCTGCTATTTCAAAGTGATAAAAATCGAAAAAAAAACTACGATGAATGGTTAAAATAAAGATTTATATAGTGCCTCGTACTTACTATAGATACAGTAACACATCAAGTAAGAAATTTTTAACGAGTTCTTTTGCTTTGCGGTTTATCCTATATAGAAACTTCTTTTAGAACTAGTGAATCGAGTTAAAGGACGTGTGTAATACAGCTATGATTTGTATAAAGATTTTATTTCTATTACTATATATGTTTTTAGTAAATCCTATATAGTATAAGTTTTTAATAAATACATGTAGGCACATTTCACATTATGATGTTTTATGTTCTTTTATAAATTTTAAAACTTTTTAAGCTATAATAATTAGTATCCTTTCCTATACCTACACACCTACTGTGATTGTCATGAATACTTACCGAAAATGTTGAAAACATGACTATTATCACTTAGCTGGTCTCCAAATCACAAAACACAATTACAGTTGGAATGGAACGCAATATGCGGCACTTTTACGGGTTCAGTGACATAGCCTAAATTGTCTTACTAAAGGGTAAATAGTCCGTATGTGTTCCATTAGTACTAAGCTTGTCATTAGAAATTTAAATGGAATAGGTGGTTATAACTAAGAAAATAAAATATATTATAACGTATGATTTTTTTTATTACGACTATGTCATTTTTATCTACAATAACTATAACAACCTACTCGTATTAACCCCATGGCTGGGCATGAGCCTCCAAAAGAGAATAAATAACTTTGGCATTGTCAAACACGGTACACGTCATCAGACAGTAGTGTTATTTAATAAATTACCTGTCCAGTTAAAAATTATACCAAGCCTCAATTCTTTTAAGATTAGATTACGATCCCTTTTATTGGAGAAATGTTACTACTCCGTACATGACTACTGTACTGATGATTAATATAAATAATTAAAAATAAATTTGACATATGTATATAATATTACTATGAAATTGACACTGTTTATTGCAGAATTTATTTATTATAATTTATTGTTATTATTATAGTTTGGATGGTTGTAATATTCAGGTTAATGTAATGATTTTTGTATGTTTATCCCTTATTTCAGACACAATGTACATTGTTTTTTGAATAAATGACTAATGACTAATGACTTTAGTCTGTTATTATCACCCTTGTCAGGCGGTTTGGTATACCCTTTCATATGTATTACTTCTTCTCTTGAACACCAGTGCTTATTCGTTTTTTCAGTCCACTTTAAAAAAGGAGAAGGTTATCAAATAGACTTTATTTTTCAGGATCGTTACTTTAAATCTCTGACATTTATAACTTATTTTTATCTTAAAAGGCTTTCAGATTGGTCTCATATGAATGTCATCAAAATCGATTTAGTAGTTGGTGTTTAAATCAAATAACTGGTTTTACCACGATTCAAGTTGGTGTTTATTTTTTGTGTGCAATAAAATTTAGTAGTCGTCTCTTAGGACATTCTGACTACGAAAAGGATTGATATATCGTATTGCCCTATCATAAAATTAAGAAGCTGAAGTGATTAAAGTTTCCAAAATTAGTTAAATATAAATTTAAAAAAAAATAGGTTAGTAATAATGGGATATTGGAATATTAGAAATGAAGTCAAGCAGTTCGCCAATTGCGCTCTAGCAAATATTGGTAAAATATGTTGTGCACGTTGTGCCAACTTGTGCATCACAGCGAACACGTAACTAAAAAAAGCGCAGCATTCTAGAATATGCGCAGTGGATTTTTATTTTGCATATCTAATTATAAACATTTCTATAATTAAAATTGTTTCATTAAAACTGAATGGGATAAAATTTAGTATCTATTTAACCATTAACAACACTCGTGGAGGGGGGGGGGGGAGGCTAAGGTCCTTCACTTCGCATATTTTTGGAAATACTTTTATAAAGCTGTCGATCTTCCATGTATTCTCAAAGCAGAACCCGCTCGTGAACAATGGAAGTAAACTAAGATATTATAAATAGTTTAAGAGATTCAAGACCTGTGTAATTAGACAAGCACTTTTTTTATTTATTTTTTTAACAACTTTACAACTTTTTTAACTATATTTTGCAGGAAAACTAAAAATATTAATCGCTAGCAGATAGACATCTGTTAAATGATAGAGAGTTACATGCAAGGAGGAGGTTTTACTCGCAAAATAATCTGATTAAGTTGCTGTATAGACTACGCTACGATGTATAGTCATCGAGCATGATATAGAAACTAAACATGTTATGACACTTTGTTACGTCTTTCATTAAATTCCAAACAACTAAAACTACACGTAATACTTTAAGTATTTTGTAATATACTGAAAAAAAAAAATGTGCCTGTGATTTTTCTTATTGTAGGAGAATATTTATCATATAATTATATTATTATCATATTAGCTGTTAACTGTCCACTGCTGAACATAGGCCTCACCCATAAGGGGGGTTTTGCCAATAGTTGCCTAATCTATGTCGGGATTATAAGGCGATTATCACAATTTTGAAATAATTATTATAAAATAGAGGAAAAATTTTGTTTGTTTTTCCATTAACAATTTTATTTATCGATTAGCCTTCTAACAAGTTTCTAAAATATAGTACCGGTTTTTAGATATTTTTAGTTGACGAAAGAAGTGTTTATTTTTTATTTAAAATCTTAATATAACTGTTCTATTTAAATATAATATACTATTAGTTTACTTAAAAGAAAACCTTATATAATTTTTTACACTCTAGAGCATAAATGTTGAGTAAATGCGTGAGGGGCCAAATTTCTCTACAAATTTAGAGGACTAATTTAAAAAAGCGAGTGTGTTAAGGGTTAATGTTATTATAATCAGAGGCTTCGAGGATCTATAATTTTAAACATCTGTACATATCTATGTTTATGCCTTATACGTATATTTTTCATTTAGACATATATACTGGTACAGGTATTTAATTATATCAAAATACTTATATAGTCATGAGAACGTTACAAAAGTAATTTTTCTTTATATTTGTGGTATTAATTAAAATGTATATAATTAAATCCTAGCTTGATATAATATTTATAGATGATATAGGTAGTAAAGAAGTACTTAAGTATCCAAAATACAAAGATAATAATTTATTCACGAAACTGAAAATTTTCCCCAAAGAATATGTTTTTATTTAAAATTTTCTTCTTTTGCTCTTGTAATTGGTGTATTGTTATTTGTTGTTATTGTATATTGTCGTTATACGGAAAAATATCAAGGTACTGTATCTGTCAGAACTTCGTGGTTCACTAATATACGAGTATGTTTACTTTCAAACAGCTTAAGTTTTAAAAACAATAAAATTTACTTTTTATTTAGATTATCGACTAACTCTTCTATGATGCACTATATACAATACAATAAAATATTCTGTTAAGGATTTATAATCCTATATAATTTAATTTTTGTTTTTTTTTTTTCGGTAATCATGGTAGGTGCTGTTAAAGTAGCTAATTTGCCAAAGTTATACATTGACTTGACGTAGGTACTTGCTTATAAAAATATTAGTTCATTAAATATTCTCAGACTTAGAAATATCATTCAGCGTAACATCTTAGAGCTAAACCACTTTTTGTACAAATAAACCGGATATTATATATTTATAAATAGGTACGTATACAATTTTACTAATAACTATGCACTTTGTTGAGTATTTAAAATGTTTATATCTTTATTGTTATAATAATAAACATGATTATCTTATTACATCAATTAAAGCTACTTTTTGTTAAAAATAAACATTGAAAAATTCTTTCCTTTGAGACTTTCCAAAGGTGTTTTCTTCATTCGGATAATTTTAAATATTGAATGAAACATTCGACTTTGTTTGTCTCTGGAAATGTTGATTTATATTAAAGTCTTAGGTTATTATTAAAGCTTGTTATAGTTACACATAATTATAAAATTAATGAATATATAGTTATAAATAATTAATGGCGTCGTTGATAAACAGAACACATATGACCTAAATTTCAAGGCTTAGAAAGTGGCAACACTGTAAAGAAGTCATTTGACGAGATAAGAATAATCTATATTCAAATAAACTTGTTTGTAACGTTTTTAAAATATCACGTTTGTTTATTTTATCACTGGCACGGATTATATAATAATTCCTTCACCGGGTTTAAAATGCTGTTCTTGGCTCAGAAGAGTCTCCTGGAAAATTGAATTTTTGGTAGCGTTGTAAATTTATAAAATTTTTAATATGTATTTAAAAAATTCAATATGTCCATTTGTAAATTGTTATTGTCTAGTGCCGGTGCGGCCGCGGTACTCATCCTTGAGACGATGTGGGTAGCGGCTCTCTTCGTGGACCTTCTTTGTCGGAGGGGCGAGTACACAGTATCACTAAGGTGTTGGGACTTCATGCGGTGGTCGTGTGGACGGGCACGTGCACCTTTCTACGCTTGTGCGGCAACGGCGATCTTATTCGCAAATCTTACACTGCTTGCGACTGTAGCAGGTAAGGTATGAGAAACGATGTAACCTTAAAATATTTTTTTGTCACATGGAACAATTAAAGACTTATCTGATGATAAATGGTAATCATCGCCTATGGTCATGAGTGGTTGGTAAACGAGCTGAATGTTTGCCATTCAATAAAATTCTTATATAAAAAGAGTCCATCTGGTAGAAATTGTTATCGTCTTCATAGATATAATAAGTACAACACAAAGTACATCACAGTATAACAGTGCTGTCCACGGTAACCCTCTTCTTCTGTCATTTCTTAAGTCTACGGTGTTGTGTCTCCTATGCTTTAGATTTAGTAAACTAAAAAATAAGATAAGAATAAAGCTTTCCGGAGCAGTTTATCAATGTAAACTTGCTATATCTGAGTCTCTTGATCGTCTACGAACGCCTTTAGGTATTGCATTTACCTTTCAAGACGAAACAGCAATAGCTATATTGCTGTTTTATGCTTAAAAAATATGATGTGCTTACTTGAATATATTATTCTAGGTGGAATGCTGCTAGTTTTGGCAGCTCTACGTGCAGCGGTACCGTTTTCGCCCTATGCAACCCACGGACCACATTCGCCCAGGGCTGGTAGTTCTCTATTGAGTCAACACGACTCGCCGTTACCAGACGTGTTTTATAATGCAGCAAACTCTGCGGAGGAAAGGTTGTTTTTACTTTTTCTTTTATGATTATTTTTATTTCACACACACACACACACACACACACACACACACACACACACACACACACACACACACACACACACACACACACAAGCACATGCACACACGTATACACGCACACAGGCATACACGTACACACGTACACACACATATATACAATTTCCAAATTACTGCAAAATTATCTTAGTTAATGTTAAAGTAGTTATTATAATAAGTACCAGGAGTAAAAATATTAGCAGATAGTCGTTCTAATATTCATACCGATTTTTAATAGTAACAGGATTGCGATGAAAATAATAAATAATTACTTTAGTTTTACCAAAAGTGTCAATGTGTTGATGATGAAAATATAATGTCAATTTTTAATGGTAAGGAAAGGGAAAACATATTTGAATAACAACTTTGTACTTATAACATAAATTGTATTTACTTATCTACTGACTAAGATTATTAAAACGTGATTGTACAAAAATTACAAAAATTGTTTGCGTAGGTATCTTTATCCCAGTTATATTTTTGTCACCAATCTGTGCTTAGGTACATATTTGAGTTTTAACTACAAGAATAAGATATAGATATGATAATGAAATTGAGTCATAATAATTATGTTAGACCTTAAGAATTTCTATTCTTGAGATATTCTACGCTAGAAGATATCGAGATTACTGTTACAATATATTCCGTGACATCTATGGTTATCACGTCTCATCAGGTATGTCATTGTAAGTTGCCTAGTAACTTAAGATTTTATGACTAAGTTACTGAACCGACTTCAATGGTGATTCAATGACGTCCTTAATTTCTCAAAAAATAAAAATTGCACTTATAATAAATACATACTTTATTATTTATTAAATAATACTTTCATTATTTTCAGATCTGAAGAAATGACAGTTCTTAATACGAAGGTAGATCCAGATAGACCGCGCTCTGTAACACCGAAGCCTCCTCTTCTCGAACTATGAAATGTAGTTATAGTATTTGCTAGCGATAAAAACTAGATTTCCGATATATTTAAAGTCATGTTGTACTTAATAAAATACGAATAGGTTAGTGTAATTTATTTATTAGTTAGGTACAATAATAATATATAATTTTATACGTACAGAACAACTGTGATAGTTTAGATTGTATTTGCAAATATCTAATCTAATATCAGCTGAAGTGGTGTTAAAATTTTTAATAAACTATACATTAAACTAGAATTTTCAATATATGAGTATATATTAACCGGCTACACCTAAACTTGTTTCTGACTCAGGACTGCGTAATACGAATACGCTGCTTTCATAATCTGAAAACAAATACGAGATTATAGTGATTTTTTTGCATATTTTGTTTTTATATGTTAATACATATATATTCATAACTATATTTTTTGTTCTATTGTGTTTTACGTGTGGATTCGATCTCCATAGAATACAAGTAATTCTATTCATAGATAATAATGACTACACATATTTACAATATTATATACGTTTTACCTATACATTATAATATTTCTAATATGTATGTATTTGCAAATTGTTTTCTAAGCATGTAACAATTATTTATTACTAGCACCCGTTGTACAAGCTCTATCTTTGGCCTAAATGCCGTTCTGATATGTATTCTTGGGTAATATCATCATTAAATCAAAACTGTCATAATATACAGCGCAAAATATAAATTATTACCGTTCTTTTAAGGAAGTGCTTTGACTACGAAAACTGAATATTTTTCTTTTTCGAAGAAACGTTGGTGAAAAAACGATTTCATATTAAGTCTTTTTTATTAATAAGGTGCGTCCAGTTATCAATATAGTATGGAAGGTTAAAAATAATAAATATACTATGGAAGATAAAATGGGCCACTCCTTCTATTCCCGTGGGTGTTGTAAGAGGCGAAAAATGGAACTTAACGGTCGAGAGACGGGCAGCAGCGTTCCTTTTAAAACGTTACCAAAGCTTAACTGCGGTTGCCAACCCGCCTGCCAAGCGTGGTAAGTACTGACAATACCCCCATTAGGGGGAGGCCTATGTCCAGCAGTAGACAGTTAACTGCTAAAATGGTAATTGATAAATTAAAAAAATACTTAACCGAAAAAAAAATCACCTATAGAAAACCATATTATCAGCAAGTAGCATGGAGACATTATTTTGAAAAAAATTTAGTTATATTATTCTATCTATCTACCCGTGCGAAACCGAGGCGGGTAGCTAATCTTACAAAGTATCTTAAAAAATAGCACTCACAGCGAGGAAACAGTCGTTGTTCATGTAGGCAAAACCAGCAGCCGTAAGTCTGAGTGGTCGTTGCGCGCGCATCATCATCAGGAGTAAGAGACGACGAAGGCTCGGCGACATCTGTTCCCATTTGCTGTGCATCACTGCATCAGCCACTTTAGCTGCCTGCCAGTAAATTAGGAGGTCCCATCAGCTCGTGTAGTAGATTTTATTGGTAAGTGATAAAGTATTGTCACAGATAAAACTGGTAACCAGTTATAATACCATTTTTTCATGGCACACAAGTAGTGGGAAAGTTCCACATCTATAATCATATTTGATCTTGATATTTAGGTACTATTTAAAATAACGTGTGATGAAATTGGCGAAAAGTATATGATATGATAATATTTAAGATTTTTTTCTCGGAAAGAAACGCTTACTTATTTTTATTACTATAAATTTTGAGGTAATTGTCTCAAAATTATGAAATGTCTCAAAAATATGAAACCAACATGGGAGTTATTTATATCGATCACGGAAAGAATATGTTCAAAAATACAGATGAAATGAGAATTTCTTCCTTTTTGAAGACATTTAAAAATGTGCACCGGAATTATTCTTAAGAAAAATATGATTTGAAATATGAAAATAATTTTTAAATCAAATACAAAACCCCGTAATTGTGTTATGCTCAATTTGGCGTGAAAGTTAAATAATTATTTTGACTTACAATTACAACTCCTTGGAAAAAGATCTTCAATTTGATTAGTACACTCTTATTGATTTGATGAAATATATTAGTTAGGTACTTAATAAGATATTATAATAAAAATAAATAAATTTGACTCACTTGTAGTGTAAGTTCATTCCCAGTAAAGCACTGAATAGCCAACTGTATTATCATAGCTACAAAGAAAGCTAAAGAGGTCACAAGTCGAATGGACTTAAAGCTTGATGCGTCTTGCTGAAAAGTATTTAATTCATTATTTTATTTGAAAAGCAGAATTTAATTTAATAGAAATATCAATGTTATTTAGCATTTTATGGTGTCATAAGTCGTTTACCATTAGAAGTGCTGTTTTTACTTGTTTGTCATCATTGGTAGAGTAGGTATAATATAATATAAAAAATCTTTTATGTAGATGGGTTGTTGTAGTAAAAAGGAACGGTCCATCTACATAAAAGTTTTATAGATCCATATAGACTACCATCTATAGAGGTTCAGCATTAGGCAACGAATAGTTTAAAATGATGAAGTTGATTGTAGAAGATTCGAGTAGCGTAGCTACATAATATTTTCTGATTAAATTCCGTTCAATACAAGTTTGAACTTAAATTAAATTATTGAATGAGGCAAAAATAAAGATCATATGAATACAGGAAAGGATGTTTTGCCACAAAATTAATTAATGCATTTGTCTCAAAATTTTAATAGAGCTCACCGAAACTTGAACCATTACGACGCAAATGGCCGCCATGCTGGAGAGAAGTTGCGTCATGAATCCGTACGAGTAAGTTCGGCGGAATTTCTCTACGCAGCTGCAAACAAATATACTTAATATTATAATAATAAAATCATTTACCCCGTCACATGTCCATTAAGAAGCAAACAGCAATGATTTGTTATCGTGTAAATTAAATTTATCAAGAATGAAATAACTTTTTGCTTATAAAATTATTTACCGATTTTTTTTAGTTTTAATGTAGTTGTTACTTTTCATAAATCCTATAATATATAAGTATGTACCTACTTAGATATTTTTTCCAAAATATTCACGAAATCTTTATATCAATTCAGGAGGATATGAAACGTGATTATGTTGATATAAGGGCAAGAAAAAAAGCATTCAGTGACAATATTGGAGCGGTAATCCCAGAATATTGCAGTTTGTGAAATCTACAGAGAGTAGGTATCTTTTCTCTTGATGCTTTCATATTGACGGTGAATTGATTTTTTTTGCAACGGGGTTCTTATGATTTTCAATCGCGACTATTGACCAGAGGATAATATTAGCAGACTTTTTAAACCACAAAATAAGCAATCGATTTTCATTATATTTTTCTTATAATGTTTGTGAATTCAAATTTACCCATGTGTTGTAAATTTCATGTGAAGTTAGACTGGTTTCTTTGCAAGTATGGCTTTATTCAATACTTCTTGAACTGGTTAGTCGCAATCTGTTTCTACACAGCAATATTTGGCTCGGAATGGCGCCGGCTATCCTCCCAGTTAATTTTCATTGCACTTTATGGCAGTTTAGCAGTCTCAATTGGTCCTACGCTCGCTCGCTTGCCAAAGAGTTTAATGTACTTGGCTACGATTTACCAACAAAACTATGAGTTTTTGAATAACAAAATCAAATCTTAATCTATTGTAACGTATAAAAAGTTGATATTATTAATACCACAAACATAAATTTAATTATTATATTATGTTATATTATTAAAAAATACAAATTATAAAAAATAGAATGTTTTAAATTATTAATATTACAAATATGTTTTAAGTTAATGTTTCTATAGGTCTTTGGACATTTAGATTTTTATAGTTCAGTAACAAACAGAAGTATAATATGTAGTATAGTACCGTAAGTTTATAATATTTGCAAGAAAGTCGTTGAACGGTCACGATATCCGCTGAAAATATTTCAAATATTTCTACTGTTTGGTCCGTCCCCGTGTAGAATACAGAACAGTGTAAGTACTGGTTTTGATTTATGTATGTACCGCCGCCGTGCCACTTCCATTTGGTGTCCTACTTGCTCCGTCGAGAAAAAGAATTTTTAAAATGAAAGTCCATCTCGTATGTGTCTTTACTGCTATCTCTTTATATATGTATAAAGAACCGAGTATGTTTATGTCTGCAATGTACTATATAATGTAAGTCTTTAGATGTTAGAAGCTAAATCGTAAAAATGGAATCCTACTTACAGATCATCATATCTGTTTGTTAGACTGTCTATTCGTAAGATAAGATAAACAAATAAGTAAAATTCATTATAGTTTTTATAACTTAAATTCTATTAAATTATACACAAATACTTTAAATCAACATGTTTTTAACAATAGTTACCACTACTAAATCAATACGATAAACAAAATTTCAAAAATACATATTTTTCAGTTTACAGATTTACGATTGTTATTAGCGTAGAGATTTAGTGCTCGAGTGCTAATTGAAATTTAACGCTAAATGTGTTAACTAGGACAGCTAGAATAAAAACAAAAATATATTTTATGGTAAAATTTATGATATTAAATTACACCATTTACACACCTTATGAGCAGTTGGTGTTGTTTTAAGCAGTTTTTAATCGTATTCTGCAATGCTAATTCCACTTGCTCTTCTGAATATCGTCTTCGAACAATCCTTTCTATATTATCTGATGTTTTTATGTCACCGTTGCCAGCCTCAAGAGCATGTGAAGATTCAGACATATCCACATCTACTCCATCATATAATTGCAGCATCGTACGATCGTATGCCGTAACTAATGCTTCGCCTAATATTGAAAATTGTGAGCTCATATGAAGAATAACTGAGCCGATGAAAGTATCAATTGACATCACAATGTGACCAGTCCAAAGTAGTCCTACTGTTTCAAGAACAAAGGTGGAAATATAGGCAGCGTCTGTTTGGTAGTTCCACGGTATGTATATCGGTTGTGGTAATGTTCTTAATGGTTTAACTGAAGTGTCATTTAGTTTAGCAACTTCAGCCTTCCATTGGATATCTTGTATTGTACCATACACATTAGTGTTCCCAATAGTAAGCCATCCAAAGAAAATAAAAGCACTTGACATTATCTTTGTAGTTATAATCGTTGCTTGGTTTCTTTTATTATTTTGATAGTATCGGTATAGATCAATTTCTAAAATACGTACGATGTCTTGGATTTCATTGTTTTTGAAGAAAAATATATAAAGTTTGATCAAAGTTAGATCATGAGTGATCACGAAAGATAAACTAAACATAAACCTGTCCATTTCTTTTTCGCCAAAGAAAGGGTCAATCGTTTCGAGACCAACAAATCCAGCTACCCATATCAACTGCGTAGCAATAGAGTAGTATAAGTACCAATTTGGGAAATTTCTTGTATCACCTTCATCCGGTTGGTGCCACCACCCAAGACCTAAAAACCTTAAGAGAATAAAATGAAAATAAAAATAACGTCTTGGCCGCTTGATAATAGCACTATCGGCCATTATGCTCGGTCTTTATTCTACAGCTACAGATTAAATAATAGGAAAGGTTGGTTACAGAAACCTTAAAAATAGTTATCGAAATCTATCTACTATGAAATTAACCTGTTAATGTTAAATGGTAAAGGTAATACAAAATTAATACTGAAAACTGATTGTGCTTATATCTATTTGATATCTTAGGGCTGTAACATATTTATCGGGGGAAATGCATTTTATGTAAATTGATTAAAGAGTTAGTTTATTTAATATGTAAGCAATTGGTGGTGGCAAATAAAGTTTAAAAAGTATCTGTTAAGTTTATGAAGTCAAGCTCTATTGTTAAGATAAAAATATTATTTGAAGTCAACAGCTTTGTTGTTTTTGATTGTTTAAGAATTATTTAATTGCTAGTGTTTACCCGCGACTTCGTGCGCGTGACCGGAATATGTTCATTAATCGGGATAAAAAGTAGCCTATGTCTTTCTCCATCTCATATAGTACTTTTATATAAAATTTTACGATTTCATGGTTAATCCCTTAAGGCATCAAGAAGTAACAAATAAATAAAACATATGCACTTTCACATTTATAATATTGGTAAGGACGTTATTATCTTGCAGAATACTTCCAATAGCATTTAGAAGAGGTCCATATGCACTATTTTTATTTATTAATTAAAATTTATAAAATACTTAGTTTAAGATACATATATAGCGGTTTTAATTATATTTTGTTTTTATATTACTTACTTAAAGTATACATTGAACTTTGTTTAAAATTTTGTTTTATTTGTTAATGAAAGTTTTGTTTATTTTTTAGTTTCACATAATACCGCTTAGATTCAATAAAAGAGAGATTGTTAACCGATTTTAAAAATAAGGAGATGCTCAATGCGACTACTATATGTATTTTTATTTCACTAAAAATAGCAACTTGACTTAAATAGTGACATTATTTATTTGGAAACTCTACTTTATTTTGATTTATAAAGAATTATCAAAAGTGATCTTGAATTGTTGACGTAGTCTGAGAATTTTCTCTTCTCTCCAATCTTTTGAATCTCAATAGATAAAAATTTCGTACTTCGTAGTTTAAAATTTGTGCCATTTATTTGAAGTTGTTTTGATATTTTTGACATTGTATGGTATAAGAAAAAAAAAAAAAAAACAGAAAACCTTTCGTGACAAGTATAAATAAAAGCAATATAGTGTATTATCCAGGTGTATCCTTACAATTAACTCTGTATCAAATCAAAATAAGTAAGTAGATACTAACAACTCTTTATGATATAACTTGGAAGTTACGTTAGGCAACCCTACTTTTGATTTAATAATTTAGATGTCATATTATTACTGGTTTTATGACTGAATAGTGTAATCAATGTCACGTAATTATTGGTCTTTACAATAGAGCGTGTAAGGTGTTAATTGCTCAGTTTAGAAAATTACCTACTTGTTGTTATTATCCAAGTATACCTATTCTAGCTGTGCTCGTGGCCTCGTGCCGCATTTAAATTATAATAAAAATATATATTTCTGGTATTCTATTTCTGGACCCGGTGGCTTATAACATTGAAACAAAGAATAGTAGGTTTTACAGTATCTACTATGATTATATAGTTTAATTCAATTATATGGTACTTTTTTTTTGCTGGGTGAAATTGGTATGGTAATCCCGCCTGCGCTAACGGGAATGCACCAATGAAGGGTGATCGATGAGAATGAAAACAGGCCAGTTAACCCATCATAATGAATTCATCAGGAATTAACCATGATAGTTTCCAGGGGGAACCGCGAGGAGGTCGACCTGGCTGGGTATATTGCTAGCAATGAGATTCTCAGTCTTCATTACTAACAATCAATTATATGGTACTACGATTTAATTAATTATAGCTGTGTGGTTTCGGCAAAGAATAGGCTACCCCTTCCTTTACCGTGGGTGTCGTAAGAGGCGGCTAAGGGAGAGCAAGGTATAAGTAGCAGTCTCTTAAAACATGTCTAAAGCCTAACTGTGGTTATCAATCCGCCTGCCAAGCATGGCATTTAGGGGGAAAAGGGATTGTTAGTAATGGAGACTGAGAATCCCATTGCTAGCAATATACCCAACCAGGTCGACCTCCTCGCGGTTCTCCCTGGAAACTATCATGGTTAATTCCTGATGAATTCATCATGATGGGCTAACTGGCCTGTTTTCATTCTCATCTATCACCCTTCACTGGTGTTCCGCCAGCGTATCCCGTTAGCGCAGGCGGGGTTACCATACCATTTTCACCCATCAAAAAAACAAAAGCATGGCATTTACTGGCAAAACTCCCCAAGGGAGAGGTTAATGTTCAGCAGTGGACAATTAAGGGCTGATATGATGATGATGATGATTTAATTAAATTGATATAGAGTCAAATATTTTCTGCATTATTAAACTTTACTAATATTACAAATGTGAATGTAATTTTGTTTGTTTGTTACCTTTCAGCCGTTTAACCACTTAATCAATCGTCTTTGAGATGGAGAAAGAGATAAGTGATGAGTATTAGTATTTTGTAGCAGTGTATTTTGGTTTATTCATGATTCTGTTGTGTTCATGTCTATAGGCGACGGTTACCACTTTCCATCAGGTGGGCCGTCAGTATATTTGTCACTCTAATATTCATAAAAAAGCTACTTTACACATACCAGATGAAGTAGTGAATATTATTTACTAAACTTTACTATCCGTACCTCCTTACTAATATTATAAATGTGAAATTCTGTTTGTTAGCTCTTGGCTCATTAACAGTTTTACTAATAGTAAAAGACATATAGATATATAATGTAATATCTCGGTCACGTGGAAGAAGTAAGGGATAAAAAGTAATCAATACATATAATAAAATCGTAACTGGTCACGGTCTGTACATGAAAGATATATAAGAAAAGCTATTCTAAGGGGGCCTTATGAATGTAATAGAAACCAAAACAATGATTTTTGTTTGTTTGTACGTTTGTGCGCGCTAATCTCAGAAACGGCTTATTCAATTTGAACGCGGTATTCACTACCGCATTGCAGTTTTCTTTACTTAACATTTAATGTTTGTTTTATTTCAATCGGTTCATAAATAAAAAATTATATCAATCTAAAGAGTCACATATAAAATGCTATAAAATAACCGATCAGTTAAATTGGCTAAAACTTTATGAAGGTATTAGGTACATAATTATCATTTTAGTATATACAATATAGGACCAGATTCATGAAGAGTTCCAATAGGAATGATATACGGGAATTATATAGTCAGAAACGAGCAACGCCGCGGGAAACGTCTAGTCAAATATAAAACAAAAAAAAATATTGAGGGGGCGAAAGGGAGATTAAAAAGGAAGAAATTATTATCATTGTATGAGAATAAGGGTATAACAATGTTAAAAGAGACTGGAATAAAGAAATTGATCTTTTATAAATAAGTTATTATTTAAATAAAAAAAATTCCGCATATGATTATGCTGAAAATCGATCTACCCATTTATAAAATAGGCATATTAATGCATTATTCCATCATAGTTAAATAGGTTACTTCTCCCAGGGGCTAAGATTCATTTTATGAGAGAGAATACGGCAGTAAACGAATTGATAGTTGATAGAAATGGAGATCAAAACATATAATATTCTGCACATTAACTCCTTAATATTAGTACAAGCAAAATATTACTTAATGTTTAAAAAATAAAATATTGTAATTATATATAAAATTATTATGTATATATAAACTTTACTTGCATGTATATTGCTGTCTATCATTTATATATGGGTTATTTTGTAAGATTTTTACGTTAATACACTAAGAATATTTAAAATTGCCGCTCTTTTAAGAGCTCTTCCGTAAAGAGACTAGAGACTGCGCTTGGCAAATTCACAACAAAAACGGTTGCTGGAAAACGGTTATTTATTATAACCAGTTAACGTTATTATGCGTTTTAGCTATGTTATTGAGTTAATTATAATATAATATTTTTTACGTTTACTATATATTAAGACAAGTATTAAAAAAACTGTAATATTTTAATGACAATTATGGTCCAGTATAATGATACTATGTATATTTAACAAGCTATGTATTTTACTGAACAAGGTGTTATTTTGCGGAAGTTAATATCACCAGTCAGTGGATTAGAATTACTCGTATTTTGTTAATGGTAGCGCAATTAAATAGAATAATTCTAATAAATATAATTTTATTTCATAAAATTACTTAAAATACGTTATCACTATGTGTAAGTGAGATAGAAGTCAAAACGAGTTAAATTATTTCACTCTTGTATTCATGGTATTATATATTACCTGAATTTGTATTTATATAAGCGATCTACATAATCTGTATATTCTGTGAAATCATATGGAAACCTTAACCTTAAACGTTTCATGCTATTGCAAATTAAAATAGCACGGTAGTCTCTCTCTAATCTGTGACACTATGTAGCGTTTTTCTGCGGTTGTTGCCATAAGTAACTGATTAGAATAGTATTGACAGAGTTTTAGTGACTGTCTAAGAGTAAATTAGTATTTATTGCACGTTAGTTAGCAATTCAGCAGATTGCTCTCGATATTAGTCCAATTTATTTCATTTTATTCAGGTAATGAAATAACATAATGTGAAAAGATCGTGTAAATTTTACTGTTAATTGATTTATTTGTAAAAATTATATGGTTTTTCAATACGTAAATATATTAAAATTAATTCAAATAGATTCGTAAAATTACAGTGGCAACTGTTGGAAAATACATATAATATTTCGTCCAGAAAAGTTTTTAATCTATTTGTAATGTTTATTACAATTACGTGCTGCTGATCACTGAATAAAAATTACACACATTTAAAAATTGTAAAAAAATCTGCTAATTAGGCTGGAATTGAAAGGATAATTATAATAAACCGTAAGTACTTAAGTTAGCATATTTTTATTTTTGCTTACTTTGCTAAAGCCGCGATATTACTCATGTGGATTTTCGTATACCGCTGTCTTATAACCCGATAAATACTAATATTTCTAAATTATATTTACCAAAACTTCACATATATTGGACTTTTTTTCTAAATACTATTATTATAAAAATCTATTTAGGGAATGTTTATAAATTTAGTACCGGCCGGTATACGATATACTTAGTAGGATTTCGTAGATTTTCTAAAATTTAAATTTTTTACTGGGTATTTATAATCTTTAAAGCTTGTTATATCTGTGCCTCTAGTGAGAAAGGGTATAACTCAAGTTATAGCCTTTTTTTTTATATAATATAAATAAGCAAATATCGTAACGATATCTTTAAAAACAATAGAGATAGTAAACATGTAAAAGGCTATTAACAAAATAATTAGAAATAAAACTACAATATTTTACAAAAATTATTTTTGTAAAATGAATCAGTTCGATTTGAACCTTACACCATTTAACAGCGATTATTTTTTTATAGCGTAAAATACACATCATTGTTTTTCTTCAATACTTCAATAAAATAGTTTTAATTCAACTTAAAACTATTTTCACATCATAATTTTAATATTTTTGTTAAGTGTGATTAGGTATAATAGAATTATTTTTAAAACTATATATACCGACAATTTCATAAGAAAGAGGAGAAAAAATTACTATAAATGCAATCATTGACTTGTTCAATTAGCAAATAATAAAAGCAGCAGAATTTTTTTTCTTTATTTAAAATAGTTTTTTGGCTCTCCTGAAAAGTGATCATTTTGAATTGAACCCTTTCTCACTAGAGGCACAGATATATAATATAATATAATTTAGATACACATTATGTTAATTAACGATATTCATTTCTTAAAACTGTATGTGTATGTACTTAAAAATGTATATAACCAAAACGGAAAAAAAAATCTCCAAATAAGAGCAATCTATATATATACTAACGGCACTACACAGTGCAGGGTGATTATGAAGCAGCGTTGATACATATTCAGGTTTTTTTTTTGACAATTTTCAAATATTTTTTAGTTTATAGTTATTGATATTATCCTAAATATTTTATTAGAAAAAAAGACTGAGACCCTATTAATTAATATTAATACTATTTATAAGGAATACATTTCGTGAATTAACGTAGTCTAAATATTTTTTTCTACTTTCGATTTTCACAAAATATAATAACTTGCAATTTAGTATAACTGTTGAAGTTTTGAAATCTAATATACCGATTTAATTCGGAATTTTTAGATATAAAGTTTTCAATTATCTCCGCATTTTATACCCGGATTCGATTCATGCTCAGGAATATTAAAAAATTTAATAAATTGTCTCTAATAATATACACTTTTATTTGCATTTAAGAAGACGTTAACAACATTTTATGTTATAAATTTATAAAATGATGCCTATAATTTTAATAAAATGATGTAATGACCGATCGAATTTATTGGACAAGTAGCAAGACGGACATGTGTAGATGGAAATATCGTAATTACAAAATACTTTTTAACCTTAGTTTTTAACATTATAGTAATAATTTTAGTGATAAAAATCAAGGTATTTAACACGCAAATTACTTTTAATAAAGTACATATTAAATAAAACGCTATTAACTTTTATCTAAATATATGTTTACGTTTAGATAAATTTAAAAGTATCATCAAATAAAATGTTCTGAAGATCAAACATTTGTTTAAGTTTTTAGGTATATGATTAATAAAGTATGAGTTTTTTACGAGGTATCAAATTTTGAACTGTTCATAAGTTGTAGATACATACCCCATGTAATTATCAAATTACAAAAATTAGAATTAAACTACATTGAAATAAAAATACTCTACAGTATTATTAATACTTTAATGTCCTAAAGAAATCTAGGTTAATATTTGTTGCAGAACAATGACAATATTTAGGTCGTATTATTTGCTTGACTTCGCATTGTTACAAAAATACTCAGGCGAACTACTCTCTAGAATCAGTTTAGTAATTTGAGAAATTTAGAATAAAATCCAAGTATAAACTAATAATACTTTTTGTGATTATCATATTGAAGTTAATTTGATGCGTGATCGAAGGTTTTTCACGTAAACCGCGCTAGAATTTTTATCCACAATTCACTACAGTTATTTTGAGAAAGATAGTAAAAAGTCTTTAACTGTATTCTAAGTAATTCTGATTCATGATTTTTGTTACATACAATAATGAAACCATTTACTTCTAGATAGGTGATTCGTCGCAGTTTCGTTTTGCAGCTGTCGTAGGTAGAGCGATAACAGTGTTGTTACATATACATAGTAATGTATCAGCTGCAATTTGTAAAATAGTTAAATAGGTTTTTTAAGGTAATCAATGATAAGAACAGTTTTTAAAAGATTTAATTTATTTTGGGTACTTTGGGTAATTAATATATTGGCTTTGATTTTCCTTATTTCCTTCTAATTTTACTAGTTTACCAAATTATTTAAGCGAACAATAAAAAGTTTCTATAAACTTAATCTCTATTTTACTCGTATTAGGTAGGTATAAAATATATTCGATATATATTACATATATCTGGCAGTTACGTTACAGTTAGTTTATCGTATTTGTTTCGATACCTTTTCCATTATAAGTTTATTTGACAGAATAATTAAACTTACATAAAATTACAATATAAGGTAGTAAACACTGTAGTAAATAATTGAATTCAATCGTAGCAAGTAAATCCTATTGTGTAACATATACACAAAAAATACAGGCAAATTAAACACCTATTCTTTTTAGTCTATAGATGTTAAAAGAAAGTTAGCTCATCACTAATAATACTCTTAATAATAAAAAAAGAACGTGTATATAGGGTGCCTAAATAATTAAAAATATAGCAGCTACTACAGTACTGTAGTTTCGATAAACGCAATTGAAATTTGGAAATTTTCAAATCGTATAGTTTCCATATTAGTTTTTTAATTCACATTATTTAGATTATAAAATTTTACAAAAGGAAATTTTTCAATTCAACTGTATCGTAATTGAATATGATAGTATTTTTAGTCGCTACTCGTTTGTTTACAAACGAGCGCCACGGAATGTCACATTACTTTGCTACAACTAAAGCACGACGTATTTAGAAATGAAATAATTTACTTGTCCAGGTTCTCTGGCCTTCTGGTTTACAACAAATAAATTAGTTTCTAAATACGTGTACGGATTCCTCATTCATGAAAACGAATGAGATGTCAGACAAGTCGTGACGTTCTTTTATGGTTTTTTTTTAATTTTTTTTTCTTGATGTGTTCTGCAAGAAAACCAAAGATTTGAGAAAATGTTTCTACTTGAAAATATAATTATTTCGTAATTTTTTGTAAAGCAATTTTTCAGGCAATGGTTCACTCGTGAAATATATTTATTTTGGCCAAATGACAGAAATAATTTTGGTTTTCTACAATATAAATGTAAACGTTGTAAGTAACTGTAATAATAACCGGATTGATTTACTTTATTCATGACTAGCGGCCCGTCCTGGTTTCGCACAGGTGGACATTATTACATTTTAAAAAGTGGTCACTAAGGCTGTACACGCGACGGAAGCTTAAAAATGGTGTAACTTCTTCCGTTTTCTCAATATTTCCCTTCACTGCTCTGCTCCTATTGGTCGTAGCGTAATGAAAAGTATACTTAAACCTGCTCAGGAGTATAAAAAATAATTGTACCAAGTTTCGTTAAAATCCGTCTAGTAGTTTTTGTTTCCATAACGAACATACAGACAGACACAAATTTTACTAATTGCATTTTTGGCATCAGTATCGATCACTAATCACTTCTTGATAGTTATTTTGGAAATATATTTTATGTACAAAACTGACCTCTCTACAGATTTATTATAAGTATTGTGGATTAAGGATTTCAAAATTAGTGGAGCATTCACGACAAAAGTATACAAAACGTTCACAGCAATGAAAATGTTATTTCTCCGTGTCTTCATGGTTAGTATGCATTTGTAATGGAGAAGTACATACGCCACTTTTTATTCCTGTCAATTAATATATCTAGGACACGACACACATGATCATTTTGAATGTTGCTGATGATTATGCTCGGGGATTGTATGTAAAATGTATTGATTTAATACGAACTGCATCTTTTCCTTATCTATGTCATTTTTGATTGAAGCTACTAATTTATGGAACCTAATTTCAGAATTGTAGTTGACTCGGTTGTTTATTACAAATTTCTGAGAGCTAAGTTTATTTTAGAAATATATAGAGTAGGTACGAAAACAATAAAAAATCATATTAGTAAAGATAGGTTATTGCTGCTTATCTCAAGATGATAATATGGGCCATGGACATCTTAAATATGTAATATAAATCATCAGTATGTAATATTACATTATTTTTCTTGTTATAATACGTAATTTTTAAAAGAGATAATAGAGCAAAGATGTATTGTTAGGAAGATAATTTATGATAAGCTTACAATTTTTATTTATAAGTATATATGGCTTTTTTTTGTTATGTATTATATATAGCCACCCATCTATATAAGGAGTATTCTTATCAATTTGTGCGCCAGACGTATATTGATTATTTTTAAAGCTCTCTTATTGCATGGACTATCACTACGTTTTATAATAGATGCACGTAAATGCCAGGTATGATACGAATGCGATTTTTTTTTCTTTTTAAGCCGGACATGATGTAATAGTTTTGATACTTTACAAACGTATTTTAGAGGAAAATTTAAAATGTCTCTATAAAAAAGTAACGCACCTGAATGAATATTATGAGGAAAATATATTCAACTAAATATTCTATTTTTACTAGTTTTAGGAGTATGATCATTGATAGGTACTTTAAGTAAACTAATGTTGACATAAAGTTACATAAACTTGAAACTATACCGAATAAAAAAAGTAGTTTTTGTAGGACAAGGTAGTAACGTAAATATGAAACGTATTTGCCTACAAATTTCACTAATTAAGTAGTTACTATTTTACTTTTGGTGCATAATTTGGACAATTATACTTTATTTTCGGTAGGTATCGTTTTTTAGTCTGGACTTTATTCTTGTGATTACCTGATCCCTTTATTGCATCCATCGGCTCCCTGTAATATATACAATAGCTACATAGATCAGTAAATATCTAATGATAATATCTTTCAGCTGAAGATGGCAGTTAATGTGTTCGATGGTTGGGACTACGCAATCATGGCTGCCACGATGGCGGCGTCGATAATCATCGGTGTTTATTTCCGTTTTAGTGGAGGCAAACAGAAAACGAATGAGGTAGATACATACAACATCGAAGTAGATAGTAAATTTGTTTCTACTTCACAAGAATTTTGAATTTTATTACACAAAAAATAATAATTTAGTACTCCGAGCTAGTGTTGTTAAATTCCATTACTTTTCATTGCGGAATGATAAAGTTTTCTACAGTCTTCTTGTTAATAGAAATTGCCTAATATTATTTTAATGAACTTAATTTATTTTATTTATTGAAATTAATTCCTGTTCTTAACGAATAATTTTAGCTCAGTTAAAAATTATAACGGACTATTTGTTAGATATCTGTATATTAAATATATATAGATATATTAATTACTTTGCTGTTTATTGCAAATATTTTTTTCATGAGATTAATTATTAACTATTATTAATTTAAAATATTTTTTTTAATTTTCAACAGGAATATCTTCTGGCCGACCGCAATCAGTCCATATTGCCAGTGGCTGTGTCCCTGATGGCATCTTTTATGTCTGCGATTACTCTGCTCGGTGTCTCATCAGAAAATTATTATTATGGGATGCAATTTGTTGCAATCAACATATCACATTTATTAGCTACGCCTATAGCTTGCTACTTGTATCTTCCTGTATTTTTTAGACTACAAAAGACAAGCACCTACGAGTATTTAGAGCTCCGCTTCGGTCCACGAATAAGAATGCTCGCATCATTGACATACACATTACAAATGGTGCTATATAATGGAATAGTATTATATGCTCCTGCTATAGTTCTAGAATCCGTGACTGGTCTGGATAGACTGATATCTATTTTAGTTGTAGGTTTAGTATGCACTTTTTACTCAACTTTAGGAGGCATGAAAGCAGTGTTATTCACTGACTTGCTACAGTCTCTGCTGATGTTTGGAGCTGTATTTATAATAATTATATTTAGTGCAATACAATTAGGTGGATTCGAGAAGATATTTACAATAGCGCAAGAAGGTGGGCGATTAAATTTTAACAAGTAAGTTTCATTCGTAATTTTTATATTTTCATAAAGTTTATAAATATAAAAATCTTGCATATTGACCAAAGTTCTTCAGTTTCAGCTTGGATCCAACAGAGAGGCACACGTGGTGGTCTTTGTTGATTGGCGGTGCTATTACTTATTTGTCTTTATATGCAGTTAATCAGACACAAGTTAGTATATATTTATATATTTTTGATTTTGAATAAAAAAATATAAATAGGTACAAATATATTTTTAAGTCCTAATTTTTAGATAATATTTTTATTTTATAAAATTACCAGATAATTGTAATGTATGTGCCTGGCAAGGTAACAGAAGGAAGACAAATTACTACTTATTTGAATTTAATAAGTTTTGACAGATTTTAAAATATAAATAGATATTTAGTTTTTTTTTTATCTTTTAATATATTCCAGCAGATCGAACAAATTTTCTTTTTCGTATTTACTAATCTGAAACGCACTATTTCAGGTTCAACGCCTGATGACTGTTAGCACATTGGAAAGATCACAGAAGTGCCTTTGGTGGAGTTGGCCAGTTCTTTTTACACTTGGTGTTAGTACTTGTACCAGCGGTCTTGGCATGTATGCGGTATACAGAGACTGCGATCCTTTATTGGATCAAAAAATATCTTCTGTAAGTATTTAATTTGTGTCGCATACAATCTTGTAATGTGATGTTATAATTTGTAATACGATAATTAAATTGTAACTTATTTAACTGTGTTTCGGTTTGAAGAGTGGGATATTGTAATAAAATTACAGGGTATAGAGGCATAACACTTTAGTCCTCAGGAATAGTAACACATGAAGGGTATTATAACATAGATACTCACAACACAATGTACTATGTTATGCCAGCTTTTTTGCCAATCTAAGTTGTATATATTTTTTTGTAGATAGATCAGCTAATGCCGTACTACGTAGTGGATGCGATGCGAGGTGTTTCAGGTTTGGCTGGCCTGTTCGTGGCAGGTATCTTCAGTGCTTCACTATCTACTATATCGGCTGCTTGTAACGCGCTAGCCGCTGTCACGCTCACAGACTACGTCGGTAGGTGAGTAAATTATTGCTCTTCTGAATTTTAGCTATTTTAGACCTAGAGAACTTATTGTAGAGAATAATAGACTAAAAGAATTTACCTCATTGGTTTATTATGAAGGGTGTTATACAATATTTTTATCTTTCTTCTACTTATTTTTGTATAATAATGCAGATTAAATTTTTTATGGTTAAAATGTTCATCTGCAACAAATTCATTGCAAAACTTCCTTTTTGAAACCATGATACATATGTACAGTATATTTACATATGAATCCGTAAAGCTATAGCCTGTTATTGTCTTCTGTTCAATTAGATATTTCATCATATCGTTACGAATTTAAACGTTATCAACAATGACTTACGACACGCCACAATAATAGCAGGCAAATCAATTACAAACGGCAGATGATGTGATCGTTTAAAACCATTTATTACAACTATAATATTTGTTTAAACGGTAACACTTTTAATAGCTTTGTTATTATTAACTTTTAGATTTTTTCGTTTCATAATTTATTGTTGATAAAAGATGAGAATTAACGTGATCGTTTAGGTATTTAAATATATATCGCTTATCTCAACTTTTCGACCAGGTTACATCGACCGTGATCACTAGCTGACTAATGGAGCGATGTCATGCCACCACATCCCAAGCAGAAGTACTTTCTTCTACCAACTTACAATGCATGCAACCACATACATACATACAGGCGTATAATTATTGTGTAATATGTGTAATCTGGTCGAAACATTATGATAACCTTAGGTAAAATGTAAAAAAATATATCACATTTTACTTGAATGAGGCTCATTCATTCAGGAGTTCATTCTCGTCTCTTAAAAACTTTGTTATTATATCTAAATATAAATTTTACATAGACATTAAACACAAAAGTCATCTTATAAATATAACGCTTAACTCATTTCTTGTAGTCTTATCATCAAGAGACAGATGTTATCTCGTGGATTTAGATTTTATTGAATTACCTGTGTGAAGACTTGTCATTTAAATATTATCTTATTGTGGACTATGGAACCTTATTTGAATCTTTTTATCAATCATCATGAAGATTCTTAAGTATCAACAGTAATTGAGTTTACACGAAAAGATAAATTATGAAGGAAATGAAAGAGGTCCGTTTGAATGGCAGCATTTAGCATCCTATTGTCACTTCATATTGTATTCAGAAACAGCGTGACGTATCTATCTGTAGGTAGGCTACTAGGTAGTAAGGTTCATGGCTAAATGCTCTATTAAACAGTTGTTTGCATAGCTGTGTTCTGGTTTGAAGGGTGAGATATGGCAGTGAATTTATAGGATACAGAGGAATAACACCTGATTCCTGAGGAATGGTAACACATGAGGGGTATCGTGGGCGAAACAGTATACTCTGTTATGTCCATGGTATTGCTCATGTCTATAGGCGACGGTTACCATTTTCCATCAGGTGGGCCGTCAGCTTGTTTACTATTCTAAGTTGCATAAAAAAGAGTAATTTTTTATTATTCAATATACAATATAATAGTCTAATATGGTGACTAAGTATACAATGGGGTCGATTCTGAGATGCCATTCTCGAAACCTATCGCTAATATGACAATTTCAATTTTAACAGCGACGTCTTTGTAATAAGGACTAAATCTTAATTCCTAATAAATTTTAGACAAAATTACTATAAACTTTCTATCTCTAGAGAACTTTGCATCAGAATGGACCCCCAATATTTTACTATTCCTTTTCATTCTAAAAATGTCGTAAGATTATAGAATACATCAAAAAGAAAAGGAAAACCAAATATTACTACAGGCAGGTTACTACTTTCCTTCCATCTATCTTTTAGAGGTTGTACATCATCATACACAATAGTGGTTTGATCGTGGGTATGACCATTATGTCCAAGACAATATAAAAATATATTTATTATTGTAATATCAGAAAGAAGACTGTAATTAACTGTAGAGACGTCATTGAATATTGTCGTTGTAGTGAAGTGAACAGATGCTTACGTTTTGACATTTAGTCTCTTATATAAATTTTGTTAATTATTATTATTAGAGAGATAAGTTGGCGTAAATTGAAATGGATGCCATACACAAAGTTTTAGTATAGAACTGATTCAAAATTATCAAATTTAAAGCGTTAACGCTTCTTATTTCGAATTATTCGAATTTACCGAAGGAAAACTACAAAGTGTTATTATTAATTTGTATTGACGTCATTGTGTGTCGTATAATTCAATTGCCAAGTATTTTGTGTATTATATTTCCGTTTTAAGGTGCTAGATCCCTCAAAAGGTTATTTTTAAAACGTTATTCCCAGATTAGGGCAATAATAAAAAAAAAATCTAAATAAAATATATATTACAATTCGATCGTTAAACTACAATCTGTGTATTTGAAATGAATGTATTGGAATTGTAAGTTACATAAATTTAATAAAGAAAAAGTTTGTATCATTTTCTAAAAATCGATATTCCGTCAAAATCGATAAACAGATTTTAAAGTTCATACATGAAGATATAGCTGATACATTTTTCTTTAATCTGTGTGTTTATATATGTATATATATAGTAATAGTCAATAAATGGTTAGATTATTTAATATTAAAAGTGTTGTGTATTTATATATAAATATTGAATAACGTATAAAATTTTAAGGTGGTGCACCGTACGACCATCTTACATGCCATGGCTGACGAAATTGGCGGCATGTGCGTATGGACTTTTTTTCTTGGCTTTGGCATTTCTCGCCGAGTACCTCGGCGGTGTGCTGCAGGCTGCCTTAACCATCTTCGGTGCAGTCGGTGGACCCTTATTGGGTGTTTTTACGCTTGGCATGTTTACAACATACGCTACAGAATTGGTGAGAATTGATTTTGTTAATTCTTATCTTAAATCATAAAAATTATCATAGTTTGCATATAATTAAGAGCGATGTTTTGCGTGATCTTAGGGAAATCACTTCTATTAAGCAGATGAAGAGACAAGGCCGGTGCATATTGACGTGTGAATAAATAATTATATTTTTTTTATACCCAGAATCCTAAATTTATCCAACGATAGATAAATACCTAAGTCGGTAAATTATCTATTACTAAATCACTCACTGACTCGGTCGCCTAGTGATAGATTTTTTTTTTTAATTTCAAATAGTGTTTTTATAATAAGGACTTAGTATTACTAATTTATTACATACCATTGCTTATCATCTCTAAGTATAAGTAGATTTGTCAGAATTTATATTTTCTAGATATAGATCATAGAGGTTTCTAGTACAAAATAGTATAGGTATCGTTTTGTATGGATAAATAAAATATACAGCTGATACCACTGAAATAAAATACATGAATATGTTAATTCGTCATTATCAAATTTATTTAATTAAAACGGTGGATAGTGACAATTGTTAAATAGATTATTCAAAAACAAGAATTCTGTAATTCGTCTATATATTTTTTTGTACGTATGGTACACAATTGAACCGATTATAGTACTTGCTTGGCGCTTCATTTTTTAAGTTAGTAACAGAATCTTTATACCATATTTCTCGTCCGCGATTTACGAAATTTGTTTTGGAAGCAAAATAAATCGTTTACTTACTTACTATAAATAATTAAAAATGAATTTGACATATGTATATAATATTACTATGAAATTGACACTGTTTATTGCAGAATTTATTTATTATAATTTATTGTTATTATTATAGTTTGGATGGTTGTAATATTCAGGTTAATGTAATGATTTTTGTATGTTTATCCCTTATTTCAGACACAATGTACACTGTTTTTTGAATAAATGACTAATGACTAATGAATAATGACTAATGACTTTGTATTTATTAAAATATTCAATAACATGTTTATTATTGATCATTAAAAAATGCCCAGTATGAATTTGAAAAAATCAATGTTCTGATGGTGTGATAGCAGTTATAGATTATGCAAATCTTTAAAATGATTTTTTTAACAATTACAGCTGTTTATAGTTTAATGGGTCCAATATATTTGTGTAATATGATAATTTATATTGAAAATTTAACTGCGCGTCTAATGGATATTTTTAAAAATTCTGATTTCCATGTAGATATATTATCTAATTGTGATCGTAACAAAAATCTTTGTATAGCTCACATTAGGTACTTTTTCTGTCTTAGGGTGCATCGATAGGCTTGGTCACTGGTATGATGATGACACTGTGGATGAGTTTTGGGGGACCGCGTCCGCCGCTCACCAAGCTACCTCTTAGCACCGAGGGTTGTGCTCATAATGGAACTTTATGGGAGTTCACGCAAAGTAATCCAGATGACTATTTCTATTTATATCGAGTGTCTTATATGTGGACTAGTCCGGTGAGTCGGTCGATATTTTATATTTATTTGAATTAATAGTACTTTATTATAATATTAGCCATGTGGTCCCGGTATAGAATAGACCATCCCTTCCTTTCCCGTGGATGTCGTAAGGGGCGACTGAGGGTACTAATAACCGAGGGATGGGTAGCAGCATACCATTTAAAATATCTCCAAATGCCTGCTAAGGGTGGCAACTACTAACAAAACACCTCAATAAAGGGAGGCCTATGTCTAGCAGTGGACAATTAACTTCGTATGGTATGACTTATGGTAAGATATAGTACTTTGTATTTGTATTCCCATACAAATGTAAAGTATGATGAATTCAAACCTTCATCTATCATCTATTAATACAGCTGAACGTGGCTCTCTGACTATAAGAGTTTCGAATTTATAATATTAGTATGAATTACCTATTAATTTAATTTTCAGTTCGGTTTCGTGTGGGTGGTGGTGGTGGGCAGCGCGGTGTCGGCGCTGTGGCGGCAGCAGCAGCCGTGGGAGCGCGCGGGCCGGCCGCACCCCGACCCCGCGCTCTTCACGCCGCCCCTCGCCGCACGCCTCAGGGAGAGGGCACGCGGAGATAAAGTTGATATTCAGGTATTTAATTAAAAATTGCATGCGGTGGAACATGCATAATAAAAAAAAATCATCTGTAATCAGAGCTTGTTTTTGTTGTCTTTAGGTACCTACTAATTTATCTCTAGTTTAATTTATGTTTGACTTTTGTAGTTTCTTAAAACCTAATAATATCATTATATTTGGTTGGCTTACTCATTCTGTAAATGTTTACATATTGATTTTAAACTCTCTTTGACTACATGTTTTTTTTTTAACCGTTTCAGTGGTGGGTATAGTGGGTATATATACAAAATATTTAACCTACTAATAAAAATTGTATTTTATTTTATTTTTTCACTTCAAAATGCGACCTCGTCTTCGTCTTTACTTGTTTTTTTTTCTTTTTTTCTGTTGACTTGTTTTTCTATTTTCTGTCGACTTTATTTCTAACCACGCTCTTCTTTCTTCTTTTATTTCAATAAAGAATGATCGTTCCGCATTATTTGGTGCTTGCAATTATCTATAGTTAAGTAGCTACATTAAAATCATTGTTTGATTTTTTCTGTGCAGAAATTTGAAATTTAGAGACAAAAATCGTCTAGTAAAATTTATAGAGCGTGTATCCCTTCTGTTTAAAATTTTATTCTATTCTTTATATATGTGAGTATATATATTTAATACATATTTTGTGCGAGCTTGTAATTAGACATAATTTTGATGACCTATAAAAGAGAGAGCGCATTGTTAATTTATGATCTTTTGTTATAAAACATGTATTAACATAGGTAATATAATTTAATTAGAACTATCATAGAACTCATTGCATGGCATTTAACATTAAACTGTTGGCATTTGAATTTATTTTTAGATGGATTCTACCTAAAATGAATCTTCTCTTCATTCTTCGGGCTTGCTTTGTAGATAGCATGTAATATTAGTATTGCAGGTGGGTCAAATACTTTTTATTTTTAGGTAATTTGTGGTGATACATGAAAATAATGATTTGAAATAATAAATGGTTCAAAACTTTGTAGATACTAGAGCGTGTAATACCGATATAATTTTTTATATCAGTACTGTGCTATCATAGTTGTACCTAATACCCGTTACATTTACGTATGTAATAGTGATTTCTGAATGCGAAGAAGTTAATTTGGGCTTGGGGTTGCTCTTTTATTACTAGTACGGTTTCTTTTACCTTGAACTGTTTTATTATACTTGTAATGTAACAGGTACTGTGACTAGTGCAAAGTTTCAGGAAATTACCTTTTAGTTTCGGTAATAATATTACGTGCTCTAGTAGATATCTATTTGGAATATAAAATATTGCACCTTACGAATTTATAACATATTATTTTTATCGGTAATATAACATATATTTGTTATTGTGATACATGCTATGAATATTTATGTGTATATACTTACATGAATCTTTGTTATTTTACAGAGTGAACTGCTGATGTACAATGGAGTAAAAAACTCTAAGAATAGCATCTAAATCTGCAAAACAATGTTCCTAAATTATTTTTGTAATATTATTTAAGGACTTTAGCACAAATTAATCAGAAAGACAGATCACGCTTTTTGACACGTTAGATTTTTTGTTTAGCAAAATGTGTGCATGTCGAGTCGATATATCGACAAGACGGTAAATGTCTTCCACTGCCCCATTATGTCGTGGGTACCTTTTATCAAGTATAACAAAAGTAATTCTTTGGTAAAAATAAATGTAACTTTCTCGCAATATGGGTAGGTGCACACTATAATATATTTGGGTGCTAAATAAAACAATAATTTTATTACGTATCTTACTGTTAACTACGAAGTTTTCAGTGACTAACTAATAGACAATACGAGAATTATGAATTTATAATAAAAATATAGCTGTGGATTTGTAAAGCTCAAATCCTTAGCAATGTCTAAAACCAAATATCAGTGTATACAATTTGTTAATTTTAAATCTGATGTTAATTTTATGGAATTATGCTAATTGTATTAAATTAGAAAATATTACTATAATTAATATTATATCACCCTATAATTACATTTTTAGATTTCTATTTTTTTATTCAACGTAGAATGATATTATAATAAATTGCCGGCCCATCTGCTATAAAACGGTAACCGTCGCTTATAGACATGAACGGTACCATTGACATTACAGAATACACTGTGATTGCTAAGGAACTCCTCATGCGTTGCCATTCCCTTGTGTTAAATTTTTATTTTCCGCATTAAAATACTGTTAAATTATTAGGTTACACTTAACCTTTACCTATGTTATTAATTTGATAGTAATATAAATAAAGACAAATTAATACTTATAATTAAGATTGTACCAGTATTACTGTGTGATAACAAGATTTTGGTTCAGTAAAAATAAAATAAATATAATATACATTACACAGGTTCATTTAGTTTTTAACTAGGCAAAGTTTAGTTATACTATAGATATTAGTTAATTGATAGACATGTTTAAATAGTTTTTTTATATTAATATATTTTTTGTGAATATATATGTATATTATACATAGAAAACATCTAGAATAATATAAATAGAAACTCAGAAATACAAACGTCTGTGCTATGCAAGGATCGAACGCGTGACCACAAGAAGGTGAGTCAATTAGTTTAACCGCCGTACTACTAAGGTTGGCAAATAAACCGTCATCTTAGTCCACTGCTCGAAGAGTCAAAATGTGGCGTGTTTTTTTTTTCTAACCGTGTACTGTTGTTGGCCGCTGATGGCCTTTACAACTTCACTGAACGCGTGTGAGCAGGGGCGAGTGCAGATGGCACTCCAAGCCCGTGAGAGGGGAACGACAGAGGCGTCAGCTTTTATATATGGACTGCGAAGTGGTAGCGTGTTGCCACGTTACTTTATTTGTAGTTGGAAATATTTTATAATAGTAGGAGGGCGGAGGTCATTGACACATGCATTCTTATACTAATATAGATTATGATCTTAAACGATTATGCAAAACTAGCTTCATAATTTGTGAATTTGTGTGATATAAACAAAGTTATAATTATTAATCTTGTGTTCTAGTGGCGTAAAGTCAGCCAGAAATTCAAAATGACACATACAAAGTTTTACAATTGAAAAATTAGTGTGCGCTTATGAAACCTTTTAATAATAAAAAAATGTTTTTCATTTAAAGATATTTTTATAACCACCTTGTACATGGGATTACCCGTAATAGGTATACCAATCCAAAACCATAACCGAAACCCAGTAATATAATTTTTAAAACTGAACAACTTTCCTTAAGGGGTTTAGCCTAAATCCTAAAGTAAATTTCAAACTTGGTCAAGTGTTTCACAATTCAGTACAAAGATATATACAGTAGTAGGTAGTAGATATGTAGGTAGTAATTATGATATTGATGTTCACAAAACAGATAAAAATTAAATTGTACGCACAAACGGGGGAGTATGGCTAAATTACATATACAAAATGAATAATTCCCTATTAATTCTTAATTTTTTTTTATTTTGTTATAAATTAAGCAAATCTATAAAGATTTACTTGTTTTAATAGTATTGTACTTATAAAGTGTGCTTACTACAATAGCTGTAGAGTGTAATATTTTAAATATCAAGTATTTATATGTATAATATAATATTATGTAGAAATGTTATTTAAGTAAGAGGTAATTGTGACAAATTATGCTTCTCAAAATCGTGTCTTCCATATGTTTTATATATTTTAGTAATATCTAAGTATCATAGTATTTAATATTTATCCATGTTGTCTAATTTTAATTTAAAGCATATAAATAAATATTTATTGAAAAGATGCATGTCGTTATTTCAATAACTAGTAAATATATATACATAATGTTTTAATTAAACTATGGCTGTATATAAGAGATATTTAAGAAAAAATATATTACGGGTCTTAATAGAAACGATCACGCAAATACTTTTGTGAATGTTTTATTACCTATTTTAAAATCCACATGCGTATGAAGTCGCAGGAAAAAGCTAGTCTATATCAATGCTAATATTTAATAAAGAGGATAGATTTGTCTGTTTGTTTGATTATTTGAAATTCAACCGATTCTAAAAATTCTTTCACCTATAGAAAGCTTCATTACCAGGGAGTAACATAGCCTATATATTATTTTTAATCTACCTGTGTGAAACCGAGCCGAACGCTAGTTCTAAATAAATAATTACAGTTGTGATTGTATACATTTTCAATTAAATTCAAAAAGAAGTTTTTTCCAAACTCGGTTGTACGAGTATTTTTTATGTTAATTGCTTCATAACTATCAGTTCTAAACCGATCCGGAAAATTCATTTTTATCTGAAAAAAAAAAACTTTCTGGAACCTACAGATCGGTCCCATAGAAATTTTATCCAAATCGGTTCAGTACTTTGTAGATTAAAATAACTGGTTAAGTCACAATTGAAGTTAGTTTTTTTGCGGGACACTCTTAATGTCCAAATGAACTTTGCCTACAAAATAATTGCGCGCGCATATATTTTCAGCGCTGAAGCTCTTCTGACATTGTTTAGAAAAAAGCTAAATTTTGTTTTGTTTTATAAAACAGGCGTCCTATTAATTATAATGGCATACATCGTGCCACGTTACGTCAAATTAGGGTATCCGTATTGTAATTGCTTTTTTGATCAATCGACTATAAAGGCGGAACCTTAGAAATACCATCATGTAAGCTTCGTTTCATCGTTGTAGGTAATTTTTACTCGTATTTAAGATAATAAACTAAATTATGTTAGAAATCTCAATTAATGATTTTGGGAATTGTTATATCTGTCCAACCGCATGTCAAATTCCTAGCGTAATTTTGTGTGCTATTGGAAATTGATTACTACTTATATTTAGGCATTGGTGTTATATTTTATTTTGCATATTTTTTTATTCTTAAAGTTTTTAAAGAGTATTAAAAATGACATGATTTGTTTATAAAAAAATGATGAGATACAAAATTCAGTTCCAAGGTCTTGTCAAACATTGTTTTCTTTCTTATCTAGGTCAAGACTCACGCGGAAACGTAGTGGTACTTAATAAAAGGAAACCTTGAATAATATTTAGACATTTTAAGAGGGAATGAATATTTAAGTGATTTAATACTTATAAGATTAGATTTGAGTTATTAAATTCTTTTTTTTTTACAATGATAATCTTAATTTTTAAATACGGAAATACCTTGGGTTTTATCTAAGAATCTCTTAATTCTGTAGAAGACGTAAGAATATCACATCAATGATTTTAAGATGAACTTGAGATAAATGATAACGCGGTAATGGAACCAAACGTTGCTTTGATAACATTGCGTCACATTTGACACAAAAATAAAGCGCTTGAAGCGACGTAAGGAACTAACGACACCACTTGTACGAGCACGCTGTCAAAACATAACCTCTGAAAGAGTTTAGTGAAACAGTTAGGTAATAATACATATTATATCCAGCAAAAAATTACCGGTTTTGATTTTGCTAAAACTTATAACGAACTCTGTATTAAACTTTATTTCATAAATATTGCGTGTGAAGTGTAGACGTGCTCGTTTTGATTTTGCCTGTATTTCTCAATCGTGGCATGTGAGAATATATTTAGGGTTACCAAGGTTAAATAGTAGACATTGCTAGTGTTCACAATAATAATTAATATAGTGATGTATCCACGATGTAGGAGACGATAATATTTGTACATATTACGGTATATATGGATAATACAGTACAAATATAAGTTTTGTGATTTAAAAGATTATACGACGGTAAGTTTACACAATTTTTTTTTCTAGATTTATCATAATGATGAAATAGATAGAAATAATGTTTTTAACGAATTGAATTTTGTAATTAAGTACAAAGTTATATGCCACTTCAAGTTAGTAATTCTATCTATATGAACTATTTATTTATTATTCATGAAAATTGTACATAATCTATCTGTTGTTACTTTGACATTTTAGTAGGATGGCGCGAAAAATTAAAATTTACACATAGAAAATAACTAGCTGGGTTTATTTTGGATTTTTCGCATAATATCATATAACGGTAGGTGCTTATTTCTTATTTATTTATACTTAAAAGTAATTAATATGTAACTACAGTTAAACGACAGATTTACTATCGTATTTAATTTTACTATATAATTTTTTTCTATTATTATAAAGACAAACATTTTTGGTGGCATGGAAGTTTATTATTCTTTCACGTAATAAGTATTGAACGAATTTGAATGAGAAAAACCTAATGTAACCTATGTGTGAACTATGCGTAGGTTATATCCTAATTTAGCAAACAGGATACTTTATGTACTAATACACGCGGGCGAAACTTACAAGTCCTGTAATATTTTGAGTGCTTGTAGAATTTCTTAAGTAACTTATTATTTGATTCCTAAATAATTGCATCTTTTTTGAAGGGGAACAATAAGGAGTTTTCATACATATAAATACATACATATCTGAAACAATACAGTAGTATTCATGCATTCTTTAATTTGTGAAAATTCTATAAGAACTTCCACTGAAGAATCTACCATAAGAATAAATGACTACTACCAATGTAGATTGAGAAAAACGTTGAAATTAATTAATAGAAGCAAGTAGATATGTGCCGTCACATTTGGCCTTTTATTAAGCAATTTATAAAAGAAGTAGGTTTCATTCGCTTGTATATTTTGTGTATATTTTTCTTATATCTTTTTGTAATCGTTTATTCCCATGTTGGTATTATAACTATATTAAATTTGTCTTATTAAACTATTTTTTTTAGAGTAAAAGTTATTGTCATATTTATTTGTCTGTCTGTTAAAGTTACGTATAAAACTACATATATGTTACAGAAAGTTATTGAAAAATGAAATGTGTAACCTATAAAGGAGTACAAATAAATGAGTTGAACTTGTTTAGATATTTATTGGAGTAAATCTATTATACTAATTTACATTAACTGGATTCATTCTACATTTAAACAGGCATTTGCTACCTAGTTATCTTAATAAGTTAAATTTAATCGAGTTTATTGCTTTTGATTAATGTTTAGACTATTTATGCAGAGTAATAGGACATTGACAAACAAAAGTGCTATTCATTGGATCCACCTTTTAGTATATCCTGTTAATTGATAATAATTTGTAATAACAGCGAATTAGTTTTTTCTTACCAACCGTTGTACCTAATATTAGTACTTATTCTATGATACATTGCGTATAATTTTAATTAACAATTTAAGCACTTTTAAGTAATTTATTACAAATACTTTTGAAACATTCTTGGTTACCTACATAGGTATGATAATTTATCAGTTTATATCTTATACTAATGTTTCATCAACTTTTTATACTGCATTTCGAAAATATCTTTTGCCTAAATTTCTATAATTTAAAATTTATTAATATACAGCTATTAATATTAAACGCCAAAAACACTTTATTTGCAAATAATATAACATTTCATTTATGATACACATAAACATAAAAGAAATTTATATGAAAATTATGAGTGTAAAAAAGGGACCAAGAATAGACCCTTAAAGTACAAGAATACTTTAAGATTCATGATTTTGTCTGAGAACCATGAACTTTTTAAAATAACGAACGTAAAAAAAGAATTTTAGATATGTGAAATATCTTAATTATTTAATAAATATTATTAAAATTAATTTGTTTTAAAAAAATATGTACTTCTAAATTGTATAGCTAGCTAAATATTAGATACGCTTTCTTAGGTAATTGAGCACGCTATATTCAGAAAGCCAATAAAGTCAGTAACCTTGTTACTTATTGTTCACAAGGCAATACTTATTCAAAGATAGGTAGCTATTGTTGTGATTCTGTTTGTGGTACAATTGTAATACTTAAACTAATTCGTAATGAACTAAGATTACTCTTATATAGAAATAATAATAATATAGCAAAGGAAGTAAATAAAAATCTAGAATGTTTCAGAATAAATGAGTTGTTATAAATAAACAGTCGATTGAAATTTTAAGGAAATATCCCTGGATAGGAACTATATGTGGATAAAGTAAACCAAGGATTTCTATCTATTATTGTCAAAATTGTTAGAAGTACATTATAGAGTGTAAAGTTTCTAGTAGTAGTTAAATATGACGTTTAAAAATTTTCAAATGTTAACTTTTTAACATTTAAAAACTTTAAACCTTGAACATGATTTAAGCAGTAATTTTAAATATATCTACTATACCTAAAATAAATTATTAATGTATCTTATTAATTGTTTTTGCTGCTGCTAGTAGAAAACTATATTAAATTTCTTTTACATGTATCTTTTGTATACTTTCTATTATTAGGTATGTGTTAAATAAAATTGAAACAACTTATGTAAATTTTTATTTATTTCGAGATTAAAATTATATGATTCTTTAACAGGTCAAGATGGCGCAAGCAATATTCGGAGTATGGGACTATGTTATTATGGTAGCAACAATGATTGCTTCTGTCGCTATCGGAGTTTATTTTCGATTCAGTGGAGGCAAACAGAAAACGAATGAGGTGCAGTGCAGGCAATCTCTAATATTTCCTACAGATATTGACTTTTTAAATATTTTTTTTTAATATAATGTTCCATGAATATTTAGTTCTTCTTTTATTTACTTTTTTTTTACCAATTCATTAATATTCATATGACAAAAATATATTCTGATACTGCTAAAAACCTTTAAATTTTAAAACTTATTATTTTGTTCGCAGGAATACCTCCTGGCTGATCGGAATATGTCTATAATTCCCGTTGCTGTGTCTCTGATGGCTTCCTTTATGTCCGCGATTACGCTGCTAGGCCTATCATCAGAGAATTATTATTACGGAATGCAGTTTGTGGTCATTAATATATCATACGGTCTAGCCACACCAATAATTAGTAAATTTTATCTTCCCGTATTCTTTGGATTACAGAAGACGAGTACGTATGAGTACTTAGAACTTCGATTCGGTCCAAAAATAAGAATGCTCGCATCATTGACATACACATTACAAATGGTGCTGTACAATGGAATAGTATTATATGCTCCTGCTATAGTTTTAGAATCCGTGACTGGTCTGGACAGACTGATATCTATATTAGTTGTAGGTTTAGTATGCACTTTTTACTCAACTTTAGGAGGCATGAAAGCAGTGTTATTCACAGATTTACTACAATCTTTCTTAATGTTTGGAGCTGTATTTAGCGTGGTAGTATTCAGTTCAGTTCAGCTTGGAGGATTTGATCAAATATTTATAAAAGCAAAAGAGGGAGGACGTTTGGATTTTAATCAGTAAGTTTCTAGTATGTATTTTCTCATCTATATTTAACTATACTTTTAAATAAATAATATCATCAACATCTTTCTTCTATTTTATTCCCTCTATCTTCGTTTTATGGATTTGTAGTCATCTCAGTATTTACTCTTTTTTGATAATGATATTATCTTCCAATTTATTTTCGTCTCCATTTTATATCTTCTTCTTTTTCTTATTTCTTACATTCATCCAGTTCGATAGTTTAGTAGAAATAATATTATCTCAAAAGAATTTTAATGATTTTATGTCGATTTTTTCTAACTAAAAGTTATATTTAGTTTCAGCATTGATCCAACTGAAAGACATACATGGTGGTCACTTGTAATTGGTGGTCTATTTACTTACATGTCTCTTTATGCGGTTAATCATACACAGGTATAGTTTATAGTTATTTTATAGATATAGTTCTCATGGTCTCTTTGTAAGAATCTCTGTTATTGATATCCTTTAAATGATTATCTGTTTATTTTACTATCTTTGGTTTTTAACCAATGCGTTCAAGGAATGTACGGAGTTGCACCCCTAGGGGAGGTCCACGTCCAATAGTACATACTTACGCTCATGGAATTTAGCCAAGCAAAAATTGTTAGAAATGAAAGAAAATAACGCAGTGTTCCGTATTTTCTATCCACGTGTAGAATAAACTACATAACTGTACCTACCAAATCAAATATAACCGTATCTATATATAAATGTGTAGGAGCTGTTAATGGACTTTGGTCGCCAAAATATGCTAGAAGGCGTCCACATAAATTAATAGGTACAATTAAGCATTCATCGTCTACATTTTTTTCGGATGTTTTAATATAATGTCTCAGCGCAGTAGGCAGTAGACTTTTTGGAAACGAGATGTCAACGTTTCCATTCTATTTATATCCGGAGTTTTACTAAATTCTTTATAATATTCATAAAATATTATCTCTTATCTCTTTAACGTGAACAGTAAAAAAAATTCTCTAACTACCCCAATAGAGTTTACAGCCAAGACATTATTTATCTTACACTATAATTACCTATTCTGTTTTTACCAATCTTGAATTTTGATTAGGTGTCAATTATTTGTGTTATCCATTTATATAGCTTTGTACATTTTTGATTGGCAAGTTTAATTTTTATTCTCAGTAACAATGTGAAGGACTATTATTTTCTATATATATTGACTCTTATTATTTTCTATTTCTAAATCTTTGGTGAAGGACGACTAATCAATTCAGTTCAGCATTTAACTACTAAGTGGAAGAGAATAATAATATAAAATATTTTTTTTTATAAGGTTCAACGTCTACTGACAGTAAGTACATTAGAGCGATCTCAGAAGTGCTTATGGTGGAGCTGGCCTGTCCTTTCGTTACTAAGTATTGTATCATGCATCGGTAGTATAGGAATTTATGCAGTTTACAAGGACTGTGATCCCCTAATGAATCACAAAATTGATACGGTTAGTATTCTTTAAATATATATTTGTAATATAAAAATAATAAATTAATAAGTAAGAGGAGAAGGTATACTGCAAACTATTCTAAAAAACAATAAAAAATGATAAAAACCTTCTGCAGATCCTTGCATTCCTTCTGGAATTCTATAGACACATTAGTAAATTAATATCGAGTCAAAATTGTATTTTATGGTATCACACTACATTTAAAAACTTTAAGATTGTATTCAGATGGATATTAGTTTGCCATCACTACGCTGGTCTGGAGGACTGTGTTGTATTTTGAGTTTATTGTTGCCTCTTACTATCTCTTGGAAATGAATGGAAATGGTGACACAATATATTTACTTAGTTACTTTATGAATAACAAATAACCAAAAAGAGACCGTTGCGGTTATTTAAATGAAATTCTCATATATTAAAAATACGATGTGTAAAACTATTATATAAGCATTGACAGTATTATATTGTTTTATTTCAGATTGACCAACTGATGCCTTATTATGTGATGGATGCCATGCGGGATGTACCTGGCTTGGCTGGCTTATTCGTGGCAGGCATCTTCAGCGCTTCCCTGTCTACTATATCGGCAGCTTGCAACGCGCTAGCCGCTGTCACGCTTACAGACTACGTCGGTAGGTGAGTTCTTTATTATTAAATTTATATGTATTTCAGACAACTGTTTCAACATTATCTTCAAAATCATACTTCTACTTAATTATTAATAATATTTCTTTAGGTATTCTTATTGATAATGAATAAGAAATGAATTAACATTACACTTGATGAAAAGTTTTGTAATTTGTGGTATAATCCACTTTTGAAAATCATAATAATGTAACTTCTGATGCCTTGTTATTCCTAATTACGATTGAGTATTGAGTATGTGACTGAATAGGTTCTAACGTGTCAAAGGTTGCACTTTTAAAATCGAAACACATCAATATCCATACTTTTGCTTTATGGCAGAAATAGATAGCACTTAAGCACGTCTCACAAAATGGTACCATTTCATGTACCATCATGTCGCTATAACAGATTAAGTTTGAATAATGATTAATATAAAAAAAAATACTAGAAAATGTGAACGAATTTATAGTAGGTATGTGAAGATTATATATATAGCCAGTTATTTTAAGAATCTCATTGGCACTTCCTAGTTCTTTGTTTACTACTTTTCTACGCATTAAAAAATAAACTTTTATACAAAAAATTACTTCAGTATCAGTATATATTTCATTCGTGGACGCCTTGATAAATATCAAATGAATGTTTTGACCTACGCATTAATTGGCAATTATTATTAAATTTATTTGATTTAAAATTGATGTGTATGTGTTTACGAATAAAAAAAAAAATATATATATATTATCCTATTTCTATTTGTTCGCCAGTGACCAAGTACAAGCTGTTTAGCTTGGAACTAGGTGGCGCTGTATAATAATTAGTCCAAAGGTATTTATTTATTATCGAGGTAATTACTTATACAGTACCGACATAATATGACGTAAAACTTCTACAGATTTTGTAACGAGTGTCCTATCAGCGAAACCGAATATTTGCATCAAAACAACATGAGTTGAAAAACGTCAAAAAATGATCAGCTATTGTGTTAGTATCGATAATCTTGATTTTTGCCGTTTTAAAATTTCTGGAATACGAAATTTCTGCCCTAATAATCTATAGCTAGGTAGATTCTTACTGGGTAGATTTACGTACTGCTAATGATTTCGATTTCACACTGTAAACTCTAATAATGTACATAAGTAATGTATTGCCGTGTGATCCCGGTATAGAATAGGCCACACTTTTTCCCGTATGTGTAATTAGAGGTGACTAAGGGAACTTAATGGTCGAGGGATGGGCAGCAGCGTCATCTGGCAGATGACAATCAGATGGCAGCATCTCTCTTAAAACATCACCAAAGCCTAACTGCAGTTGCCAACCCTCCTGCCAAGCGTGGCAACTACTGCCAAAACCCCCAATTTGAAGGAAATCTATGTCCAGCAATGGACAATAGATGGCTCATGATGATGAAGATGATAAGTAACAATAAATAACGTAACTCTTGTTTTAAAAAATTCAAGGTGGTGTAATATCCGCGACTCGTACATGCCATGGTTGACAAAACTAGCGGCGTGCGGATATGGTTTTGTATTCCTCGCGTTGGCATTTCTCGCCGAGCACCTGGGTGGTGTGCTGCAGGCTGCCTTCACCATCTTCGGCGCAGTAGGTGGACCATTATTGGGGATGTTCACACTTGGCATGTTCACCACTTTCGCTACAGAGAGGGTTAGTCCTTTTCTATACTTGGAATATGTGCATTTTTATTTGAAATTATTACACGGCACGTTATCAAACTATATCCTTTCTAATATTATAAATGATAAACTAAGTTTGTTTGTTTCTTTGTTATCATAAAGCATCTTAATGGCTTGACTAATTGCTATAGATATTTGGTTTACACGTACTATATGGATTGGAGAAGGATATAGACTACTTTTTGTCCCGGTCAGTAAATATATACCGGTCACGTGGTCGCGTGCAAAAGCTAGTAGTTTATAAAATATGTTCTTTGATGGCATGTCGTGTCATTCAGAATGCAATGTCAATAAGCAAAATAATTGTCACAACACATTTTTTTTTCTGCACAAACCAATTAAAATGTTAGTACAATAAAAATTGTATTATGTCAACTTAAATTTTAGATAGTTACAGCAATAATTAAGCGAAGGCTCTATGGAAAAAGGATTCCGTTCATCGAGGTAAATAGTCAGAGCATGAACTTTGAGAATGTTTGTATAAAACCTCGTATTATGTTATCGTGTTAGTAATTAATGTTTATTCCTTGATATATCTTTCATTTTATTTCAATATTATATTATAATCTAAATAGACTGAAATATATATATAAATAGTATTCTTTTGCTGTTATTTTGTCTCTTGTATACACATTTTATAACCCGGTAATAAAAAATGCATAAGAGATAATAATGTACTATAACTGAAGACTGCAAACGATACAGATTCACTAAAGCCGTCATACATTTCACGTAAAAGAAGTCATAGGTCATATACATTAATATGTACAAGCTTGTAGTATTTTGGTATTCTATTATGTAAAAATATGTACATAAATTAATGTCATTTTTGGCCGATTCAGATAAGAGGAGGTTTAACACGCCTGCATTTATTGTATTTTTAAATTTATTTGATTTTTTAATCATATAGGTTAACTCAATTTTTTTTTTATACCTATGATGGCAAACAAGCGTACGGCCCATCTGATGGTAAGCGGTTACCGTAGCCTATGAACGCCTGCAATACCAGGGGTATTACGAGCGCGTTGCCGATCCTGAGGAAACCTCTTTACCCCTTTTTTGAAGAACCTCATTCTGTAGTCTCTTGAGAAAACCTCGGCAGGGAATTCATTCCATAACCTTAGTGTTTGTAGGAGAGAACATTTTCGAAACCGCGTTGTACGCGACCATTTAGGCTATAGGGTATGAGGGTGAACTCCCTCAAGATGGCGAGCCGTACGATGGTAAAAAGTGGCCGTGGGCATATTGAAGAATTCCTTTGAGCAGAATCCGTTGTACAAGTGTTATAACATATAACACGAGAGAGTTAGGCAAAATCTCTCCTAAGACTATTTCTCTTTATATCGTACAAATTTTCTAAGATATAAATAACATTTTTCTGATAAAAAAAAATATTCATAATTTAATTTGTTTCTTTCCAGGGTGTCTCGATAGGCTTGATTAGTGCCATGATGATGACCCTGTGGATGAGTTTTGGAGGACCACGGCCATCTCCTACTAAGCTTCCCCTCAGCACAGAAGGCTGTGGATCGAATGGGACTGTAATATCATTTCCGCCAAGCAACCCGGACGATTATTTTTATTTGTACAGGATATCTTATATGTGGACCAGTCCGGTGAGAAATTTTGAATTTTATCTAATTCAAATTTTTCGTTTTATCATCTCATTATGACTTTGATAAGTAGCTTATGTTGGCATAATTCAATTAACGTGATGGCTAAGATTTGTTTACTCAACAATCTCACTTAGGAAACAAAAAAAAAATACAACATTGCTGTAACTGTTTCGTCAACAGATAGAAATATGGATGTCGCGAGTACATGAAAATTAACATTAAAAACGTATTCCTCCTAAACTACTTGATATTACAAAAACATTTTTTTTGATAATAAACTCTCTCCTATAGTAAAACATTACAATAATAACAAAATATCTGATGTTGTTTAGACGGTTAATTTTTATAATAAATATTTATAATAACTCCTCAGTTTTGTAATAACAACATCTGAATTTGCCATATAGTTCGGTTTCGTGTGGGTGGTGGTGGTGGGCAGCGCGGTGTCGGCGCTGTGGCGGCAGCAGCAGCCGTGGGAGCGCGCGGGCCGGCCGCACCCCGACCCCGCGCTCTTCACGCCGCCCCTCGCCGCACGCCTCAGGGAGAGGGCACGCGCCGACAAAACTGATATTCAGGTAATGTTTTGCCATAGGATTATAAATTAGAACAGGTTAACGATATTTGGAAATGGTATAAGTATCACAAGCATGCGGGTTTATATACATGTGCACTTGTCGTTTAATACGTTTTGGAAAAAAATTGGTTATGTCAGTGCTCAAAGTTAGGGTTGTGCGGTGTATCTAGTATTTTTTTTTATCTTATGCACTTATAAACAATAACATAAAAAAATATTATATTTTTTTTATTACGAATAGTTTTTTTTTGATGGGTAAAAATGGTATGGTAACCCCGTCTGCGCTAACGGGATACGCTGGCGGAGCACCAGTGAAGGATGATAGATGAGAATGAAAACAGGCCAGTTAGCCCGTCATGATGAATTCATCAGAAATTAACCATGATAGTTTCCAGGGAGAACCGCGAAGAGGTCGACCTGGTTAGGTATATTGCTAGCAATGGGATTCTCAGTCTCCATTACTAACAATCCCTTTCCCCCCTATTACGAAAAGTTGTGTGTATAGTTTAGTATATACAGTAGTCGTATTATTTATAGATTATGTTAAAAATGACAGTTGTTAATGTTTTTCATCTTTTCGATGTGACTTGCCTTTATCATTAGGGTATTTACAAATACTCTAATGATAAAGGCAGTTTATTACCGAAGTTTAAAAACTGCGTTAATATATTACGGTTAATTTATAAAATCTTTCTTTGACAACCTTCTCACAATTGGTACGCTTTTATTGGTATGCATGACAAAGCAACTTTTTTCTGTTTCCTTTTATTTACTTTGTGGTATAGTTATTTTAATAATGCATGTTCATTAGATCGCTTACGGGCGTTAGCTTCTGAAACTATTATATTTTAAATTATGGTCGTGGAATGCAGATACTTAGCGGTAAAAGTCACGTATTAAATATCAAGTATAGTTACAATAACGTTTCAGAAACAAACCCTACTAAGGGTAGTTTCTTACTATCTGCACATTTATTTGCGATTGGTTAAAGTTATTTAGAATTTATAAATGAGAATTTAGATGTTAGTTTATTTCTTGTAGAACTATCGTAAATGGCGCCTTTATTACTTATTGATCTCCAAGTAAATATTTAAGTAGCAATTTTAGTATCACTAGATTATAATTTACAAAATAATATTTTATTTCTATATTTAGTACATCACTAAGTAACATCATATATATGATACTATTAGTGATTGTACTGTTGGTTACTTTATTATTATGTATTATTATTGATATCTCTATATTTATTATGTTATGAATAGTTTAATAATGATAACGTAGTCAAACAAAAACTTAATATACATACCGCTACCCGTTTTTTTTTGATGGGTGAAAATGGTATGGTAACCCCGCCTGCGCTAACGGGATACACTGGCAGAGCACCAGTGAAGGGTGATAGATTAGAATGAAAACAGGCCAGTTAGCACATCATGATGAATTCATCAGGAATTAACCATGATAGTTTTCAGGGAGAACCGCGAGGAGGTCGACCTGGTTGGATATATTGCTAGCAATAGTATTCTCAGTCTCCATTACTAACAATCCCTTTCCCCCCTACCGCTACCCGTTCACCATACATAGCTGATATAGAATCAGCTATGTATGGTTAACGGGTAGCGGTAGAATTTTAATACGTGTATTACATTAAAAGTATTTCACTATAAATATCTATCAATTAAATATTATCTATACTCCAATGAGAAGTAATTAAAATTGACACTTTTACGTTAAGTGGCTGTTCATAATAACATTGTTATAGCATAATAATATTATACGATTTATTATTCTATAATTAGAAAGTATATAAATGTTGCTTTTTGTAATGTAGTTCGTAGATACCCATTTATTTTTTTAGATGGACTGGACCTAGGCCAAATTCTATTCCTTGCTTCGGGCTTGCTTTGTAGATTGTACGCTGTTATATCAGGTGGGTGTAATATTTTTCCTATCTACTTTAACTAGTATAAGCAAACGGGTGCACCTTACAGAGCCCATAGTACACACAAGTCAAATAACGGAAACGTGCCTGTGAATGTAATATGACGCTTGTATGTAGTTTGGGGTCTGTAGGGTACTGACAAGAAATTAAATGGTTATTTATACATTTTGTATTGCGCATGTGGGCACTTCTTTAGAAATATATTTAGCTTAGTTGTGTATTTATATATAACGGGATAACTTATGGTTGTCATATCTGTACCTTCGGATAATTCTTCGACTTTAATATCTGAGACTTAATATTATGGCTCGTCTTTATCCTATAATATGGGGTTTATGCAGTTATATTTTCTATTATTTTCTATCAGCTATAAAATAATAATAACTGACAAATATTAAAATTTTTATATATTTATTTACAGTGTGAACTTTTAAAGTGCGACCGAATTCGAGAGTAGAACAATTAACTAAGTACATTTTGTGCAACGACTTATTTTTTAATAAAAAAGTGACATTAACAAAATATAGGATTAACTTATTTATTTTTAATGCATAATGCTTATTGGTGCTAATGAATATATGCTATGAATTAAGTTTAAGGATTTTCATTTATTCTAATTTCACATAAAATATCTATATTTTATGTAAAACATTGTTTTATTTATGAACTTTAATGCTATGTTGAAAGAACCATTTGTACAAATCAAGTTCCTATAATATTTATGTATGTTTATTTCAATAAAATTTAATGAAAATATAAACAAACAATTAATTGATCTGACTATAAGACAGACTGCTGACGTCTAATAGTAGTACAAATCACAATTGATTAACTAATTAAAGGTTTCCATTTGTTACTAATATCATTTCGATAGTATTGCTGTGATAATTTTAACGAACTTCGTCGGTTTTTTATTAAATTCTATTGAAATAATTAATACATACTACCCACAGCTATGCAGGTTAAATCAAAATCGTTAGCCGTAAAAAAAACTGGAAATATACCCATGCTACAGAATATACTAGCACAGATATTTCGTGAATAAAAATTTCAAAAAGATAAAAAATCCTTCATATTAATTTAATAATTGGATATATTTTTTAAAACATAGGAGGCAAACGAGCATACGGCTTACCTGATGGTAAATAATTACCGTATGTGTGACTATATGTGATATCAGAAGGAATGCAGGTATATTGCCCACCTTTTAGGAAGGAATATACTCTTTTCTTGAAGATTTCAATGTTTCAATGTTTGTATGGAAGGCTCAAAGTATGTTTGTCGTTTATTGTTCTTTGGGAAAAGTAATTCAGTTTTAATGGTAGAACACTCCCTTAAAAGATGCTAACGGTTTCAATTTCACCTTGTATAATAAATTATTATATATTATAGAGTATTTTTTATAAAAGACAAATTTTATACACAAAATACAGTTTTATTATATAGGTAGTATATAATGTTATTTGTCAGATGTATAATATGTATAATATCTATTAGATATTATAATAAAATAGTAAATGTAAAACATTTACTATTATACATACATACTTAGTATATAATATATTTTTCAATAAAAATACTTCCATTATAACATCAACAATCATGATAATAAATGAAACTTACAATCGTTTAATTTCAATTCAATACTGGAAATAGCATACATGTTACATTTTTCTAATATTTTTTCGAGGGAAGAAAAATTTTCAATTTAGATCTTTTATGGATTACGATTATAAACAATTAAATACCTCTTAATAAATATAAATGTATAAAAGGTGATGATTGTATGATATTTTTAACAGGAGCAAAACGTAGTTTGTCGCTATAAATTTATATTTTGGATTTATTTTTAAATATGTTGTTTACAAATTTAGAGGTATTTTTCTACTGATGTTCCTTAATTTATTTAATTAAACTAAAATTAATAACAAACTAATATTATGGATAATTTGTGTTATTTTATAATAACTTCAAAATAAACAATTTAATATGTAAGTAATAAATAGTTCACCTATTTATTAATAAGTAAGGTACTTATATTTATTACAATTTTAGAAACAGAGCATTTACCATGAACGTAGGTATGTTTAGTATTTTTAAAAACAAGAAAGCTTATGTTTAACTATATATTAAGATTATATTTTTTTTTATTCAAATAAAACTGAGAAATGTATGTAATATTGTGATATAAATACGTATGCAGCATGTAACGGAATGAGTATAATAAGTTGAAATTCAGTGACAGTATACGTTAAAGTTAACAATTTTGCCAAAAGTATAAATATAGCAATATTAAGATTTCCTTTCATTATTAAGAAGATCTTGAATATAAAAAAATAAGTAAGTAGCAAATGAAAGAATGTTGAAGGCCTACTTTAATCATGTCATCATGCTATACACTCTCAAAATGTACTTTCACTGTACTTAATCTAATATTTATATGTATATTATAACAATTTTGATCAACAATCTTCTTAAAATATTATATTTATATATAATTTATTTCATATTTATATATTTAGGTGAAATATAAAATTTGTATTTTTTTTTCAGCAAATCCCTTTGTCTTAGATGAATGATGTTAAATGATCTCTTGTATTTTCGTAAAAACACTGAATATCAGGAAAATTTATGTTTCTAACTAGAAATTAAATCATATTATTTTTAAAAATAAACAGTACTAGTTACACTTTTATATTTTATCATAGCACAGCAGGATATCGTACAATTTTAGATGTAAATAATAGAAATGTAAATGGTATGTAAATGTATAGAGACGTCTTTAAATTTCAGTACATGTTTAAGTTATCGACATACTGTACACGTTCACGATATCGTGGTCATGTTAAATTTGCATTGAAAATAAAAACCTATTCATGTAATTAAATTTAGAATTTCATTTATAATGGCAACATCGTACGATAGCGTATCGTGTTACGGTAAATTATAAGAATGCCTAATATATTATTACTCTTATTAAATCAATCGAGTATTGTTGAAATCTTTGGCAGCAGAAGGAAATTTATATAAATATATATTTTATACCAGTGTTTTTAATGGTACGCGGACCATTCATAGTTTCTGGAAACAATCAAAATTGTCCGCGATGTCGTCTGAAAAAGATTTAACAAAGAGCAATGAGTCGGCACAACGCAAAAATTGCACTACAATTTGAACAATAAATGTATGTGCTTGGTTAGTTGATTAGAATTATTTTATTTCTTTCCGCTATCAAAAGATTTTTATTGATTTTCCCAAAATAACACCTCATTCATTAAAATAAATGTACGTGTGTTTTATTTATGGAATAAATATCTACATCCCTTTACTGTTTGAGGTCCAAACAGTTGGTGGTTCATGGTAAATCAGAAATTTTGTCTTAGGTCCCTCATTACTAAAAGGTTAAGAACCATTGATATATTCTTAGCACACCTGTCTGAATAACTTATATTATTGTTCCTGAAAATATGCAATTACTTGTACTTATTTATAAAGATAACGGAATGATGGATCAAAATAAAAAATACGTAGGTCAAAATCCATCTAGAACATAGAGCTGCCTTTAGTATTATAACGTAATAGGTATCCAATAAAAATAACGGACTATTTATCAGAGTGTATTTTAATGCCCTTATATTGTAACAAAAAATGTGACCTTAATGTTTATTTTTTATTAAAATTTAAAAAACGTGCAAGTGTTTTATTTTTTAAATCTACATACAGACATACATATTTGTCACGCCGTCGCTTTTAAATCTATATATTAAGTAATATTTATGCAGATAAAAATCCTCCTTTAGGTCTTGTGAGTTCATCTATACGACATCTTAACATTGCATTCTGAAAATAAAAGAAATAGGAATAAAAGAAAATTTGTACTTCTACATAATTTTATAGATGTAAATTGGTTTATTAGGTGTAGAAAGAAATATAATTGCTATAAAAACAAATTTGCTGTTGACTGCATTATTACATAACACCTAAGCCAGTGGCAAATAGGTAACATGTATTTACCTACTTACTACTGGCTTACATTGAGTTGATGGCTGAAGTAGGTGAAAATTTTATTTATGATGTTTTTAGTTTGACCTTTTCAACTTTTAAATAGATTAATTTAATTTTTTTATTTATGTAGCATATTTGTATTTAATAGAACAAACCTCTCTTAGCAGTTCATCTTCTCTTTCAGCCGCTATTTTAAGCATTTCTTTAGATTTCTCCAACAGCAAATCTTTGTCCAATATACTGCGCTTCAAATTTGCAATTTCTATACGAAGTGATTCTAACTGCGTTCGACCCTGGAATATAGTAATCAGTTTATTAGTACTGAGTACCAAAAAGTTATAGAATGGTGCTATCACATGTTTCTCGAATTATTATTAGAGAATGTCATTAAAATAAAGGTCGCTATGTGTTAACTCAATAAAATTTTAATTAATAAATAAAAAAAATCCTTTTCTATTCAATTATATCTATGATTCGGTATAAGTAATAATGTAAGCATTTTACTTTTCAGTTTTCAGGACATAAACTGTTTATAAGACTACACTACTCCTGTTTACCTTCCTATATCATTAATCTAGATATTTAGACCCTAATAGTTTAAAGACTTCGATCGAGTGAGGAACTATTTCACAACAACTTGATATCTATTTATAGTTTCTTAAATCATAACTGTGAAGCATGAAGTAGAATCGAATAGCATGGATACAAAGTTAAGACAATACCCTAATAAATATAATTCAGACCGTAATTACACATCCTGTATGAGTTACATTTTTATAAAATAGAATTTGTCATGTCTTCCTATTCCCTAAAGCATCTGATGTGAAGACAGAAAACTATAAAATAAAACTTACTTTATCCGTAGTACTGCGTACACTACTTGGTCTCGAGTCCGCACGTTTCGAGACGGTGGATGACTTTTGTTCAGCTTGCAGTTTGCTTACTAAACCTTTTGTAATAAAGTAAGTGATCTGTTAGAAACTGAAACATTATAAATTATGACCTACACAATACAAGAAAGAAATACCTATAGCTTCATCTATATTTTGTTATATCATGATATTTTTACTAATTTTATTATTATTAATATGCTGTGTGTCATGTATAGTTAGTTTGAAGGTAGTTGAAATATATTATTAAAACGGTTGTTGCTTGACATCAAGCTCGTTTCAATAAATCGAGCACAAAATATAAATTTAAAATTTAACAAAAATAAATGCAACGTGGGTGTAGAAGAAGTTGTATATTTAGGGCACGTATTTGATATGAACGGTATGCGACCAGACTACAATAAAGTAAAAGCAATAAAGGAGGTGTCAGAACCGAATGATAAGAAAAGTTTATAGGGATTTTTGGGAGCGGTAATTATTTGTCAAAATTTATACCGAATCATTCTGAGAACGCGTTACCGTTAACCAATTTATTGAAAAAGGAAAATGAATGGCGTTGGGAAGATACGGAACAAAAATCATTCTCTGTATTAAAAGAAAGCGTGTGTCGCGCGCCCGTGTTGGCATTGTACGACGTATCGCGGCTGCTAGTGCTGTCAGTGGACGCATCGCGCGACGCGCTCGGAGCCGTGCTGCTGCAGGTCGGCCGATCCGTCGAATACGCTTCGCGTACACTCACCGACGCCCAACGTCGTTACGAGCAAATCGAAAAAGAGATGCTGGCCATAGTTTTGCATGTGAACGATTCTACCTACCACATAATTATGGTAAGGCTAAAATATTGGTGGAAACGAATCATAAACCATTAGAAAGTTTTTTTTTTAAAACCACTGATGTCCTAGCTCGCTTACAACGCAAGTTGTTAAGAATACAAAGTTATGATCTATTAGTTAAGTATAAGCCGAAAGTATATGTATGTTCCTGATGCACTGTCTCGAGCGCCGCTTCCTGAGCTATATAGTGTGCAAGTGGCACAGAATGTACTGTACCAAGTACAAACTTACCAAAAGAATTACAAGTGTTTTGGGCGATAAAGGATGAGTTATATGTCGTCGATTCTGTGGTATTTAAAGATAGTATAATACTGATAACTTCGAGTTTGCGAGCTGAGATGCTGCGGTTCGTGCACGAGGGCCACTTCGGTATAGATCGGTGCAAGCGGCGAGCGAGACAGGTCATATATTGGCCGAATATGTCACGCAAATTTGAGTCATACGGAAAGCGTTGTACCATTTGTTAGGAGAGTTTAAACGCATAAGCAAAGGAACCTATGATTCCAATAGAGATACTCCCTTTACCATGGCCGAAAGTAGGTACTGATTTTTTGAGTACAGAAGAAAATATTATTTGATTGTCGTAGATTATTATTCTAATTATGTTGAAGTATGTAAATTACAAAGTTACGTCATATACAGTCATACAAAATATAAAGGAAGTATTTTCTCGTCATGGCATACCTGAAATATTAATAAGTGACAACGGCACTCAATTTAGTAGTCGCGAGTTCAAATTATTTGCTAGTGATTGGAGTTTTCATTTCAGAGTGACTTCTTCACTCAACTATCCTCAGTCAAAAGGAAAGAGTGAGCGTGTTGTATAAGCAGTTAAGTCACTTTTGAGTAAAGCAATAAAAACAGGAGGAGATTTTTAATTAGCGTTATTGAATTACAGAAATACTCCTAGAGAAGGTTTAAGCTCTCCTGCACAGATGTTAATGAGTCGCAGATTAAAATGTAAACTTCCGACCAGCGTACAAATATTAAAACCAAAACTTGTAAATGAAACAGAATATCATACCTTGGTATATAAGCAAAAGTCCAATAAGGGATACTATGACCGGCATTGTAAAACGCTATGCAAGTTAGAAAAAGGTGGCCAAGTAATGATGGTAAAAACCGTACTAGGGCCACTGTAGTAAGCACAGCTGATATGTCTCGTTCTTATATTATAGAAAATAAAATAGGATCCAAATATCGACGTAATCGTCGTCATTTAATCAAATGTGAACTATTGGCAGTAAAGTTTGAAATAAACAAAAGTGAACCAGCCGTGGTTACTAAGGTTTTAAACCAACAAACATCTGAGACAGAGCCGGGTTCGAACTGGCAACCAAATAGCAGCAGTGGTAGTATGTTCCTTAAACCACCGCTTACGCGAAAGCGTGCCAAACAGTCAAATAATTTAGACAGCATGCATTATTAGTGACCATACTCATATCTCTTTTCATACTACATCTACTATATTTCATTATATTGATTTTTTTTTTAGCAGTAAAGTGTCATAAAGTAGTGCATAAGTAGATACATAATAAAGCATTCCAAACTCGGACTGTTATTACATTTATATGTTTATTTTTTGATAAGGTTTATCTTCATCTATATATTTAATAAAAATAAGTATTCCTATTTACTGTTTATAGATTTGTATTGTAGTAGATAAGTAACTATGTAGTTAAAGTGTATATATTTAAGCAAATAAGTAATAAGTACTCAATTATACATTCTGTTTGGAGATGTAAGCCCTTATGTCTTCTTTTTTATATAAGGAAAGATGTCATGTATAGTTAGTTTTAAGGTAGTTGAATTATATTATCAAAGCAATTGTTGTCTGACATCGATCTGGTTTCATTAAATCGTTACATGCTGTAATGGGATGTTATGATTGTTTCATTAAATGCATTTACCTCTAAGTGTTAATACGGTCTGTTCAAGATCGTTGACTCGACTTTGGTGCGCGGAGGTCGGCGTCGATTCGAGCGCATTTGCTCGCAATGTCAGCTGTACATTTTCCTCTTTCAGCATTTCACAGTAACTGTTGCATACCAATGAAAATTATAACAAAATATTTTAATTTGAAATATTTATATTCTATTATTAAGATAAGCTTTTATAACCATACTGGCTTTTACCTGCAACTTCGTCCGCGCGTCCGAGATATGTTCACTGACCGGGTTAAAAAATAGCTCATATCGTTTCTTATTCTATATAGTATAACTATACCAAATTTCATATTGATTTGTTAAGCCGTTGAGGCATTATGAGGTAATAAATAAACAAACAAACTCACTTTCACATTAATAATGTTAGTCAGGATTGAGAAAGACCCGCTTCTGTATTTTTTAATGCTGTAAAACATTTTATTCAGTATGCGACGTTTTAAAAGCTTTTGCATTGTAGAATAATAACACTAAGTATTAAGTTGCACTTAGCCATAGATTCTAAAGTAAATATTAAAAAATAATGTTAACTTATTGCTGCTTCGAAAAGACATAGGTACTATTTTACATTGTCATATAGTCCCGGCATACAATGGGTACCATTACCGTGGGTGTCGTAAGAGGCGATTAAGTGAACTAAATGGTCGAGGAATGGGCAGCAGCGTCTCTTTTAAAACATCATCAAAGCTTAACTGCGGTTGCCAATCCACCCACCAAACTAACTACTGGCAGAATCCTTCTATATTTTCTATATTATATAAAAAGTCTATGTTCAGCATTGGACAGTTAACGGCTGATATAAAAATAATAGTTTTACATTAAGTACCTAGCAAAAATAGTGCTTATTATAGGTTATGTAACATTGGAATTCAAAGATATAAATTACATTTTTTGGGGTTTATCGATAAATAATATTAGGGGTATATAATACAGGAATAAACTGAATAAAATAATACCTCTTCCAATAATCTAGTTCTGGTTGATGGTCGTTCACCGTTTTCAGCGGGGTACGGATCTGTGATTCTAGCAATGTGGATTCCAATTTAAGGACTTGGCCCTTAAGGGATGTTATCTCTGCTAAGGCCTTTTCGTATTCTGCTACAAGAAACTCATTTCCCTATAAAGTAAGTCACAAACATTTTAATTTTGGTAAATGATCGATTAATTTGAGTTTTTTATGACCATTGTTTAAGTAGGCACATTGTTTTACGGAAGAAGAAGGAAGCGGTTGGCTGAATTGGAAACCAAACTTTTTTAAATTTCCTAATAAAAGTGCCTGGGTTATCTGAGTAATCCAAGTTGTATATGTTCTGTATTAAATTTTTTCTAGTAGGTATATATACATAAATTACAAAAAGATTCTAATTAGAATGAAAGAGCAATAGAAAAGGGAAAAAGATGTGAGAAAAACAGAAGTGGTATATAATAACCTTTTCAGCAACCTCAAGCGCGACGATTCTGCGCTGTTGCGCTTCCACGCGTGCCAATAATGCAGCTGCATTTGGGGTCGCCCCATCTATTCCAATCGCTCCTGGTTCACCAGTACAGGTACACTCGTGGCTTGACTTCATTGACTTTTCCAATACTTCCGATTCTTGCTTCTCTATTGCCAGCAAGCTTTCATCTGAAGGTACAGTTGCTTTTTACATTATTTGCGGCATATTGATACTGGTGATTATCGGTAGATACATAAGTCAATTTAGTAAATACTCATACCAGAGGGAGGCTTTGTACAAAAGTCGATTGCTTGGGTACCTCTGTCCCATTCGTGTTTCTACTGTGAAGCAGTTGTGGTTGCATGGCTGTGTTTCGGTTTGAAGGGTGGGATATGGCGTAAATTTACAGGGTACAGAGGACTAACATCTTAGTCCTCAGGAATGGCAACGCATGGGAGGTATCATGGGCTAAACAGTATACTCTGTTAAGTACGCTCATGTCTATAGGCGACAGTAACCACTTTTCATCAGGTGGACTGTCAGCTTGTTTGCCATTCTAAGTTGTATATAAAAAAATACATTACAGATTTGGTTAAAACAAATTCTAAAATTATGGTTTATACTTACTCTTGACTTCTGATAATCTAGCAAGCAGAATACGTTTCTCCTTTTCTAATCTGTTTACCATAGATTTTGCTAGATTAAGATTTGATTCCAATTTTTTAGCTTCTTGAAACTTTTCCTCATATCGTGATTGCCAACGATCTGCTGCTTGCTGTGCTCTAATAAAATAATGAAAATTACATTATACAACTATAAGATAGTATTGCAATAGGTTTTTGGTCGGAATAATAGGAAATGAAGTAATCTACATTTGTTGAGGACTGAAGTTTATGGTTTATGCATACGTTTTGTTTTGTTGTCTGATTTATTGTAGTAGGTATTTACAGAATCAATATTCTCGAATAAGCTAGAATTTAGTTACCAATTACTTAGATCTAGTATATAATTAAATATGTATGAATAACAACCTTTTCCATTTATCCCACAGTGCGATGGATGAATGTGTGTCTTTACGGGCATTGGACAGCTCTGTCTGAAGTGACGCTATCTTGTTCTGGAGGGCTGCTGTCTCAACTGACACTGCTTTTCCGCCCCTTGAACTTCTGTTTATTATTTATTGTTACATTATGAATAAAGTAATAAATTGTATGAAATTGTTGAATCGTTTCCTTCTTTTAAGTTCAAATGACTTATTTGAAACTAATAAAATGTTTATAAAACTTATGTTATTTTTTTAACGATGTTTATATATAAGAAACTTCCGGATGAAGTCTAAACAATTGTCGAATACGACAAACACGGTAAGTACGATAAATTCCCGTTGTGTATGTATTATATATAAACAAAATATTAATTAGAATTATTATTTGAATCATCAAAGCTCTATTAATGAACTTAATAATTGTAATAAAGAATGTTTAACCACCACTTCCTATGTTACCCAGTATTTATTGCGCTTTTATTTTGCTATGGTAAATGACAAATAAACTGAATAAGTGAGGCAAGCTAGTACACATGGCATAAAACGGTAATTGTTGTCTATAAACAACCTCAACCACGATACACAATATCTATATTATATTATATTGATTTGCTCTTTTTTTTTTAGAAAAACTCTGCCATCAGTAAAATTACTTCGTGCAATCTTGAACTTAGTTTAATACAAACTTTATCATTTAACAAATAAATAAGCATTACTACCTATTATTTATATTTTGACCTTGTACAAAATACTTTTATCTTATGAAAAATCTACAGGCATTTTATTCCTAATTGTAGATACTAATAAAAAGTAAACACAGATGCAGTTTATGCCAAGGTTTGATAGGACTTAAATTGGAATACTTACATTCTCATAATTTGGCTCTTTAAGTTCTGCGCGTCGAGCCGAGCACGTTTCTCTCGGGCCGCGAGAGCCTTAATTTGTCTTCGGAGTATTACGTTTTGTTTACTTGTTAACTGTTTCTCTCGACGTAATCTATCTATAAGTGGCTCTTGCCTGTACCAATAATAGAAAATACATACACTTTTACTAAATAGCAAATTATATAGTAAGTTTTAATTTCTTTTGAACCGTCTAAGTAGATATTATGAATAATTAGAACTTCTCAGTAACTAAATAATGACAAAATAAGGGAAACCCAGTATTATATATATATATATATATATATATATATATATATATATATATATATATATATATATATATATATATATATATATATATATATATATATATATATATATATATATATATATATATATATATAAGTAGAATTACAAACCCACCAATAGCTATTCCTGGATATACATATTGGAAAATAACTCACCAAATAGCGGTTGACGTGGCAGGCATTCTCATCATGTGGTCTTGAAAATCCCCTAAATCTATAGTAGAGTCAAATTTGAGCTCCAAACGGTCAGAGCCGTGTTGGGATAAAACGTCACTGCTTTCTTCAACTTCCACAATCGCAGAAAGATCAAAAGTTGGGTCGTTTACAGAAATCATAGTCTGCATGTTCAATATTTGTGCCTATAAAATTAAATTTAAATTTTTTATTAACTTTAACTATGTATATAAATACGTCTATTTCTAAGTTTTTTAAGACGAATAGAAAATATTGTTATACTACTATATATACTTTTTTTTTACATAAACAACCATCATATTAATACATTCACAAGTTTTAAAGTAAGAAGAGTGTACTGATAGAGAAATAAGAATTTTAATTTTGTTTTAAAAACGATATATTTATAAACAATTTAAAATATTTAAGAAACCTGAAAGTTTAAAAGTTTTTTTTTATTTAGAAAATTATGTGACAAAATTATAATTTTACAATATTAAATTTTGCTTTGCATAAATCAATCCTGACAAAATTTATATAAGACGAGAGTTCTCTACATATGCAACTATAAATAAAAACATTCAATGTTGGTAAAGATATTGCGTAACATATAAAAAACACTGGTGAATTGAGTATCAAAATTTGAAAACTATATTTACCTTCAGATCATGTATAATAGTTTGCAACTGCTTGATTTGTGAATTCTTCTCTACCATTTGTTTGACGTGTAACGTTTTCTGTTCTGTAAGTCGTGCACGTAACTCCAAGTATACCTGTTGAGTTTCATGAATTTGAGAAAGCCAGTGTTGATTTTCTGCTTTGTATGCTTCTACCTTGAAAAACAGTAGGTACCTATTTATATTCTAGTTCTAGAAATATCGAGCAACAATACCACATAATAATGTCATTAAAACACAATTAAGTAAATATAATTAATTGTGTTTTAATTATGATTAACTTAGTTTTAATGACATAAAATTATATTAATAGTTTTTTAGGTAGTTCTGGGTCGCGTAAATAATAGGTCAATCCGTCCTATTATTGCATACAGGCGACGGATCAGCTCGAAATATAAGAGATGGACTCAAGAATGAATGTACACATAGGGTATATTTAATATGGATAGGTTATTGAGGTAAGTAGTGAACTTATTATTAATTGGTTTGGTTTGATAATAATAATTACTTAATAATTAACTCATGACACTTTTAATAGCTCAACCAGTCGTCATGAAATTTCACACACGAGTAAGTAGTAATTGGAGAAGGACATAGAAGATATTTTACCTCAGGAAATAAACATAATTCTAGTTATGTGAATGAAAATAGAATGCAGGGAAAATTTGGTAAATAATAATATAAATATATCTCTCATAAGATATAGACTCTCACAAGGATAATAATTTTAAGTTAAAATACTAAATAGTCATACAATGTAAAATATTCCTTGTGAATAGTAAATAAAGATTATTTATTTTATTATTATATAGAGCGTACGCAATGAACAGAGAAGTTAATATTATTGTAAAATAAAAACAAAGCACTCACCTCATGACAATGACGTTTATCTAGTTGAGAGTTGAGTTGTTCCATTTTTATAAGCCGTTCAGAAGCCAGTTGTTTCCAACGATCCAATTCACTGTTATTTGTGAGTCTGTAATAAACTGATACATAGTTAATATACCTATGATAACAATAATTAATTATATCATAAAATAATTTTAAATTATGTAAAATAAGTAATCACTAACAATTCTGTTTTACATCCATCCAGTTCGCTTTGAAGATTAAAACACTTGTCCTCTAGATCGTTTATTTTTGAAGTATATTTTGTTACAAATCCTTTAAGCGCCTCCGTATTAGAACCGTTCGAATCGCTCGCTTTCCTACAATAAACACAAACAGTTACGTGTGGGCACATTATACCTACGTAAAATGATAGGAAAATATTAATTACATACTGTTAAAAATGATTGATGAGGGCATGTCCCCGCGATGCAATATGTACACGTATATTATGATAGCAGTTCATATAATTTAGTTTATAACAATATTTAGGACAATTTATTATCTAAGTACCTACTTCTAGTTGTTTTTCTATAATATATATCACATTTAGTGTCTACAAATAGTGATTATAACTATTTGTATACATTAAATGAGATATATAAACTAAATAATTATTAAAGTATGTGTTTGGAATTTAAGGATAAAACTAACTAATGCATAATACTTTAATTATAGAGCTTCATGAGATTTATGTCCTTTTATAACAATAATTATTATCAATTATGATTTTTTTTATTTTGTATAAATAAAACTTAATTGACGAATGTATATAAGAGTATCATTTTAGAACGGCTATTTGACGAATTTTTTTCTTGTTATGTTTTATAACAGTCAGAAAGAAAAAACACACGTGCGCAACAGGAGCGGGCAGCTAGTTTCTAATAAAATTTATTATTTTACCTGTCTAGTTGCGTTTGTAATTCCATTATTTTTACATTCATATCTTTCATGGTTTTAGAATACTCTTTTCTTTCATTTCTTAATAATTCTTTATATTCATCAATTAAATTACTTTTTTCATTTTCTAATTGTTTGATAGTAACTAAAAGTGATTTATTATCCTCATTAGCGATATCCTTAATTTTATTAATTTCTGCAATGTTAATACTTTTATCGTTATTAAGTTGCTGTTTTAAATCTTCAAGTGCATTATGTAACTTCTGAATTTGCTTTTCTTTTTCAAGATTTGCATCTTTAAGAGTTTGAATTGTAGATTCTAAATTAAATTTTTGGCTATTTAATTTTTGAATGTCTTCTGTTTTTTGATGAATTAACGACAGTGCTTCAGTTAATTCATTATTTTTTTTATCTTTATCATTCTTAAGGCTATTCAATTGATAGTTTAGGCTTACTAATACCTTATCTTCATCTGTTTGTACTGATTTAGTTTTATTCTCATTTTCTGTACAAGAAGTTTGAACTAGAACATGAACAACTTCTCGTTTTTCAATATCTGTTTTAATAGAATATTCCTGTAAATTGCTTGGGACGGAATCTTGTGAAATATTATAAGTGATGTTTGATGTTTCTTCCGAGGGTCTTAGTACTTTGGGTCGAGGTAAAGTTATAGTTTGACTTTCTGAAATATAAGGAATATAATTAGTACATTCAGTTAAAATAAAATAATCACTATTAGATAATATTGATTTTTATTATTACTTCTTGTATTTTCATCATCTGAATGAATATCTTCTACTTCTAAATTAGAATCATTGCCAGTTTCGCCTAATTTTTGTTTTACTATTGATTCATATAAATTAGATTTTTCAAAACCTTGATTTAAAAGCAACAGATTTTTTTCAAGGTTACTGCAGCGCTTAAATAAATGTCTACGAGATTGTTCTAACATTCTATTCTTTGTATTTAAGTGATCAATCTCATGAGATTTTGTTCTTTCCTATAAAACAAACAAATCAGTTTAAAGTTGAATGTTTTTATAAATTCAACACCATAAATATAAATAATAATGAATATTATATTACCAAGACTATCATTTTTAATTTGTGAGGACAACTATCCTGTAATTCTAAACATTTGCTTTTAGACACATCTAGAATTTGATCAAATATTGTGTATTTGGTAATCAAATTAGATTGAAGGTCTTCTATTTCGGAAAGTTTTTCATTAACAGCATATGTTTTATGAGATAGATCATCAATATTGTTAAGGTAGTTTTCTATAGAAGCCAATGGTAAACTTCCTTGATATTGCTGTCGTAAAGTTTGCAATACTTCATACATGTACCTTTAAAATAATAATAATCAATATTAATACATATCTTACAAAAAATGACTACTACCCGTATTATAAGGAACGAGTTAAGGAAACATTATCTAAATAAAAATATTTAAAATAATTCATTCAAGAGCTGATTATCTTTGTTTACATGAAATGACACTGATAAAATTATTATAACAAAAATATCACTTACCTGAATTTAGATTCATATCTGGAAGTATAAACATCGTAAATCTTTTGACGTGCTTTTAACATTTCTTCAGCTTCCAATTTTGATTGCTTTTCTTTATTTAATGCAGAAATTAATCTTTCTATTTTTTTATTACTTTCTAGAGCTTGTAAATGTGCTACCAAAACTTCGCCACTTAGCCTATATAGAATAAAAAAAATTTAAACTAAAAATGTAGTTTTCATATTTATTGCTTTATATATAATATTATAAATATGAAAATGAGGGTGTTTGTTACCTCTTGACCACCTAATACGTTAACAAATCGTCCTGTAAACTATAACATAGGTATTAACTATTACTAACTATTAAAAAAAACTATTAGGTAACTATTAAGAAGTAGGGAATGGAGAAGGACATAGGATATTTTGTAATATGGTCAATCATATTATCAAGGTTACGCAAACGAAGTCATTTGTAAAACTAGTAGTAACTAAACTCTTATTAATATTATAAATTTGAAAATATATGAGGCTAGATGAACGGATCTTTTTTATTTTTTCACGCAAAAACTACGGAGACAAAAACTACTTAATGTGCATACTGGTAGGTCATATCCTAACTTAGCATACAGGATATTTTATGAACTTACTGATTTACGTGAGCGCAGTCGCGGAATAGGTATAGCTAGTGTTTTATAAATTAGCATTGAGTTTTATTTGTTTAGATTTAATATGTATGCAAAATAAAATTTCGTAATAAGTCATATGCAGTAATTTTATGCAAAGCAGTCCCTACAAGCAACCTGTTCATAAGTATGACGGACGAGCCAGCCACCATTACGCTCAACCATATGTTAGGTCCATCCCGTCGTCAATAATCTAGAACCAGACAAATATAGTCATAGTATTTTGAATTTGACAAACCTGGCAATAATGGCTTTATTGTCTCCCGTAGATTGTAAATCAAGAATTTGATGTCTTAACATATTAATTTCTGTATCCTTGTTAATATATCTATACTGTGAGTCTTGTATCTAAAAATAAAAAATCAGAATTTAGTTTTTAGTGATTGAACTTAAAAAAATACATTATAAATAATATACGTATATTAGGAATATTTTTTTATTACCTGTAATAGTGTCACATCTAATTGTTTTCCAATATATTGGCACTGTTGTTTAAGAAGCATATTATCATCGACTACCTTCTGTAATTGATTTTTTAAAATATTTATTTCTTCTTTTGTCATAGCAGATAGGTTTTCATCTCTAAAAGGGTAAAAAGTAATAAAGTCATTGGAATAGATATCTCTAAAATATTAAAAAAAAATATTATTACATTAGTTTTGCCTGTGTTTCTTGTAGCTTTGCGTTTTGATCTTCTAGTTCCTCTATTCTCATATTTTTATTTTTAATTTCATTGCACATTTCATGTAATTGTTTTTGAAGAATAGATTGTTCTATGTTAGATAGTTGTTGTTCTTTATTATTTTCACTGTTAACTAAAAGAAAAACTTTGTTCATTATAGAGATTACATTATTATATGCCTATATATGTATTTTAATATTTACGAATCTGTTTAAATAGATTTTTAAATTATATTATAATCTTAAAAAAGTGTAAATAAATGTCTATACATACTCTGAGGTAACTTTTCCTTGAATGTGTTCATTATGTCATGTTTAATATCTTCTAAACTTTTGAACAGATTTTCAAATTCATTATTTTTTCTTACGCCATTTTCCATTAATTTTCGATATTTTACAGTAATTTCATTCAAGATAATATTTTGCTGCCAAAATAATTCGACCGGTATAGTAGATCGAAGCCTATCAATTAAATTAATAACAGAGAGTATAAGCCCTTGAATTTGATATTCAAAATCTGATGTTGCAATCATAAAATCTTTCTTATTTTCTAAAATTTCATTCTTCATGTTTTCATTCAAAGTTCTAATGTATTTATATGACTCTTCCAAATATAAACATTTTCTTTGTATATAACCAATACTTGGGGAATCTATTAGTCCAGGGGAAATGTCACTAATATCTTCGTCATCTTTTTGTGATAGCTGTGCCTTTAAATTTTCTATTTCTGTCTTATATTGCTCTTCTTGTAATGCCCATTTATTGAGATCATCACTTGTTTGGATAGCAATAGATGTCATTTTATCAAAAATATTTTTGAATTTATTATGAAAATAAATTAATGCTTTTTTTAATTGATCATCATATAAGCCATTATTTTTTGATAATATTGTGTCAATTTGAGCCTCGAGAAAATCAATATTCATTTGTTCATTTTCAGATACCCAAGATCCGAAATCTCGAGTATCAACTTTTTTGTCTTTAATTATATCGATTTTGTCTTGTGATTCTTTAGTAGATTCAATTTCATGAATTTTTTGTTCAAGATCTGTAGATTTTTGTGTTTCTATTGCTAACTGAGCCATAATATCGTAGGTTTCTTTCCTGAAAAAATAAAATAAAGGCTTGTAACTTTAACTGATTTATATAACGATGGAATATTTGAAACTGAGGATTGAATGTACTTAATAAAACAATGTAACCGTAATTATCACTACATGTAAATAGAGTATGAACAACATTTTTTACCTAGCTTCATGTAGTGCTATAAGTAAAGCATCTTTTCCACCTAATGCAGCTCTAAGTTCCATAACCGTGGCCATGTGTGGTGCATACCAGCCTGCTGTATGTCTAGCTTCCATAGATCGTAATACCGCATCTAGACTAGGACATTCTAATTTCAAAATTCCTGATGTCGTTGTACCTGTTAAATATTATATAGTGTTAAAGACGTTTTCTTTCATTTGCTCTGAAATTTCATCATTATTAAAAATACATATAGTTATAAAACATTTATCTAGACTGCTACTTACTATTGTCTTTTAAAAAATTTAAAATATCTTCTAAGCCTTTTCTTAAAGCTTCGTTTTCTTCAACAATTGCTTGCATTTCTTCATCTTTTATAGAACTCACAAAATTTATATTATCATCACTTGTAGTTTTTTGGGTCCTGGTACAAAATTTTTAAACAAAGTATTATTTTTTTTAATTTAATTTATATAATTTAATTATTACTACAATTTTAAATAGTGTTTATAATAAAAACTTATTTTATTATTATCTGAGAAACTTACACATCTTTTTCTCTCGAAACCGGAATAGCTTCACTATCGCTGCTATCATAAATATGGTTTATTTTATCATCGTCATATCCTAAATTATTTAATACTTTGATTAGTTTACATATTTTTGACTTCAAATTATGATTATCCATTTCGACAGAAACCAGTTTATTCTCGATAGTTTTAAATTCTCTGTCTAGTTTAGTATAATTTTCTTCGATTATTTGATACTTTTTCATAATACCATGTAATGGAATTTTTTCATTCCGGGGTATATTTATCTTTGTTCTAAAATAAAGTTTATAGAAAAATAATACTACGACTAGTTAAGTCGTACAAAAAATGAACAATAAAAATATATAAATATATAGCTAATGAAAATTATTAAATAATCAGACGTTTTATAGAATATGAATATAATATTTTAGACTGTGCTTAAATCTTAAACGGAGGCGAATTCTAGACGCTGGTGATACATCGACTCCTACTTGTTGTCAAAGAATTATTTAGTTTATTCGATTATTTTCAACTGACTTCAAAAATAAAGAGGTTCTCAATTCGGTTGATTTTTTATGTTTGTTACCTCATAATTCCGTCAGTTGAAAACTAATTTAAAAAATCTTTTTTTTATGTAAAAGGATATCCTCAGATTAATTTCATAGAAAAATTATCAAAATCGGTTCATTAGTTTAGTTTTTAAATCAAAATATCGAAATTAAAGGATAAATATAAAGTAACATACCCAAAAATATTTAAATAATCATGTAATTATCGAAGTAAGGAAAATTACTTACCTCAAAACTTCATTTTCTAGTTGTAAATCGTCGACTATTTGATTTATATTATTAATTTCTTGAACAAGAGATTTTATGCCATCATCTTTAGATTTCAACTGACGTTTTTTATTCTTCATTTCTTGCAGTAGAACATTAATACTTTCATTAGATTGCACCATTTGCAGTTGCGACGTTATTTCTGTTAGCTACATTTTGAATGAGTAATCAATATATTTAAACGAGTTCACGTACAATTAATATGATACTCCTTATGTACTAATGTTATAAATGTGAGTTTGTTTGTTACCACTTGGTACTTAAATCATTCCATATAGTATATATGTACCAAATTTCATCGTGATTGATTAAATCATTAAACTCTAAGAGGTAATAATAAACAAACAAATTCACTTTTATGTTAACCACCATTATGTTACCATTAAATAAGAACTAGATGTGCCTGCAATGTTGTATACATGATCGGGATAAAAAAGATAATATAATATATATGCATATTGGCATTTAATCATAAACTATGTTCTTTTTATTTAAAATCCCTAGAATCGTCTGATGTCGATATTTCCCTTGTATTTGGGTCGTTTTACATCTGACATTATTTATTATTATAAAATATAATGTAGACAATATGAGTATTATATGTACGTTATTTATATATTACTATTTTGTAATATTTTTTTTTATTTATTTACTCAACACGTTGTACTGTTAATTATATCTTCTATTATACTTGTCTACGGTCGATCGACAGATAATACCATATGATGTAAAGTACGTCATATATACTGTCTAGGTTATACGTATATTTATATCTAATATTTTCTGTTCCCGTGAGAACTTCGAAAAATCTTATTTTAGCGAATGTTGTCTAATCTAACAATTTTGTAACAGTAAGTAGATCAAGTGTGGCAACTACTGAGAAAAGTCTATGTTCAGCAGTGGATAGTTAATGACTGATATGTTGATAATGATGATGAGGCAGATTAATACTATTCTCTTTTTCCTTGAATATGAGTAATAGACTCGACAATTACTTTAATGATTTAATTAGTGTTAGTACGAATTTGCAATATTTACCTCTTTTTCTCTAATTGCTAACATTTCTTCAGCTTCTTGTAAGGAAACCGTCAGATTTCTTATTTTCCTTTTTAGTTTATTTATCATAACTCGTTCTTTGCCATCGTCACTCTCGTTTTTAATTTCCGATACAGACTCGGGTACTTCTTCCATAGTCAATTTAAGTTGTCTGTTCTCAGTTCTTAGCAAGTCAATTACATTGGCCGATTGCGTTATCTTATTTGATGCTTCCAAAAGTTTCTCCTGTAGTTCTTTAATTTTAAACTCTTTGGCAAGGTCTTCCTATAAAAAGATAAAATGCTAGAAGTAAGAAGTATGTTCTTTCTATCAGTGCAGTACCCACTGTGTGTAGATAACTTACGATTAGTACTAAATGCGGTGCTGATTCATGGGCTATTCAAAATACGGCCTTTTCTTGGTCTTACGCAAGTCGTAAACACGACATCATTGCTTATTTAACTCAATAAGGGGATAAATTTTGAGAAATACTGAAATTAAGTTTTATTATTTTATGTAAAAGAGATATGATTCATTTCAAGTGAATTGGTTGAATAAAATTTACTTTCTCATATAAACTTCAACCCTTATTTTTACATCCTTAGGGACCAAAAATCCTTTCTTTTATTTGTGTAGCATATATTCATATAAAATAAGATTATAACTAACGAAGTTATAAGGTAACAAATATAAAAAGTATACAACTGAATTGAAAATATTTTTAAGACAGTTGAAAAGGAACCTATTTGTCAAAATTCGGTAATTCTAAATTTAGTAGTTTTCGCTGCGCATTAATGAGTAAGTCAGTCAGGACTTTCTTCTTTATAATACACTATATGTCTCTGTATATAGATTAGTATATACAGAGATTTCTATATTGAAGAATGTATCTACAATCTTTTTTAACCAACCAGTTATCAAGCGACTAGGATAAAAAAAAATGCACTTACTTCAGGTAACTCCTTTTGTGGAGTTGATGGCTGTGCAACTTGGATTATTAGGCCTTTTAATTTCATGTTTTCATTAGATAACATTTCTATTTCGGCTTTTTTCGATCGTGCAATATTCTACAAGCAATATAACGGTGTTATTTATTAAAACAACATATTTTAGAGAAATTAAAATATCAAGTATTAGTAATAATTGTGAATATATAATATAATATATTAATAATTATTATTTGAATATATACCCTCCAATGTTGAGCTTTAGACTTAATCTCTTCATAAGTTTTATCTTTATTGTTGTCTTTTTCAAACAGTTTTTTTCTAAAAGACTCTACTTCGCTGGAAAGAAGTGCTTTGGCTTCTTCAGATTGACCAAGAATTTCTGTAAGTTATTAAAAATTGCAATAAACTTTGTATTTTAAATAGAAACCAATGATTAATCTATAGCATGTTCAAGTACGCTTTGCATATGTTAGTTGTTTTTGACCAAAAATAGTGTGCATATAAAGTCAAATCTAAAGCAAACCATTTTTATTATATATCGTTCCTAATACAGTGACGAAAACATAGCCTACGATTGCAAAGAAATCATCAAAATATTAGATTTGCCGAGATATGTAAAGTATTGATATAACCGTATTCTCATATGGGGGGATGTTTTGTTACATGTGCTTGTTATATTACTTACTATTATTATAATTTTATATCCGTAATACTATTACGTAAGTATTTGTGGTGATGGTTACCTTTGAGTTGGTTACTTTCATTGTTTAATGTGAGTAGTTGTTCAGTTAGATTTTCAATAAGTTTTGTAGCTTCTGTTAATTTATCCTTTAATACAGACACCTTTGCTTTAAGCTTCGTATTTTCTTCGTCTAGTATCTAAAATAAACAAAACTTGTAATATACAATCAATTTAATATCGTTGTTATTGCTACTTATCATAAAATTAGTAACGAAAAATTTCCAAATGAATTATTTGTAGATGCTACAGATAATATCTTTCTATGGACAAGACTTAACGGAATGACAACTTTACGTGCTTACTGAATTACGAATCAAGTAACATAATTTGCTGTTTGCAATAACACAAACATAAATTTTAAGAAAGTGTACATGTATTAACAGCTATAATAATCGAATATAAAAGAAAACAAATATTTTACCTTTATATCACTTAATAATTTTCTAATGTGTCTATTCTTCATAGTTATTTCATTTTCCAATTGGGCCATTGTATTTATTTCAGATAACACATCACGACTTGATTCACTATCTTTGTCTAAGTTATTCATCTCGGCTTTAATTTCTTTTTTGCGACCTTCTAACTCAGCAATATCTGTGTATAGTTGCTCTAAAATCTCTTTGTTTGTTTTTATAACTTCCTCTTGGTGTGTTATTGTTTCTAGTACATTGTCAACACTTCTGTTAGGTGAATCTATTAAATCAAATTTTCTATAATAGTATGTATATACCTGAATAGTATTTAGTACAACGTATTTAAAGCTTGTATTGTATTTCCATAAATACTTCTATGTTCGAATAAGGATAAGAGGTACTAGATTAATAAAAAAAAATGTTATATTTAAATGACAACCCTATAGTTAAACTGGTAAGAATAATTTCTTTCAATTATTGCGCAAATATTGTGTAATGTAATATGAATATTGATAAAGTGTATATCCATAAAAAACGTATAAGTGGATCTACATTCAGATTCAGAGATTTGGAAAAAATTGAATATGGAAAGAGTGAACACTGTGCTATAATCCAAAATACTTACCAATAATTTGACCCTTTGATTTCGATTTATCATACTTTCTTTGATTAATTTCTATTTGTCCGAGTAAATTGTTTACCTGAATGATAATAAAAGTAAATTTTAGGTCTATATAAATATACTTAACGAATGTTCAGATAGATATAAATATTTCTTTACCTGTTCACTTTTGTATTTTAAAATATCTTGAGCAAGTCGAAACAAAGTTTTTAAATCTGTAAAGTTTAGTTCGATATCGTCAGCTTCCATCCAAGACAAACTTTCACATAATTTATCTTTATCGGTTTCTATTAATTCCTTTTGAGAATAACTTAATATTTCTCTCCAGTCCGTATCAGCCATTTTTAATATTAATTTATAGACAATTATATTATATTTGGTATAAAGTTATATTTACACCATTTTAGCAATGATGCTAGGGTTTACGCACAGATTAGCAAGTGTCTAAAAGGTTTACAATTGTTTTGCACATTACTTCGTCGTTGCTAGGCAACCAAATTTATTGATTAGATTTTTTGTTTTAGAAAAGACAAAAGATGTATGTCTATACAGCTATGACATGACATTTGAAGAATATATTTTGTTTTATAATATTACTCTCCATTACCTATCATAAAATTACTTGTAGCTAAGTATGTGCTTAAAATATAATATCGATGAAAATGGTTTCCATGACATTTAAATAAGCAAACAATAACAGAGGGAGACTTTGTACAAAAGTCGTTTGCTTGAGCGCCTCTGTCCCATTCGTGTTTCTACCGTGAAGCAGTTGTTTGCATAGCTATTTTTCGGTTTGAAGGATGAGATATGACAGTGCATTTACAGGGTACAGAGGAATAACACCCGAGTCCTCGGGAATGGCAACGCATGGTACTGCTCATGTCTATAGGCGACGGTTACCACGTTTCATCAGGTAGGCCGTCAGGTAATTTGCCATTCTAAGATGCATAAAAAAGTGTTTTATGTGTTACCAAAAAAACTTGGTTTAAATTCTTTATTTTTTTTAAATAAGTTGTTCTAATAATAACAAAACGAAAGAGTCTGTTAGATTTAAAAACTTCCTTTTTTTTATAATTTATTTCATGAGGTTACAGACATTTAATATTATGAATGATACAACTAGGACAAAGCTGCGGGGTACAGCAACTTTACTTGTATATTATACCTGTAGGCTACTGATTTATGAGTGATGAATAACATTAATCTAAATTTAAACGAATTGTACGGAAATTAAATAAAAACACAATGTAAATAGAAAGATTATTTTATTAGGTGTGATGATATTAAACAATAGTTGTTAATGTTATACCGAATGTCGAGGTGTCAACAATAAAATAAAAATATTTGTGCTTCTAAAAATAAATTAACAAAAGTAAAATACAACAATATAATGGGTTAAAAAATAATGAAAGCTGTGTATGTACTACACAAACCAAGCGTACAATTACATAGGGCGAGGAGAACGACGCTTTGGTACAAATACGAAACTCGACATTTATATTTTACGTACAATTAATACGATAATCATTAAACATATAAATTAATCGGCTACTTTAACGATCTAAAAGTATACATATAACATTTTAAATGTATAAGATTGTATAAAGCATCTCATATAAGTAATATAGAAAATACAATGAAAGACCAACAGTATTTTGGACAACTTAGAAAAATATACGAAATTTGATCGATGACTAGATATTGAAAAATCAATTACTTTCAATGACGCCAGTATAGAACCAATTGACGGATGTCTCAACAATGATCCGACATCAGACTAATAGCACTCATATTGTTTCCGTACATCTAATTTAAAATTAAGCATACATTAATGTATTGTCAACCGTTGCGGAAAGTTACTCGCCCTATATACACTAACCATTACAGTTGTTTGAGTATAACGATGTAAATATATTTATAATATTATTAATATTGTTAATGTGGTAACTAATGTTGATGCAGAACAAATATTTACTCGTACTATAGACATGTTTATATTTATTGTTATCAATAATGCTGAGACCCAGTTAACAGTTGCCGATCTACACAAAATGTCGAAACTTTGTTCTCGTTCTATTTTTTTCCATTGGGTTAATTTCAAAGTTTGACCTTTGCCGATATAACGCCATGATTATTGAAAATTCATGTTAGTTTAAAGTATCATTGTTACACGTGCCTAGCTACATTCTTTTAAAATGTCTCTTTTAAAAGACGAGCTTCAACTCCACTAAAAATGTTAAAAATAAATAACTATGCTAAACAAATTGTACAGGTAGGTATATAATATATTTTTATTATTTTTTGTACAATTATACAACATTATAATCATCCGATAAACATACTCTTTGGGACACATAAATTAACTTTGGATAAATGGTACCGACATAAATGGGCTACTGTTAGTTAAATGAAATTAAATAAGTTTGTGGTAAAAGCTTGAGATGAATGATAACAGCACTTCACGTTACTGTTAAATTTCATTGGTTATATTATTAGATGCCAATAAGTTGATTGTGTAACAACTTTGAATATTTTTATCGACGACACTTGCTTCTAAACAGTAATGCTTAACGATTAGACATTTTAATATAAAAAAAAAAAAGATTTAATCTGTTACAGTTAATATTACCTATCTAGTTATGATAATGTCGTCGGATCTTAAAGTTTATATAGTTTGTACAAAATTTTATATAAAAAGTCATGGTAAAATTTGGTATCATTAGGCCATTATGTATTCTTTGATACATTAAAGATGTTACAACATTTTCCAATAAATACAAAGTTAATAGTTTTTTTTTTTTTTAATTACACCAGATATTCAGATCGTATTTTATTTTGGCTTAGTGCCGTAAATGGAACAAGAACGCATTCCAAAATACTTGTAACTAGGCCAATAATATTTGTTGACATTATGTTGGTGACCGCCGGTGCTAGCAGGCGGTAATCAGCGCGGGCGACGCGCGCACAACGTTGCACGACGCAACCGCCGCAACAGCGACATCTCGCGCTATCAGATGCGCTCTACGTAATTGCCTGTAATTGAATTTACATCGTTATTTTAAAATATGAATACCTCATGTCATCTCGTAAATCATAAAAATCTAATACATAAGAATCTTAGAAACCACTCCATAAATTTAATTCATTTTAACAAATGTACAGGTATTGTTTGTTCCAACTTGAGAGATGAGAGTTTTTATCCTAACATAAAAATTAATGAATGATGAGGCAAAGCAACATTTACTGGGTCAGTTAATGAACGACCGTGAAATTAGAGGTCTCGAGTTGTGAAGATAAAATAAAAAAAAGGCATAATTAAAGGTACATTTTTATGTAAAGTTATATCTGTATTTTCCACCTGTCTTGGTCGTTTTCATTTGCTTTAATAATCGGCCAGTGAGAAATTCCATGAAAGAAGCCGCAGTAGTTAGTTTATTATGCAACTAATTCTAAGTCCCTGCTAATGTTTACGTCCATACTACCAATTTGATCAAAGTTGCTGTTAGAATGAGTTAGCATAAAAATATCTTTGATAATAATTAAAGCAGATACATTGGTTCCTAATCCGTTCAGCCATTTAAACGTAATTTAGTCAACAACCTTCAAGTCTCTAAACATCTTTATAAACATGCATATTTCCTTCAGTCTAAGAAAAAACAATGACACTCACCTGGGAAGGTGCCAAAGCGCCCAGTGCGTTGACTAGAGCCCACGTACCAGCCGTCATCGCATTTTTCTAGAACGTACACTGTGTCGCCTTCGTTTAACTCCAGCTCATCAGGGTTTTGTGGTCGATATTTATACATAGCTCGATACCTGAAAGTAATTATATTCTTGATTGTACTAATAAATTATCAATTAATTATTTATTATAATATAGGATAGGTATTATTATATGGTTAATTTCTTTTTGCAAACATACATACATACATACATATCTGTCACGCCTGTCTCGCATTAGGGTAGGCAGAAACAATGGAACGCCAAATGCTTCGATTCAAACAAACCTCTTTCGGTTCTTCCACATTCATCAATCTTTTCATACACGCTCGTCGTTTACGGGTACTTTTAATTTGGCCTTTCTTCAGCACGTCGCCTATTTGGTCAACATACGTCTGTCTAGGGCGGCCCCTACCGACATCTCCATTCATTCTTGCTCGATAAATCTCTTTCGTAATTCTTCTTTCATCCATCCTCTCCAAATGACCAAACCAACGCAACATTCCTTTTTCGATTTTTGTCACTACATCGTCTTTCAGTCCACACTTCTCTCTAATCACACTGTTTTTTTGCAAACAGTCTCAATCAATATGGAGTTGATTAAAAAATAATATGATTAAAGAATAATCTGTTTTTATCTAAAATCGCAGCCAAATTGTTATATTTTAGTAACACAAGTAGAGTATTTTGGTTCTAGTACATGGTTTGAAGCAACGAGATTGTGATGTATAATAAAAATTAAAATCACTAAGACCTGCGCAGACGAGAGATTGTTTTCATTGGAGGACAATTGCGGTATTGCACGTATTAGTGTACGGAGTATCTATATTTCTTATGATAGATACTTAAAATGGCAAACAAGCTGAAAACCCACCTGATGGAAAGTGGCTTTGAATCATGTCTAATTAACAATAATTGCTCACGTCTATAGGTGGCGGTTACTATTTTCCATCAGGTCGGCCGTCAGCTTGTTTGCCACTATAAGAGGCATAAAAAAATCAACGAAATACAAAAATATCATAGAATACATACGGCACTGCTTCAGCGTTGGTGTCAACGTAGAGGGGTTCAGTATTGTTGAGGTCGACGCCCGCGCCGCTCGGCGGACCGTACCCGCGCTCCGACGGAGTCTGCGTTACCTGCGCCGTCTTCGCTACGTAACCTGCCGACAATTAATGAGACGAATGCATAAATGTGATTAATTTATTTTAAAATTATTAATATGGTACGGAAGCGTAACATTTTAAGAGTAGCCACGCGTGATACCATGAGCATCACAGTTTATTCTGATATGTCTATGGTATTTGCATTATGCTCAAATATCGAGGGATATATCAAGTGAATGTGTTAAAGTGTTACATCAGTAACGTAAAGTTGCTCATTCAACCTCTATCAATTTAAGCTATTTGTAAATAAATAATCAACAATTAATTATTTAAAGAGGATTAAACACTAAATCAGTCGAGGTAATAGCAACATTTGGTGGCCAGTGTAATATCTAAGTTTTTTAATATAAAAGATATATACAACTTTTTTTATACAACTTAGTATCATGGACATAACAGAGTGACTGTTTTGCCCATGATACCCTCCATGCGATGCCATTCCTGAGGACTCAGATGTTATTCCTCTGTACTCTGTAAATTCACGCCATATCCCACCCTTCAAACCGAAACACAGCCATACAAACACAACTGCTTTACGGTAGAAACACGAATGAGAATTATTTACTCTCTTATCAATTATTTAATTCAAACACTCTTATAACACTTTATTATGTAGAAGTGGCAACGCAAGAGACGTATGATTTTATTGCTTATCTTATTATCTGTGAACACACAAGACATTTTGGTGAGCATGTTTTTTACAACTCAGAGGGCAAATGAGCCGCATGCTCACCTGGTGGTAATTGTTACTTATATGCAACATAAAAAAATTAAAATCAAATGATCTTATCATATAATATTATAAATATAAAATCTTATATTAATGTTTGATATTCAATCATGCTAAAATGACTGCACACATTTGATTGAAAAATATATAGAGTAGGATACTTTTTATCCAGGTTGTATATAGGATATATTTGGCAACAAAATTAAAGAGACACTAACCTGGAAGCGGTTGTGTAGCAGGCGGCGCATTGGACAACGCAGGACTGTTCGGTTGAGGTAAGTAGCTATGTGCTCCCATACTTCGTTTTGCTGTTCCATTGACGAGGCCATGCGCAGCTGGCGATGCAACCGGCTTGTCAGTAGATAAGATCGGTTGCGGTTCTGGAATTTTACAAAGTATATGTTTGTTTATAGTAGATAAAAATTTCATGTTACGTGTAAACATATTATATTTGTCATAATTTATTATTTAGATTAGTTTTAGGGAATTTATTGTAGATGAAGTTAATGTCTGTTACTAGCCTATAGTATAGAAACAACTTGGGACTAATAGACTAAGTCATCTAATAAACAATATAGTCGTCTTTTTAATAATAACAAGAATATTGTCCTTATATTACTTACTTATTTTATCAAATATTAATTCGAATAATGAAGACTTGAATGGCTAGTATTGTTAAAAAATAGGTCATATTTGTTTGTGTATTTGCTCAATTAGGTAGTGTCACATATAATGTAAAGAAAGCATCGTGAGTTCAAAAGAAACATAAGATATAATCTAATTTAAAATTACATTACTCTCAAGAAAAGTCACAAGCTATCCTGTGCTGAGACAATAGATAATGAACGTCAGGCGACGTTTTGGCCTGACCGTGAATCGAACGCGATACCTCAATATAGTGTGTATAGTACGCTATAGAGCTTATAGTAATAAATATAATCAGATAAGGGCAAAGTCCCTTGATATAATGTGCGTGGATAAAAACAACTAATTATATTGAAGTAAACATAATTAAGTAATCAATTTATCAATTATAGTATTCAACATTATTAGGAATATATAGCATTTTACAAAGGTGAGCGAAACTTGCAGATTGTTATTCATTAATCGACTTCTTTAAAAAGAGTTCTACCCGGTTTTATACGAGGAAGGAACCTTTTGAACTTACCAGGCTTATTTGCACTGGGTTCTTGTAGTACGGTCACATAGCTGTCTGGAAAGATGCCAGTCCTATTGCCATTTCTTCCCTCCCACCAGTTTTGATCTATTCGTCTCGTCAGTACAACTACTTCACCTTTCTTTAACGGAAGCTCTAGATTGGTCTGCGCTATGAAGTCAAATTTGGCTCTCGCTCTACCTTCTAATAAAATAGGCTTTTTCGGTGATTGTGCCACGTCTCCTTTCATGATCTGAAATGTTTTCAAAATATTTGTCTAAGATATAATATAATAATTGATAACTGCGTAATTAGAATTTATTTCCTTAAATTACTTTGTTACTATAGTCATGCCAATTCCTTTAGGGGATAGGTATCTATGATATCGGTATTAATATCAGAATGACTTTACATTCATTTAATTTTACTAATATAATAAAAATTGGAACTATAATGTGTCTACATGGGAGATATTTAAGAAAAAATAATATAAGGGGCATAAAACCAGTAGATACAAAAACAGTAATTTTTAGAAATTTTGTTTGTCTGCTAGTCTATCTGTCCGTCTGTCTGTACTGCACAAAATTGGATATAGTTTTCACAGCTGTATTCCTGAAGTAGACCTTCACATAAAACCTAGTGTATGTTTTATTTTAATATGTCTTCCAAGAATGGTTGTGTTCTTCTGAAATTCACAAAAACCAGTATTTTATAAAAATATATTATGTTGTATATACCTCAACATAATTATATGGGAATAATCCTATTCTTCCATGCACTTCTCCCTCGTACCAATTGGCGTCGATCTGCCGTCTCACATTAATGAAGTCACCTTTTCGGAAACTCAATTCTCGTGAGGTCTGACCATTAAATGCGTATAGGGCTCGAGCAACGATCTTTTCTGCCTCATCATATCTGTTGAGGGGTAGAATGTTCTTTTGTGAAGGCGTGAAGTTATCTTGATGGCGCCTATTCTGCATATCTTGTAGCTCCTGGAAATTAAATTGATTAATTTAATATATATTTATCGTAGATATATGTCTATAATTAAATAATTATCATTGTTCAATATTAATATAACATGCAATATTATACAATTATTAAATACAAAGCAGCAGAAATAATTAACAAGAGCAAATGAAAAGAAATTAATTTTTAATTTGTAATTTAGATTATCTGCAGCATAAATTCATTTAATTTTTAAAATATATGTAGTTAAAGCATTCTAATTCTTATTTTTTCCTGGTATAAAAATATAACTATTTAAATTCGTGCTGCAGATGGTGCTTTGATCATGAATTGAGCAAAATATTGTTAAATAGCATGTACTTGTAATAATTTAACAAGATGATGAAAATCTGTATCATTAATTGAATAATTAAATCACTCGTCTCACACTATCGATCTCTCTCAAACATCACCTTAATGGAAGCATCAAACGCATCAATGTCCAACGGTTGTATGTCATTATCCTGGAAATTCGAATTCAACATCAATAATGATGATATTCAATTATATTTTTTGTTAAAATTTGTTCAGTGCACCTACACTACGTAAAGGTAAACTATTAACACAACATTCGATATGCCATTATATTACAAATATTTGACCCTAATAATATTCACTTTACCACTTTATATTTTTCACTACGTTTTATATTCATTAATTTAGGTAAGTAATCTACTAACATAGATTTCAAAAATATCATAATCACGCACATTACCATCATGATCGTTTCACGCGCACGTTTCATATACACTGAGGGTAAGCGTCCGAGTTTTATTATCTCAAACGCACACAACATTTGTATATTATGCTATGCTTATTTTCTCTCAGTTCAAAATGCGGAAATACCTAATAAAGCAGTCGTTAAGACTTAAAATCCAATAGCAGCTATGGATTAACGGCAGGTCCGAGCTATTTTGTGATATATGGTACCTACTGGTCATTTGGTTAACGGACTTTTGTCATTTACGCCGCGATTCACGAGGTATGCGCGAGAGCAAGGTCGTTTGTTTCCGGATTTTTTATTGTATTTAAAACATGTTAGAGCCTCTATGGCATTTTATTAGTTAATGTTTTTTCTTTCATAACATTATTATAAATACATCAATGTGTTAGCTAGAATATTCGGGTCTTGATGGCGTCTTATTATCTATCTGATTACTGTGTATTTATTTGCTTTCTCATAGATTGTACTAAAATAGAAAGTAGATATTAAAAATTGTCATTTTCCATCGTCATTTTCGAGAAAATTGTTTGATAGTTGTTTCTAACAAACGACTTACTGTTTTATTCGTGATCATTGTTTATAATTATGTAGATCAGTGTTGTGTGCGCCGGCGAAAATATTCACATATCATACCAAACATACTCACAATTGTAATGTTACGCTCTCCAATCCTAATTAACAAAGATGACAATGGATGAGAGTGTAATTACTAACAATGATATCTATAATTTTATATAGGTTCAACTTAGAAACTTCTTTTGGAATGAATCTCCGGAACCATAGTGTAGGCAAAAAGAGATTTGTAAACAAAATTATGAACCAGTATAAAAATATAAAACAAGGTCATACATATTAAATATCATTTAAATCTAAGATAGAATCCGCAAAACGTGTGCTGTGTCAGTGGTTCTTTGGTAATCCGTCGAATAAAAACGTTAAACGTGTGAATTTCAACTTTTAATTTTGCATAGTTATATAAACCTTCCTACAATGTATGTTATTTATTACTTCAAATAATTTAGTTCTTTGTACTTATTAGCGAAGTCATATGCATTTTGTTAAATCTTTTCTTTTTATTTGTAAAAAACTGTAATTGACTTTATGTCTTGACTTTTTTTTGTGAATTTTTATAAATGTTGGTTCTTCTCAATAAATAAATATTTATGTTTTACAAAATATAATTATTTTTCTGCACATTACAGGTAAAAGTGGCGTAACACGCTTACGCGTTCATAAAACTAGTTCAACAAGTGGAAAACCATAACTGATTTCTCTAAAAGGGACCCCAACTAACAGCAGTCACGCTTTAAGCCGTAAATAATTTTGCTGGTAAAAATTACACCACAACCGCAAACTGTGGTGAATAGTTTCTATTTGGATTGCCATAATTTTCATTAAAAGACGTGCAAATATTTAAATTAATCTAATTTTGTTTGTTGTAGTTATTTTTCAATATTGTCTTGTTTTATTAATATATAATTACTTCTACTAATTTATTAGACGGTATTCCTGCAGTGTGCCCGTTCCAAATAATGATTTTATGACTAAGTTACATGAAGTAGTATATAATAATGCTAGTCAGTAGGCCTTCAGTTTCTTAAGATTCATGGAGATTTGATAATTAGGAAGTATGATAGTAGTACTTCGTTTATATAGTATGTTTTATAAATGAAATGAAAATGGACTCAATATTTTTTTTATCAAAGAGTAAAGAATTATGCTTTATTCTCAGTTAAAAAAAAATAACAGTAATATTGAATTAGCATTTTTAATTATGTTTTTTTTTTAATGTAATAAAGCAATATAGTAATAAAATAGTATAATTAAATAGATACGTGTATTTTTATATAACTTGGAATGGTAAGTAAGCTAACGGTCCACCTGAGGGGCTTTAATTATTAATATGTCATAATTTTCATACTATCTTATTTGTGATAGCTGTGAAATATAAATATATATATAGTAGTTCATATCGAGATGATCAACCGACTTCAAAAAGAAGAAGGTTCTTAATTCAGTTGTATCTTTTATGTTTGTCGCCTCATAATTCCATCAGTTATAAACCGATTTGGAAAATTATTTTTTTATCTGAAAGGATATATTTATAAGGTTCCATAGAAATTTTATCAAAATCGGTTCAGCTTTGAAATCAAAATAATTGATTTTGCCATAATTGAGGTCGGTTTGTTTTTTGTGGAATCAAACCTTAATTTTACGGAACATTAATGAATTTTAAGTTATAAATTCAAGTTAAGAAATCTAATATAACTTTTATTATGCAGTATGACAATACTTGCAATTTTTCTGGAAAATCAAAACGAACATAGTCAGAGTACACGATAAACTTACCAAAACATGAGATTTACACATAAATATTACGTGACAGTACGCCGTACACAATGTTTATGTAAATACTGTTTGTGGAAACTCGAATGGGAATAAAGTGGCACACACGGCAGAGAAACCACAGAGATTATATTACCTACCAGTGGACGCTGTGCATACAAAATCTAAGTAACAATCTATCTATCCATGAATCTATTCGAATTTAACAAGTATAGGCAACTCTCAAGTTTGAGTAACAGTATTAAGAAGCGAACTGTCGCTTTTTATTTTCACTTTCAACATTTACGAACGTCAGTTGAGATCATCTTACACCGTCAAATATCTCAACATATCCTAGATATTAGAAAATCATAAAGTTCAGGTTTACCGTGGCATTAAATAAGTAAATTGTTTACATCGCGGGTTAATTACAAGTATTATCGTACGGTATTGATCAAACTACGAGTGCAGTTGCGTGCTACGTCAGTGTAACTCGATTAAACAATCGCTAAGGTTGTTGGGCCCTTGCCTGACACTTTAATAGGATTCGATACTACCTTTTGTTTGTGAACAGATATCGATTTTTACCAGAATTTGCATGGTTCTAAACTATAAAGATAAAATTAGTTATTGTAAGGATCGTTGAAGTTTAAATATAAACATCTGTTTTAGCTACTTGCAATTATAATAGTATTATGACACTATTAATATTAAAAACAAGACCCTGTTCAGTATCCAATAATAACTACTTTCTAAAATTTTAAATTAGAACAGTTATAAGTTTTATTTTTGTATGAAAATATAAAAGGTTGAGTATCAAATATCTGTCACATATACCAAAGGATGAAAAATAAGAAGAATTCTACATGAAGTTTGGGAATAGAGGACCCAAACAAAACATTATTTGATTGTTTGTATATAGGTATAGCAGTATTTACGTATATCATAATTACAACTTATATAATTACGGTAACTAATATTCTAAGATTTTCATAAAATATTTTTTCTATATAATATAATTTATTAAATTCAAAACGGCTCCGTTTTCATATGGCAAAAGTTAATATTCACGAACCTGTAGGTACTTGTTCCTCTTCTGTTCTCTGTAGAGCCGCTTCATATGTTCAGCCTGTTGGCGAGCAAGCTCCCGCTCTGGGACCAGCGGCAACGGGTCATGTCGTACTGGGCATCTGTAGTGGATATTCACGTCGCTTTCCACGTATCGGCGAGGGGATTCTGTGACAATTTACATTACTTAATTAGAAAATAGTTTTCTTATAATTAACATCTATTCACCCATTCAATGGGTATTTAATTTTATATTAATCATATTCTATAAATACGCAATACGTAACAACAACCTTGATTTTTAAAGGCGGAGACATCAATTTGTGACTCAAACACATAAAAAAGAGGTTCGCCACGGAGCATAGTTAGTAGGTTACAAGTTTGTACTATTTTTTATGTTAACCATTGAGACTTTACACATTATAGAGATATAATACCAAGAAAAATTTTGCGGGTTCGCAGTGCAGAATACACATCTTCGGTGTAAATTTGTCTATGGAAATTCTTAAACATTCTTTAGTAGTAAATATCTTACTTAACCTTCCAAGAGGAACTGTTATAAAATTTCAAGTATGTAAGGTTTCTCAATGAGAATTAATATTGAACCTACCTATTTAAATTACTTAAATTAGAAATGAACAATGTTTTTAGTTTTTTTGCAGTTTTATATAAAATGTAATAAACATATTATGCAGCAGTTATAATTACTGGTGACTTTCACACTGTAGCAAATTTTTAATTACGTACCAGTATTAGATGTAAGTATAAAAATAACATTTTTAACAGTAAAGTGAAAGTAGTACACGACGGAAATGTTATGGCGGCTATCGATGAGGTAACAACTACCATCGGTGATTTTTGGTAGTTGGCGATTATAAGATGATACGTAACTAGTTATACAGTGAACGGAACTGGTTTATGAGGGCCATTATCATATTGCTTTGCGTCTAGTCAGTGGTCTAAAGGAATAATAGGTAAACATTAAACGACAGTCAACTATTAGATAATAAAGTTTTCAACAATAATTTCAACCTACATACATAATTCTATGTTTATCAAATTAGCAACGCGGGTTAATTTGTACGTGTACTCATAATTAATTACTATAATTTCTTATAAGTTATATATTTAATACTTTAGGTACATTCTATTTATATAAATATAAAATAAGCTAACATTTTTACAATAGTTACAAACCATTAACATTTAGCATCGTCAATAACAAACAAAGAAATATTTCTAAACGTGACTCACGTAAAATATCTCTACTATAAGTACTTGAATAGTTTCCGGGCGCCATTGTAATAGAGTTTCGACATTTGTGATATACCATGTCTTTCTAGTTAGCAAAACACGTGAGAGATGAAATCGAAAGCCCTTCAGAATACGTAAGCTACACCGACAACTTTCTCAAGATAATCATTCTAGACACATGCTCACTCACTACATGTCTTGTTATTTAATTTCCGTTGAAGTTGACACTTTTAAAGTCACAAGTACAGAGATTACGATTGTATTTTTTGAGAGTTTTTTTAGAAGGAGCAGGTTCTCAGTTTGCCTATTTTTTCTGAACGTTGTGGAATTTGATATACACATAGGTACTACATGGATTGGTGAATATGGGCAGTTAATGATCTCGATCACGATCACACAGACTAAGTCGAGGGTAACAATTAATATTAAACATAGGCCTTTAAACTACTAAGTAGGCCATTTTTGTAAAGGTGTTGAAAATCTCCAGCACGACCATGAGATTTAAGACATTGCAATGCTGAAATAACCATGACCAAATAATTATAAGAAATTAAGTAAATTCTAAGTAAAGTCACGCAGCTGCATCACGCAGTGCCCAATAATTGCAGCGGAAGAGTTTTTGAAATTTCCATTTCGTTTTCAGTGAAATGATTATCATTTTACTTTCATTAGAAGCAATTAATTGATTATATAATATTTTCCTAAGTTCATCTCTAGCCTAGTGTTTTTTTTTTGTTATTATAGAGTTGAGAATTTATTAGATTATTTTCAAACGATAAAAGTTAGGGATATTTATATATTTTGAAAACTTTTTGAATGATTATTAAACAAAAAAAAGGTTCTGATAGTAACCTTGGAAACAAATGTACGCCTTCAATATAATATTTTAGCCCGCAAAAAATAATCAAAACAGCAGTTAACTTGTAAACTAACAAATGTAGATAATATACACTTAAAGAATAAATATTAATTAGGAAAGTAAAACCTCGAATTAAATAGTTTAATCCATATTTCGAATTATTAATAATTCGTTAAATTAATAAACAAAAAACTCATGAGTTACAATGGAAACGAATTGAACATTATAACTAGCGGTCTGGCCCGGCTTTGTATGGGTAGATAGAATTTTAGAAAATAATATATATTCTAATTTACTCGACGATAATGTATCTTTCTATAGGTAAAAGAATTTTTAAAATCGGTTGAGTAGTTTTTAAGTTTATCCATTACAAATAAATCAAATCTTTCCTCTTTATAATATTAGACTAAACTTTATAAATAATAAACTTAATAAAAATATAACTGGACAGTTATCGTAATAATAGCAACTTATTATTGCACTAATTCAATAATCAATTACAATTTAGTTAAAATAAAAATAATAGAATCTGACCTTAGTCAATGTTTCATAATTTGTCACTGAAGCATAAAGTGGCTCAATGAAAAGGAAAAGCTTTGATAATTATTTTTCCAATCGATTATTATCTTAGATATCTATATATTTTAATTATGTAAATTTAGTATGAAAAATATATCATTATTTCTTTTGTAAATCCTTATTTTAATAAATACAGTAATTATAATTTAAAACAAAATTATGTAATTATGTATGTAAATTATGTATTATAACAAAATCAATTTAAATTAAATTATTAAAAACGAGAAAAGTATATAATATAAGTAGCTATATAAATAAAAGTAATCAACTAAATTTAAATAAAATTTCGGAAAATATACGATATGATATTATAAATATATTTTCTTCTTAAATAAATAAATAAAATGACATGTTCATTAAGTTATTAAGTAATTACATTATATAACAAAAGTTTATTATAAATAAAAAATAAACTTAAATTAACGAACCGTGCGTTGTCATCTTCTTAATTTGTTTTAATATACCCATTTCAATATCTGATACTTTCTCACACACACAGAGACACACAAATTTTTCACAATTTTTTTTTTCGAAATAAACACGGCATCAGTCGGCGACTGACAATCTTGATTGAGAATTGAGATGCATTTGTAACTTTCGACTATGAGTACTAACTCCCGCCAAAATCACAACGCGGACCGCTTTCGCATAGTAAGTACCTACCTACTACGCACAGGTACAGTCCAGTCATTTTATATCGAGTTCTTAACAAGATAACATTGTTCTTTTTTTGATAATTTGCTTCAGTTAATATTTATTTTATCACATTAGAATTCTAGATAATAATATAACATATTTATAAATTGAATAGCAGGACTTATGAGGGTTTTATACGTAAATATAAATTGCATGATAGTGAACAAATAGAATTGACGTGCATTAAGTACTTAGACACGTAAAATCAGATGACAGGTATGTCAGTATATTTACATTCTTTATGCTACAAATGTTAATTTATTTTCTTTATAATTTTTATTGATAATATTTTATCGGCTTAAATACTCGTAAATTTAAATTCCGAAGAACATACCTATTTGCACAGTTAGTGAATATACGTACATATAATGAAATATAAGTTCAAATACCATTTCAAAATAAACATAATACAGGTATAGTAACAGGTAAATAATTATAATAGTATAATTTATGCCTAAATGTGTTACAATAAATAATATGATAACACCTATAATTATTATTACTTACTATACGGAAGTGGCGCATAGACATCCGGATACATGTTCATTCTATTCGCCCACTCTGTTGAATCGTATAACGAATGACGATCATCATCATCACTTATTGTATCACTGGATCTTGTTTGTTGAATTGTTTCATATTCCTGATCAACACGGTCATCATTATCTTTTTCTTCAGAATGTTTTTTCTCATTACAATTAGTAATTAAATTATCATCATGCGTATGCTGTATTTGATGGTCAATATTTTGATTATTATCTCGGTTTGAGTCCTCTAATTTATTGTCAGATAAAATGTCATTCAAATGCAATGATTTAATTTTATAATCATCCGTTAGTATATGGTGCTTATTTTCAATATTATTATTATTTCTTTCTGTAGATACTGTAGTTCTGTCGTGAGTATCATTATCGTTGATTTTAGATAAGGTTTCCTGTTTATCAACAGATACGTCACTCTTTATACTATCTGTATCCCATTTTGTAACGGAGTTATTGGGACTACTTTCTTTTGAGAAGTATGATTCATCTATTTCGCATTCTTTTAAATTACTTTTTTTCGAAATATCTTCTTCACCTCCTTCATATTCTTTTAACCTGCTTTTATTTGCAATATATGCATCATCTTCTTTACATACTTTTGGAATGTATGTTTCCTGTTCTTTGCATTCTTTTATAGGGCTTTCTTTAGAAATAATGTAATCTTCATCTGCATTGGATTCATCACTATCGTCATAAAACAAATTTTTTTTCACATACTTGTTTAATGCAACTAAAGATTTTGTTAAGGTACCGGATAGAGGAACGTCATTAAAAAAATTGTCATCTTTATAAATTTCACTTTTAACAACTCGTCTTTTGGACTTATTTTTAATAGTGTCACGGGTTTGGTATTGGTCCATTATAATTGCGCGGTTCTATAATTATTTCATGATTATACTTCACACGAACACTATTGAGTTTGCACTAAACCAACGTAGTGATATCACATATCTTCTTATCTGTCAACTCAAAGATAACCAGTTCGATATGCTAAAGTAACAAACGTATTATTCACTTGGTGTAGCAAAATATTTTTGTGCCTATATAATACTACAAACAACAGCACATCATTACGTGAACATGATATGAGACTGAGTGTTCATATAAAAAACTGAACTGACAGGTTTTGGTTATCAAATCTGAACGAATGACGTGAATCTCGATCACACGAAGTATAATTAATCACAATTACATATAAATATTCATTTTACAAACAATAAACTATAAAATAAAGCAATTAAAACATTAACGTCGACGTTATAACTAATCGGAAACAATATAATATTAAAACTTAATATGTTTTTGTATTAGAATAATTGAGTTGGCCTCGGTTTAAGTCTAGGTATTTTGGCGACGACCAAAGGAATAAGTTGAGGGAGATTGTTATGAACAAAGGCTATTGTTTCTGTTTTATTCACATAGATAAGTATATGCTACTCAAATGTATTAACTCTTACAATAGACAGAATATTTTGGAAGAAAAGTAATATCAAAAAGTACCTATTACTTATAAGTAATAATCTTTTTTATTGCATTATGTAGAAAAGCGTATTTACTATTTATAGAATTTTGGTATTAGTTTTATTTTGGTCAACTATATAGTTAAAGTACACATAAAACGATTATTTAAATGACTTACCTTTCTCAAAATAACTTCCGTGTGGCGCTCTCCGTGGTGGTTCTGGTGCCGTATCGTTTTCTATAAAGTTTGTAACAAAACGTAATAAAGAACTAATGTTTTATATTAAAGATAAACGAATAAATGTATATTGAATTCCGTTATGTATGCAGATTTAGTGTTTGAAAAATATTTTAGAATTTCAATTATGTTTACACATATTTCTAAAAGCAATACTATGTAGATTATATTTGATGGAGGGAAAAAAAAATTCTGACATAACGAATATCAATAAATATAAAAGTTTATAAAAATATACAAGAATCTCCAAAATTAAACTATTAGATAGTCTAAATTTAAAAAATGTACTTATAATAAATGTGTATGTATAAAAAAATATAATTAACCTTGAAATGTTACCGTATGTCGCGATGGTGTGACGTAGGGTGCGATACAATAGGGCCACGCAGCTGGCGGTGGACGGGGTGGTGCGCGTGGTGGCTCGTAACGGCTTGCTGGTCGGTGCGCTGATGGATTAAAGTCTTGTTTTGCGAACACGTCGCTTTTGAGAATGGAACTTAATCTGATAGAAGTATTAGGTGTAGTTTTCTTAATATCCTTTCTTACAGGAGAGGTCCTGCCACGTACTAAAGTATTAGGATCTTTAATACACTTGTTATTGTCACTAATCTTAGGATAACGATGTGCAATCCAAGAACCAGCTAAATATGGCGCAATATCCCGTAATTCATTTATATCAGGTGCAGATGCATAAATTTGCCCCAATAAAGACATAGTTTCAAATCTGCGTCGGATGCGATCAACTTCACCAACCCGACATTCTAAAGTTTCTTCAGCGGATCTAGATCTGGGCGTTGTACGCCTGCGGAGGGATGCCAATTTCGAAATGATATCAATATGTGGCATAAAACGATTCGTTGGACGAAGCGGTACACGTGCAACTGGTAACATATTACGTTCGCGGCGGAGTGACTTTTCGACAGAAGACCAATTATTACGTAAAACATTTCGAGCAATTTCAGGATCACTTCTGTGTCGACGTAAAATAGCACCCGCTGCTGTGGGGGAATCAAAACGTCGCGCAAGGCGGCGCACTTCTCCCGCCCGTGCCAGGTTGAGATAAGCACGCCAGTAACGCTCTGGGTCGGGCGATGGGCTTCGACTGCGCCAGATTGTCTCATCGCTCGAGTACCGTAGCGTGTCAGGCGTTTGTCGATCGGTAACATGCACTTCGGAATGCGGCGAAGATGATCTTGAATATATAGGTTTTGTTGGAAGGGATAAAAATTTATTTTTTTCACTTTCACCAAAAAGTTCTTTAAAATTTGTGCACGATTGCGATTGCATTATATGAGTTTTTTGGGGTTCAGTTTCTTGCATATCTGTAACAACTTTATGTTTTTCGGAATGTTCATCTGAGCTTTGTCGAGCGTGATAAATGGTTTTCGATTGATCAGATACAGCACCTACTGATTCAAAATATTCAACTTTCTTTTTTACTTCTTTAGTAGGTCCCTTATAAATAACTGTTTTATTAGATACATCTGAACTAGCTGTATCAGTTTCACTCAGAGGCGATTGATAATAAGTGTCAGATTTTACGTTTGGATAAACAACATGTCTCATTCTATCATTATTTTTATTACTATTATCATCTTTGCTAATGTCGCCGTATGCACTATACGTAGGTGTAGTTTCATTATTTTTTACATTTAATTTCTCACTGATTTTACTATTTTCTAATTCATCTTTAAGTGGAATAGGCACAGTATTGTCGAATTTATTTACTCTATCAAGTATTTCTTTGCTAAGTGTTTGTGAAATTTTTCGTTTCTCATTTTCACTAAGACTCATTTGAATTTTATTGACATTATTCTTTAATTCTTTTACTGAAGTAATTGGACAAGAAATTGCAGCTATAGACTCAGACTTAGTAAGTTTATTTTGATTTTCTTCTTTGGAAGTATACTGTGATGTAATTAGTGAATTGCATCTTATGTGTAATGGTGAATTTTCTATTTCTTTTGGATCTTTTATGTCAATGGAAAATTTTTCAAATTCTTTACTCGTTTTTGCTTCTAATTCCTTACTATAAATGGCGTTAAGCTGACTTTTTAATGCATTTACTTGTTCCATAGATAAGCTACTCCATAAACGATTTCCTATACCAATTTTTTTACGAAGCTCACTCAATGATGAATCTTGTTGTAGTGTAACTATAGGTTTACCAGAAACAGCTTTATCTTTTGTATCTGTATCATTTTTTCTATTGATATTAAAAGCTGTTTCAGCTACGCTGGTACCTCTCCAAAGGGGTTTATATATATCCTTGGAAGACATTTGGTCTAAATCTCGATCACAATAAGATACTTGTTTAAAATGTTCTTTGAGATCTTCTACTGATTTTTCTTTTGTTCTTAAACCTCTATCTCTGTCGTATTTCCATCTAAAATCTTTCAAATCTCTGGGATAAAAAAGAACATCACTTTCATTTTGAGCTCTTTTCAGTTTATAATACAAGTTATTCAATTCTTCTTCAGCTCTTTCTATTGCTCTTATTTTCTTCCAGCGATCAAAATCAATAATTTCCTCATCTTTCCTTCTATGACGTAAGTCACTTCTAGATGTTGCCTTTTCTAATTCACCTACTCTTTCTAAATATGTATAATACCTATTTAACTCTCGAAATCTTTCAGACCTGAGTTTAGTATTTTCCATATCATGAATGTATTCGTCATAGTCAGGATCGTCGGTATGCAAACTTGTATCACTCTTTGTTTTTATTTTCATTTTTTGTTTAATAACTTTTTCGTCGGCATCACCAGCACTTCGTGTTCGAAGGAAACTTGTCGTTATTATATTGTCACCAAAATGTTTAGTATTATGTAATCGTGCACTATGAATGCGGCGATAAGATGGAGATCTAATAGAAATTGGTGATGTAGACCGACTTCTGCTAGAATTTTTAACACAATCCTTTTTTATAACTTTTGGTGAGACAGGCCTTGAGGTTTGAGAAAAGAATAGTGTAGCTGGACATTTACCTGTATGTTCGTGAATACCTACTACATCAAATTCAGCTTGCTTACACACTAGTGGTGAAACAGGACGCGTAGTCTCAGAAAATATAATTCTCGTAGGTGATCGGCGTGAAATAGATGTAGTTAATGACATTTTCGGAACTTTATGAACTATTTTTGGAGAAACTGGTCTAGTTGTTTGTGAAAAAATAAGTCTTGTAGGAGAAATGGAAGTACTTATATGTGATGTTTTTGGTTTTTCTTTCTTATAAAATAAAACTGTAGGAGATTTGGGTCGAGAGGTTTGGGAAAAATAAATTTTATTAACAGGCGGTTCACTTCTGCTTCGAATTGTAGTAAGAGATGAATTTGATCCAAATTCGTTATATTTTAATAAGCTGTCAAATCTTCGTACTTCGCCATGCATTCTACCCGGCCATGATATAGACCGAGGACTCGGTATTCTTGATGGACTAGGATATCGATCCCACATTTTAAAACGCGACAGAGAAACAGGTTTTCGGTGTATTAAATAAGTATTTAAAGATTTTGGTTCTCTATTATCCTTAGGAATAGATTGAAAGATCTTAGCTTTTTCCAATACAGTAGTATTAGGTTCTATAATAGGATATACAGTAGTTGGCATATAAGAACTCCCTAGAAACAGATGTTGAAAAAAGGAATCTGAGACAACAGCATCACGTGTTCTTTTAATTTCTTTGGAGCATACAGGTTTGGTCTCCAAATGTTCAAATGAACCAAAGTTGGATAGTTCATTGGATGTATCGCCAAATTGACTGCCAGATTCTGAATCATTTGGAGATTTTAAAATTGTTTTCTTTGTATTTTTATTTTTGACTATTTTTCCTTTAATATTCTTCACATCTTTTAATTTCCTACTGCAAGATTCATGGCAGGGTGTGCTCTTAGGTCTAACAATAACACTTTCAATAGGTTTTTTATTTTTAAGATTAGTTACAACTGCGGTTTTAATTGGGTTATTTCTTTTTGTAGTTGCAAGTTTTGAAGGAAATTTAGAAACATTTAAAGAACTATGCATGTTAACATTTTTTAATGTTTTACTATCATGTTTTATTTGTGAACCGATATCGGATTTCGTATGCATATTGGACATTTTTAGTTTTTGTATTTTTTCCGATGTTCGAATCATATCTCTACTTTTATGTGTAACACCTGTGGATAAAGATTTTGAAGTAGATGGAGCAGATATCTTTCCTGTATTCAATTTTGAAGTACTATTAGAACTTATTTTTGCAGATTTTGACTTCAGTTTTGCTAAATCTATACGTTCATTTCGCTTTTCAGAACTCCATAATTTATCCAATGATGTTACTTTGTCTAGAATATTTGATATAGGAGTTCTTCGTCCAGCACCTCCTTCTATAACCACAGATGTTTGTGAATTTGCATATTTACTTTGCATGGAATTTGAGTATTCTGTAGGTAATAATGTTCTTCTAGGCGAACTAAAGCTGCTGGTAGGTTTTATAATACTAGATCTTTTGATTGAAGAAGCAGTAGAAGATGCAACATTGCTTTTTCTATTAATAGCTGGTGGAGCTGATATAGACATTACTCGATCTTTAGTGTCTTTCATTGACCCTTTTTTAGATAAAATTTGAGTATTTTGCCTACTTAATTTGTTACACAATTTGTCTTTTAAAAAATCAATATTTGATTGCGAGGAAGATCGTTTAGGCGAAGAAGACACTGGACGTGTTGATGTTACTAATTGTAGAGTTCGGCTATTTCTGGACGAAATTCGTCTAGGTGGCGCAGGTGGAACATCAGTAATTCTGTCTCTACGAATATCCTTACTTACAGAAGATGGTGACTGTTTCTTAGATTTTGGTTGCAAGCCTGTTTCAATATGTGTTATCGGGTAGCAAATTACTTCATGAAGTTTCGACGTATTCTTGTGTACTCTTATCTTCGTCAACGTAGGTGATATCGGAATGTATTCAATTTCCGATTCGTCTGTGGAATTTTAACTTCTGTTCAATAGCACGATCTTCTTTAGTGGACGTTAGCAGATGCCAGTGTAATTGTTGTGCTCCTTGAATGTTTTGGTGTTTCTCAAAAGCAAATTTGCTTATTTTGGTGAAGCTTCAAACGTGCTATTGGTAAAAAATACTTAAGTGATATGAATGTGCTTGTTTAATTTTGGAGTCTACTTGTATTCATGCAAATTGTTAAATTTACCTGTATTCGCAGCCGAAGTACCAACACCATATTGTTAAAAAGGAAGTTTAAGCATGCACTGAAATATCTGAATTGTCAACTTACCTCACGTGTATTTGAATTTAAACTACTGTGTGTGTGGCTGAAGAGTAATATTACCGTGCTATTACAATGTAACCTTGAATAAACACGCTTGACAATAGATCGCGTATAGTAGGATGCACAGCCCTTGACCGAATTATATTATTGGAAACCGCATATAGCAATATATATAAAAAAAAACGTTTCAGTAATATTCAAATCTTCAGATACGTTATCTACCAAAGGGTATAACAATAATTTAGAAAACCGACACCGTCTACTAACTATCTTAATTTTATAATCATGCACGTTTTATTATAGATTATGGAATGTAGGTAACAAATATTTGAAAATTAATAAAGTTAAAAATTACGCTACGTACAGGTACGTGACGGAAGAATATATTAAATTAAAATAAAACACGTAAAGTGTCATGCATTATAAAACGAATCAACAAATACAAAAGATTTTTAGACAAAAATATTGCTGTAATAATTTGATAGACTTCTAAGGTATTTTTATCGTTTTCAATGATTTCATAAATAATTAAAAGTTGTATTATTTGCTTCATATTTCTTACCTTGTCTAGGTGGTGCCGGGGAACGGAAGCCTCTGAGAGGCGGCTCTCCCCCAGCTTGCAGGTCCCTATAGGCAGCACGTCGTTCAGCAGGCGATAGAGGTGCTTCAGTATCTTCCCGACGACGGAAAACTAGTGTGGAGTCCGATTCGTAACCTGATTCTTTTAATGCCCTAAAAATATATTTATAGTAGAAACAACAATAATTTCAAAACTTTTTCTATATTTGAAATCAGAGTTTCTGTATCGAAATAATAATCGAATCAACAAATCAAGAATTGATCTTTATTATTTTGCTAAATTGAAAAGTTATTGATGTCTAATTAATAGATAGTAAAACTTATAGTCATAAAGCATTTTGATAAACTTATGCTTTTTAATACAAATATTAACCACATGTAAAAGTATTTTATGGAATTGTGTGATTATTTTACTATTAGTATGTAGTTTATTAACACTCTCTTGTTAAAACAAATTTTTATTGCACCTTTTTTAATATGTGAAAAAAATAATAATAAGTGTTTTACCAGAAGGAGACTTTGTACAAAAGTCGTTTGCTTGGGTATCTCTGTCCCATTCGTGTTTCAACCGTAAAGCAGTTGTGTTTGCATGACTGTGTTTCGGTTTGAAGGGTGGGATATGGCATGAATTTACAGGGTACAGAGGAGTAACACCTGAGTCCTCAGGAATGGCAACGTACTGCTCATATCTTTAGGCAACGGTTACCACTTTCCATCAGGTAGGCCATCAGTTTGTTTGCCATTCTAAGTTGTATGAAAAAAAACTGACCTGGCCATATTTGATTTTGATAAAATAGCAGATGTTATGTCCTTCTTGTCTTTGGGAGATGCTTGTGGTAACGATGTTGTACTTGATATGTTTTGCTGAAAGAAAATCATAAAATAAGTATTCTTGTAATATCAGTTTATTAAATAGCTGCTATAGTTAGAAGTAGATGTTTAATTTTATACATTATGTGATTATTTTTCGAAAATATTATTTACAAGGTACATAATAATTACAATATTAAATGTAGCACTTTTATTAGTAACAGCAGGAAAATGTTAAGTTACAAGTGAAAATTTTTTGAAAGAAGAGTAAAATGTTATATTCATTGGTATATATCGAATTGGTATAATAATTATTACTATTTTGAAGAGAAAGAAAACATGCGAAATTGAGAAACTAGGTACAATCAATTAAACCAGGCAGTTTCGTGCTTAAGCGAATTAAGTTATAGTAAAAATGTTATAGTTATCAATTATATATCAATAATATTATTAAATTATTTTTTTATTAAGTACATAATAAATATCAGGTATAAACATCTACTACCTAATATATGCACAATTTTATCAAAATTTAATACTAAGTTTATTTTTATTTTTATCAAAATTTAATGCTACACATTGACCATCTGTAATAACTTAAAGACATCACATATCTAACCTGGCAATATACAAGTAGTTTTAAAAAAGTATTTACATTCTTTCATGTTCGGGAGGAATTTTATAATTTATAAACTATGAATCTTTATACATATACCTAAGAGATACTTAAAATAATCTTTATACACGGTACAAATTAGCATGCGTTGACCACTTTAACGATAAAAATTTTAACTGACAATCATTAATTATGGACTTCAAAATTCAATATAAATAGGACATAATTTCCTAATAAATAATTAGGAAATGTAAGTTATAATATTACTACAATAATCATATCAGCCGTTATGTTGATGTTAAACATAGGCCTTCCCCATAAGAGGAGTTTTGCCAGTAGTTGCCACGCTTGGAAGACGGGTTGATTGACAACCACAGTTAGATTTCGGTGATGTTTTAAGAGGGACACTGATGTTCATCCCTCGAGCATTAAATTTCGTTAGTCGCCTCTTACGACACCCACGGGAAAGGAAGGAGTAGCCGGATTTCCGGATCACATGGCAATACCACACTAATATAAGAAGTATTTTGCTTGTTTAATGATTGTCAATTTATTTTATGAATCTAGCCTATCCCACAAAGCTCTCTTTAGTAGAGATGTAAATATACTAAAAAAATAAATTGTCTTTGTAAAATATTTAATTTTAAATGTGATTTATAAAATTAACGTAATGACATTAATTTCAGTCTTTTAGCAACTAGATTTTTTCAAGACAAATTACTGATAAATAATATATTCTCAAGAAAGAAAGAAAAAATGAATCACCAAGTGGAATAAGCTGCAATACAACAATCAAATTTCTTATTTAGAATTCAGAGCATTACTACAATCGCAAACATCAAAGGCATCACACAAACAAGAGGCAAACGTTACAATGTTAAACCTTACACTTTTCTGTATGGCGCGAGCGAGCAATGTGGTGTAAGGAGGCAGAGGGGAGTTGTCATCTAGCCACTGTTAGTGCCACCACCACGCACCGTGACAGCGATGTGAAAACGCGTTAGTAGATCAGTGAACAATTTATTAACGCTGCTCATATCCCTTAAGCTATCTTGGAAAGCTATCGTTAGAGGAGGTAATTCAAATACGCCTGATGAGATGGAAGAGCAATGTTGTCATTTGAAACTATTCAGCGTATTTTCAATTTGAAAATTGTTGATAGTTTAAATTTGCTTCCTCTAATAATTTGTTGTAAGAATTTGTGATCTTCTTCAATAATTATTTAATTATTAATCAAAAAATATTATTTTTTAATGTTAATAACAAATTTAAATACTCGATTCTAAAGCATTTTATTAGATTTTCATAGGTACAAGACATATATGGAATTGCCAAATGTACAATGTTAAATAATTTACAAACAATTACACACTTAAATAGAAAAAAAAAGATTCGTACCCCATCAAAAATGTCCATGACCTCGTCCCACCACTAGAAAAGAAAAAAAGACAATCTTGTTGTTGCTATTTCTTGACTCGTGATCAGGCTGTTAGTTATTTTATGAAAAATATTTTTATTTTTAAATTGCATTAATAATGAATATGAAATTAATGATAGTATTAATACCCATTTACTGATGATTATGAAATGATTACCTGTTTGGCTTCCTTATCAACTACTGATGATCTTCCAGGTATATAATCTTCTATTTTTCCTGGTTGGCTTTTATATACTTCTTGACTAGCTCTCGCAGACGCTAATGTGCTATACCTGAAAATATACATAATTTCAGAGATTGTTGAACTTATTTATTTCAGATAATCAAATAAACAAAATAATTAGAAAATACAAGAATAACTTAAAAAAAGTGAAAATTTTATCTACTTTTCCACACAAAGCGAACTGTCGTAAAATTAAGTATTTTGTAATAATACATTTGCTGTACCATATCGTGAAAATAATAAATTTCGTCATATCACTATTTGATACAATAAAAATTTACTTTTTTTTATTAGGCAGTAATCTATTGTCCAATGAGTGGTTTTGCATTACACATATACTAAAAACTACTTATCCTGATAACAATCAAATATATACTAGTATAATGAGATACTAAGCAATAAATTTGTTTTAAGCATATCACTTCACTAGGAACTTATTATATTAAAAAAAAATCCTTACTTATTATTAGATAGATATGGTGAGTGAACATCATCGAGCCTTCTGTCTTCCTGTACTGAGGCAGTTCTTCTCCTCGGGCCAGTGGTGACGTCACTGTCATATGCATCGCTCCAGGTACTGGATCCTAGCCTACTGAGCCCACCTTCTGGCTCACTGAGATACCCAGATCGAGGGTCGAAGTATGCGTACTGTGATTTGTTAGACACTCTCTGCGGTGCTTGACCTAAAGAATAAAAGTCGAATGACATTATGATAAAAACACAATTATTTTACGTAATTAGTTGTTTTTATATAAAATATATTTCACGCTTCACATATTGTGAAATCGTGTTCATATCGTCAAATAAATATAAGAAAAGATCCTCTTAATTATTCTTGGTCAAAAAAGAGAATAAATTAATAATATCTTAATATATGTAAGTATAATCTAATAATATATTAACATATAATATATAAATAAATAGAAATAAACAATACATATTTTATTCTCTTTTTTTATGCCGCATATATTATATAGAGGGCGTTTCTTAATAATAAACGCAGAATCGAATAGAAGTAAATTTTAATCATTAATGGAAAATTATAAGAAAATAGAATATTTGTTCTTATTAATTTCTGTTGATGATTAATAGATATTTAATTATATTTAGATGATTATATAAATTTTTATATTTTATCATTATTTATACGAATATCTAATTTTTAAGAATTGGTAATTATAAAAAGCGCAGGTAAATAGTATTCAAAACAAGCCTCAAAGTTACTATTCTGCCCTGATTAGATTAATAGTTTTAGTAATTGCTAATTATGTATAATAATGGTATGATCTAAACTATTTTAATTTATCAGATGGCGATAGATAATTTGGAATAGCTAAGATGGAGCATTAAGCTCATGTTTTTTTTTTTTCAAAAAAGCAGCAGAAGTGTATTATACAATGGGCACAAAAACAAGTGAATAAGCAGTTGTTATTCTAGAAAATGCATCAAGTGGAGTTATGCAGCCACCGTTATGAAAAATATAATTTGGAATTACTATAATCACCTCGGCGATTTTTGTATCGAATAGTCACATAATCGTCTGAAAAAGAAAATGCATAATATTTTGGGGGATGATCGGACAACGGTTGTATGGCTGCCTTTACATCTGTAAGTTTTATACATGTAAGTACATTATGTAAGTATAAGCGAATTAACTATAAATATAAATTTAATAATAAGTCACAAGAGAATACAGTGTGGAATCAAAATCGTTAGCAAAATTAGGAAACTTCGTGAATTAAACATTCAAAAACAACAAAAAAGTTGTGTTTTTCATATTAATTCAACATACGAACACGTCGTGTTAGTAACACAGCATGTTCAGTTGTTGAGTGGAGGCTCAAATTTTTTTGTTATTTTTTGAGGCCATATTTCTTGGGAGAAAAAGTTCAGTTTTGACGGTAGCTCTCTCTTTTCAAAGGATGTAAACGATTTTGGTTTCACTCTGTTTACATTACGAAAATTATATTTGTAATAATTATGTAAAGGTATTCTAAGTACATGGATCAAACTTATAAGTGTAAAGGCGGCCTAGTATATAAGTAAAAAAATTAGCATATTTGTGTGCTAATTTTATGCGTCCATTATAAATATATGTATGTCATACTCACCATCGTATTTATTTCTATGGATTGTATCATACATTTTTTTGTACCACCGCGATTGGTCTTTGACTTCCTGAAATAAATAACACAAATACATAAATAATAATATAAATTAAAAATAATAATAATATTACTAGTAAGATTTAATCCACAATTTAAAATAATGTGATATCATTGCTTCCAAATAGATGGATCGATTAATATTGCAATTTGTTTTGAATATGTCTATTGTATGTTATACTTACAGATCTAAGTGCAACAGGCATTCCGTCTTTGGTCGTGGGTCCGATTCCCTCTACTTTTCTTGGAGCATCAGCCATCTTACGCGCGCCGCGCTCGTAGTCCCTCCGCTCGGCTTCGCCTTCACTAACGTAGCCCTGGCGTAGCGCATGCACTGAAATTATTGATAGTAGCTATTATTTAGTGATTTATTACTTTTATAATTATTAAATTTGTTGTATTACGGTCTTTTCATATACGGATACGGTGTTGATATAATGCAAATCACAGTGATGGATGTTTAGCACGGGTCAAAACGAATAGATAATTTTTAACTTAAAATTTGTATGTAAGTTAAAAAACTATGTACAGTAGAACATAATGAAATAGAATACTTTCTGAATTTCATTATCCCATCAACTCTATTTAAAAATTATCGTAAGGCGTCAAATAATAATTATAATACCTAACAGTTGGGGAAAAATAGGGATTGTTAATAAAAAGAACTAAGGAATATATTACTACCAATATAATTAACTAGTGGACCTCCACATGGTCTTCCCTGGAAACCATCGTCGTTAATTCCCGGTAAATTCGTCACGATGGGTCAACTGACTTGTTTTCATCGTCACCTATCATCATTCACTGATACTGATTTCACTAGTATTCTTAATGATCATTTCATTGATTCATTAAGAATACTATTACCATTAAAAAAGTTCACAATAAAACATTTTAAGTATGATACATAATTAATAGATATTTTTTTTATGTAAATTTTATGATTTTCACAGAAATTACGAATAGATTAATGTCATCGAAATATGAAGGAATGAAGTCAATGAAATTACCTGGATCACCAATAGGGGGAGAAGGCCTATCTCTAGGTAGACGTGCTCCGTCCCTCTCCTGTTGAAGATAATTAGAGCCCCGTGGAATTTGTCCTTCTGAAAATAAATAAACGTTATAATTTAATAATTAGCTACACATTTCATACACTTTTAATTAGCTAAGAAGAAACACTAACTAAAAAATATCGTGTTTGAAATTAGAAGAAATTTAAAGGGCTCATAATAAAAAGATATTAGGTATATTATTTTTAAATCGGTGATGCCACAGAATTATTTATTCTTTCTAATTAAGATAGAATCAGAAACAGTTATATAAAACAAAAAGGCTTCTAAGTATCCTATTATCATGCCTGAATTAGAACTTCAGAGAGGGTCGATATATCTTATGAAAATATTTAGATCATACAAATACATAATTGATTTCAGTAAATTATTCCTAATTGAATACAATTGGGGAGACCTATGCCCAGCAGTAGGACATCATGGTTAAATAATAAAATAGAATAGAATAGAATAGAATAAGAAAATATTTCGTTAAATCTACTATTTATAGATATGATGTTTGATGTTTTATTATATTTTGAAAGTGTAATAACTCTCATAGATAGTTTCAAATACAATAATCCATATTATGAAATTTAATGGTTCGTTTATATATATATATATATATATATATATATATATATATATATATATATATATATATATATATATATATATATATATATTCTTTATTGCACTAAAACATACAGTAACAACAATAAGTTAATAACAATGTTAGTAAAGGCGAACTTATCTCTAAAAGAGATTTCATCCAGTCAACCTAACGCAGTGGCATAGGAAGTAGATAATGAAGGTAATGTAGTATTTTCAATATTATGACACCTTGACATTGTTTTTGATGCGACCGAAATAAATAAATACACTACTAATATTACGTTGTAAATACTTAAAATGTCTAGATGTTTGTATATTTATATATTATTAGTTAAGGAAGGAAGTAGATCATTTCACTCATAAATATATTTAGTAATACATCATATCATATGTTATAATTATAATCTAATCTTAAACCAAATCTATCAAGTTCTCCAATAATTGATCATTTATGTTTATCACGTATTATTATTTGTTTTGAAAACTTGTGGTCTATAAGCAATCCATTTACTGTCATCTACACTCGTTAAACTTTAATAATGATGGCATCGACCCTCGTCAGATCCTTCATTATGCGACATATCTTTTTGCCACGTTTACCTGAATTGCGGATACTGTAACTTCCTTACTTTGAAACTTGTAAAACCGATAATATTATTTCTTGAATGTATAATGGTTGTCAATTATAAATGTTTCAATATTACGAGTATAAATCTAAATTTATAGATTCCTTACATTGCTATACGATTTTAATAGTAGCGGTCACGAAATAAGTAATTGGCCGATGGATTGTAAAAGATGGCTTGAGTCCAGCTGTTATTATTGAATTGGAACGGTTATTATTATACTAATTGGATTATTATGCATAAAAAAGGAAAGTATATGCCTACTACTCGTTGGAAATGTTGATTAGAAATATTGATTACCCCTAAGGGTAAAAAATATTGTACCTAACAACAGTATTAAAAAAAATAGAAATATAAAAAATAACGAACCATGGTTATTTATTTATTTAAGGTTATTCATACCAATAACATTCGTCAAACATGCCTTAAATAAATGTTAAAATATTATAAAGTAATGTTATTATTAGTTAGTAGTTAGACGATTAATATTTATTAACCAAATGCACTCTTACGTAAAATATTATTTTCGCAAAAAAAAAAAATGTTTACATAAGGCATCCACTTTAAGACAAAAGGTTAAAGAATCTTAAGTTTCATCCAAAAACTTTTGTAAATCCTTTTTGGATGAGACAATGGAGGGCAATTATCGGTTTTTCGTACAATTTGTAATGAGGGGGTGCAAGTTGCTATGCGTAAGCCAATTAATGAAAGTTTGTCGGCAATTAGGCGTCATTCCCGCAGTGTGCCACCGGAATAAATTACCAAGTAGATATTTCCTCAGCAACCTTAAAAGGCGGGTTACCCTTACCTCAAGAAAATTGTGTAATATAAGAAGTAATTTAAGTAACATGAGATGCTTTATTTTATCTAAATGATGATGATAACGAATACGTAATGACATGTCGGAGGGAACACGTGCGAAGGTTACACAAAGTCACTAAATTAATGGTACCACAGTCGGAAGATACCACTTACATATACAATTATGAATACCTGCCTATTTTGCAAACGGATATTAAAATGGAACTCGCAGATTCTTGCATATACATTAAAGTTTAGAGGTGAAATAGTGGCTGTGAAGTTTTCGTAATATGTATTTACCCCAAACATTGCCCGATATATCACTTGTGTGCGGAAGTTTATATGCTACGCAACAATGAATGCGAACTGTTTTGGTTTAATATAATAGTGAATCATTATGCTCCTATTAGTTTGTATTGAAATCTTGTTCTATTTTTTTACTACTTTACAAAAGCATGAATGGAAATAAAAATATTATTGTAATAATATTATGCTAATTATAAACAAGAATAAACTTTATTGATAACTATTATATAAAAATGATAATTTAGATATTGCCTAGATATTATATATTTTTATACATCAAAGTCCATGGCCTTGGTTTACTATTAATATGTATAATGTAGATAAAATATTTTAGAATTAAGGAAATGAAGTTTTTGTGTTAGCATTATTGGGTTATACAAGTGTCCATAACAGTATATGGACAATATCATTCATAGATCTCAGAGGTCTAACAGGAACTTTATTAATGACATTATTTTTATAAATAAATACTATATAAAAATTATATTATAATATACTGGATAAAAATTCACCTCTAGCCTTCTGCAGCAATGTAACCGTTGGATTCTGAGCTCTCGGTAGTCGGCTGGTGAGGGTAGTTCCACCCAGAGTGCTCAGGCCCGTAGCCGGTGCACTCTGTGAGGTGCGTAACCGTCCCTCGCTTTCTGAACCGCTCGTGCAACCGTTCTGATCCGCGTTCTGTAATATTTTAGTTCATTTTTTATACAACTTGAAACCGAATGTAGTCATCGCACTCATATTATAGAACAAATGGGCACTGATTAGTATGACTACCACTTTAGGTAATTGTATATGGCATGATTTCTGGAAGTTATTTTTAATCATCAATTGATGTCACCAAGTCAAACATATAATGGGTGAATCAGTTCATCACATTATAAAATATAAAATAATTATGAAATATTTACTAAGATATAAAATAATAATTGTACAAATATAAAATGTAGGGAGTTTATAAGATTTAACTTTCATTGAAGTTTGTCTTCTCGCAAATTATATTGCTGTGACACAATTTTACAAACTTTTATCCAAGTTTCTACGTGATTAAAATAAATGTTTATTAATTTGACATGACATCGTTCTTTGGTTTCAATATTTATAGACTAGCCCCTAAGACTAAATCAAACTCCTATTTTTTGACAATAGGTATGTTGGGACAATAGGTGTTATTTTTTTAAATAAAAATTAATTGCAATTTAATGATATTAAAACTAATGGTACAGTTAATAACATAAAAAATAGAAATTTATCTTCTGTCTCACCAGTTCTCTGCTATTTTAGATAAAAAAGCATTTGTATGAATCAATGCAACATTATATTTGAAAATTTATTTTGTTATGTTGATTGCTTAGCCTGATTTCCTAGTTTCGTCAATATAAGGGCAGTGCCGAATCTTTAATATATTTGTTACTTGTTTTATGATGCTCACCACAAATTTACGGCGAGATGGCGGGGTCTCCTCAAAGTGCACTGGGCGGAAAGTCTTGCGGGCTGATAGCGGCGAGGGTCCAGCGCTGCCTGGTGTCCACACGGGCGGAGGCGGCGGCGGTGGGGGAGCGCCTGGGCTGCACGCAGCGCTCGACACTGGCGCTGGCGCAGGCGGCGGCGTCGGCGCGCCCGGCCTCCACACCGCTGTAATATGTATGTAGTCTTAATTGTATGATAGTAGCTATAATCTGCTGCTTCGCTATAGTTATATATGTATTCTATGTTTTAAAATGTCCTATGTGAAAAAATAACAACATTTTATTCATATATCGCTACAAAATTTTGCATTTAAGCTGTTGAAAATATGGAGTAGGGTAGTAGGCTTAAGTGAATATTTACGGTATTGTAGATGTTCATAGGTTACGGTAACTGCTTATCATTAGGTGAGCCGTATGCTCGTTTGCCATCTTAGTAGTATAAAAAAATATGAAAAAAGTACATAACACATATACATTCTCAAATTTCTATTTTGTAATAACAATGGATTTGGAGTGAATGCTATATAGCGTTAATCATAATATATCCGTATATACATAACAGGATAAGTACATAGAAAATACCTAAGAAGTCATGCTGTTACAAAATTCGAAATTTTCAAAATTTCAATATTAATAAAATGGGCATACAAATTTATAAATACACAAACAGGGAACCGTTAATCATTAGTATGATGTTGATGATAAAAATTATTACTTATGTACTTACTATTATTTACTTACTTTTACGATATTTAAATTTAACCTTATGAAATTATTATTATTAATCATATTGAAATAATTTTCATAGGTTCCATCAACAAACTCATGACCTTGACAAGATGTCAACCCTAAACCCTTTCTCTTACAAAAATCTGATGAAGGAATACTGCAAAATCGTAAAATATCTGGGGATATTTTACGATTTTGCAGTAAATCTGAAAAGCGACACTGCAAACGTATGTTTACATTGGTCGCTTTGTACAAATTGGGTTAGTGGAGGCACACCTCGCTGTCAACATAATCACTTAACCTATTAAGGTCTCCGATGTGATCACACCTAAATGTGAATCTTCACATATTTATCTTTATATATACTACATAGTTGTCTGCACAATGTACACATGCACGTTGAATCAAAATGGAAATAGTTTCGTGCTGTTGACACTCTGAAGTACACATCTACACTCGTTGCAAATTAATACTAGGAAAGTGTGATGTTTACAGGATGTGTCGTTTTAAATTAATTTGAGGGAACATGAAGCTAGCGAAATTTTCGAATTTTCCCCTCGTATCCCGCCCTCTGGTTATGTTGTAAACGAGGAGCGTATTAAATTATTTATATATTGAGCTCCGCGTGATCTAAGTGTAAGATACCTATTGATGTACATATTATGTAGAGAAAATAAATGTAACAAATTGTAATAACTTTATTAATTCGTAAAAAATACATTCCTGTATAAATGAAAAAGAATTATTGTTATTGTACTCGAGCTTAAACTTCATTTATGATCACGCATCGTATTTGTAAATAAATTATGTAATAGATGAGCCAGTATGTGTAAAAAGCAACCAGCTTTCTAGCATATTGATACCTAAATATAAAAGTGCATTGTAAATTAATAATAAATAAATGAATAAACATATATAAAAATTTTGGGCAGAATTATTTATTCCGCAGCGATTTGTTATTGTTAAATAAGTCCGTTGTCAAGATTAAACGAGAAAGTGTGTATAGAAAAAAAAAATATTATATTATTTCAAGAAACAACTTTAATTTAAAATTAGTAATGTAGAAGAAAGATTGCCTAAGGTCCTCATCGTCTTCCTACCTACTAGGGTCCTACCCTTATCGCAATTATATAAATTTTGGGGTCGGCGTAATATGTTTTCATCTATATTACCCATATGATTTTGGTTTTTAGTTTCACGACCGGCCGCCTGCCTGATGTCAACCCTCCTTGGAAATAGAAGATTACATAAGATTAAAAATGTAAAAATAATTATTAAAAGTCGCAAACTATAATTATGATTATCTTATATAAATAATACAAATTTTAAATTTTCAATTTATGTTTATAGAATATTGTTTAAATAATAAGCTATAATTTTAATATATAATCCACTCTATTTCTTTAAAATGAATTGAATAAATTTATTTAAAAAGTTAATACTTTGTTTGGACGAACATTATAATTTTTAACTACCTTAGGTTTTGGTTTATTTTTATGATAATTATTTAGAATTTTTGTATTTTATAATTAAAGACCAGACCGGCAGATTTATTTTTATTTATTTTGCCCGTACCTAATATAAATTGTAAACATTTATAATAGTAAAGTATTGTGTGATATTCAGTAATTCAGCACTAAATATGAAAAACATTGTAATTAAAAGAATTTGGTTACTTCAAAACTATTATTTAAAGTGGGGTCTGTGGTAGATAGGCAGTCTAATAAATAATCTCGAGTTGGATACTAAGTTTAGATCTAAATTGTGCCTCCAAGTGATAGTATCTGGCCTATCATAGGAAATGGTGTCCAAGTCAGTTAGAGTAATACAGTACGTAGTAATCTAAGTTAGGAGGAGCGCCAATAAATTATTAAATGTAAATTAAAGCGCTTTCAGCGTAATGGGGTAATTATATCACAACGTATGCTAAAGTTCCATGGAGTGGGGAATATATAGTAGTATTAAAGCGGTCAAATCTTGATAATAAGTACTGGTAAATTACTTTTACATTTTGTTACCTTACTGATTGAAATTTTTTTATTATTAGTCAATCAATAAGTTAATAATGAATCACTGAACAAGAATTGCTTTCCATAGATAAATAATATGGTAATACTTTTTTTTACGATATTACATTTACAATAAAAGTAAGATAAAATAAACTTACAAAGCTTAAATTCACATTATAAACAGATCACATGCCAGGGTTGTTGGCGGATTAAACCGTATCGAGATAATTGATTATTTATCTAAAAAGCCCGGGAGCGTGTGCCGACATCAAAGTGGGTAAGCGTACGCAAATAAATTAAAAGTGATCTAAAAGCAAATTCAATTAAGGAGCAAGTGAGAAAATCCACGGTTTTACATTAGTGTACATATATGGAGATTCAAAATCATTGTACTTAGAAGTAGGTATGATATTGAGAATGTGTTACGCACTCATTCTCAATATCATACTACTAAATACAATATCCAATCTACTTATAAAAATGGTTGGCTTTATGTAATTACTTCATTTAATGTAAGAAATGCGTACCTTATATTAATAGATTAATGTTGCTATTAATTATTATTAAATTTGAATGTCGGAAACAGATACAGAGTAGTTGCTTTAGATGTTAGATATACAAATGCTTTCTCCCACGAACACTCAGGTTATGGAATGAGCTCCCTGCCGAGGTTTTCCCAAGAGACTACAGCATGGGGTTCTTCAAAAGGGGCTAAAGAGGTTTTTTCAGGGTCGGCAACGTAATACCTCTGGTATTGCAGGCGTTCATAGGTTACGGTAACCGCTTACCATCAGGTGGGCCGTATGCTTGTTTACCACCTCAGTGGTATATAAAAAAAAAGTTAGAGGGCAACTATCTAGTAGAAAAAGATTAGCCTAAAATCAAAATGAAGCGAGAAATTTTGTCGTAAAATAATTCAGTTTATTGTTTTATAATCGATTTATTTGTAAATTAAAATTACTAAACTGATGTCGTATATCGGCAATTAAGAATACAGGTAAGATACTTAACATATATAAAATATTATAATTTTTTTCTGACTAAACTGTTATCTATCACTAAAATAATAGAATTGAAAATCAGTTTAATTTTTGCACCATTTTCACAGCTTAACTAAACCGATTTATTGAAAATTGTGAGAGAGAAACTTTAACGATGAACATGTGCTATGATAAAATATAATCGTATATTAAAACATTACCTAAAATAGAAATAACACTGCATAATAATGAAAAAGAGACATAAGTAAACAGTTCTATATATCTATGTCTATATAACTATATTACATGTAAATGTGCCAATATATCTAAAACAAAAGGAATCATGGATAAACTTTTAAAGATAATAGTCAACATTTCTCATGTCAACGAAGACAATTTACATTACAAGCAACGCCAAGTCATCCCACCTTGCGGTTGTAATTATTAAAATTCTTTCCCATCTCAAGCTGTATTATTGTATGTTCTTTATTTATTTTAAATTCCGATGCAATTTTATTTGCGAAAAATTATTATTATTTTAGGCGACTTCCAAAAAAAGACATTCTCAATGCATACGATTTTTTTACGGCTAGATTACGTAATTACGTCATCATTCTGAACTAGCCCACATTTTTATTAATTAATAGGAATTTTCTACGCGTACCAAAATATTTTTTATTGGGCCTCACAATCTGTCTTACGTGGACAAGTGATTCCGCGTTCTAAATAAAATAAGTACCAGTATATGTAATATCATTCAAGGATGTCTACAATATATACATATATAGGAATTTATGGGTTCACGAATGAAATAGCTATTTTTTGTATAGCAATTATAGATTATATACGAGTATGTAGAGCACTGTGTGTCAAAAAATTAATAAAATCAAGTCAATTCGTCAATTTTGAATTGAAAACTATTACTTGTACATATTGTTTAAAAATTTATATACATGTATTTATTAAAATGATGGCTTATTGTAAAAATTTTGACGAAACAATTATATTGTACGTTTATTCATAAGTATAAATAAAAATAATCAGTGAAGACGAGCGTTATTATGAATCATTATGCTCTATTTAGCCCATTCTTTTAAATAAATTCGTAAATATTTCCTATCATTTTTATTTTTTTATTTAATCTTATAATATTAATTTCCTCCACGTACATATTTAGTTTTAACTATTATATACTGGTAACTCTATTTATGCCCACATGAATAAAAAGGTTAACCTGTTTTTGGAAAAGCATTTGTATGGAAACAATTTATTTATATAATCTAAGAGAGTCATATATACGTGGTAGTTTTTGCCTGTTAGCTTGAAAATTTCACCACATAGAACTTTTACATAGTGTTTTATAAATTTACAATTTTTAAATTTATAAAAAGTCCATTAGATCATATTCAAATTCCTCTATACTTTGACCTACATACATAAGTACAATG